AATGCCCTTAAGCGCTTTGCAGTCACCCACCAGAATATCGCATAGTACCCTGCTGAGTACACCACATGTTCAGTCTAGTCAAAGCTGCTAGAACCTTCACACAGAGGGCGACAGCAGCCGGTGACTATAACAACAAAATTATTGACCTGCGAAATCGCTATAACACTATAAGCATGCATAAAAACGTATTTACATGCAACAGAAAATATATATTTTTAAATGATTAGAAAACATATTTTTATTGTTAAACTAGGCTCTGTAAACTGATAGTGTTAGCCACACCAAATTGCAGGCCCAATTGCAACCTTCTCATTTTCTCCGCCTCGGCTGAGCAGCTTCCATGGGTACGAGCACTGCCAACCACTCCGCTAGGATAGAATTTTGTCCCCCGCCTTCATTGAAAATGAATAGCCCCCCTTCGTGGCGCAATGTCTGAGCGCCCTAGACTTCGTCTTATTAAATAATTAAATCAGAGGCCTTCCAGACCCACACTACCAGCTCACTGCACATTTAGACCCACACATTACAGGGCCAGGCCCACTGCACACTCCAGACGGTCATTGTTATCCGGTATCCTTGGGACGTCCCACCCTAAACCCTACCTTAACCATTTTCAATGTCAACTTCAATGGGTTAGGGACCCACTCCAAACGCACACAGAACCAGGCCCACTGCACATTGGAGACTGTGACAATGCGACAAGAGACATTTCCCTCCATTTTGCCCCACACAAATGGACTGATTGTTTGGTATAAACATTGCTTGAGTGAACACAAATGCCAGATTGTGGTTACCATTAACATTTATCTAGACAAGTTTAGCTTTGTTTGGTACCATCAATGTGCCTACTTATCACCGCTGCTGGGGAGCGTGCGCCAGTCATGCGATGCTTAGCCACAGGTTACGGCCCTCTCGTTATTTGGTTTATCCTGGTTAGGGGGTGCACATTGTTTAGAAGAAACTCAAACATTTATGCAAATTCTCAGATATCATGAACATGGCGTAAAACTGCTGCATTTTCTCTTCGCCCCATGGCAAAATGTGTAGAATTGCAGCACATTAAAGATGGAATCCACAGTAGGTGGAAACAGCACCAATGGCTGCCCCACCACCACCGTTGTTGTTGTTGTTTTTGTTGTGGAGCTAGTGGCGTCGCGCAGCATGGTAAAAGACATTGCAGTACATATTGTGTTCTTCTAATCGCGTGTGATGATGTCAGAGGAGAAAAAAGTGTTTGTTGTTTGCTTCTTTGTTGTAATATCGCAATTGGGCGTGGCTTTTTCACCATTAAGTATTCCAGTTATCTCCTCCACCAAGAGGGGGGCCACTCAAATGTTTTGCCCACCAGGGGGATGCCCCCCCCCCCCCCAACCAAATATCGCTTATAGGGCCCCCCCAACTAAATATCGCTTATAGGGCCCCCAAAAAGCTAGAAATGGCCCTGATCGAAGATCTTCTCATTCGGGGAGAGCTGCTTATCTAGTTGACATGAGGTTATTATAGCTCAGCCATATACTCAGATGCGTGAGTTTATGGGCTTTTGCCCCTGTGTTTGAGGTGCTTTGCCTTTGTCCTAAAGGCCAATTTATTATTTTGCTCAACAATTTTTCCATCATTTTTCTACATTTGTATATTTTGTAAATAAATCCTCTTGATCCATTAATCTCATCACTTGCACTGTAAAATAAATCCCACCAATTATTGTACCAGAACCCCCGACTCAGTAACAACTGTCGCAACTCCACACCAACTAAAAAGACTGCCGGGTCCTCTATCTTAACACACAGGTATTTGGTCAATGGAATTATAGAAAGTGTAAAGTGTACAGCATTCATTAAAATAGATGTTATACAAATTAGGCTTTACCTTTGCATGTCTTTGTCCGGTGGAACTGGACAGTGTTTCAACAAAACTCTTTGTGTGTGCATGCAGTTCATGCATATGTGTTTGTTTGTGTACACAGGCTATATGTGTATTATATGTATCCTGGGTGTGTAGAGGCATCACACAGCATGGCACACACACATCCGACTTAGCATTCCACTCAACAGTAATTTATTGGTGTGATCCATCATTATCATGTTTTATTATAGCCAGCGTTGGAGATACAATTCACAAATAGGCAAACTCGGTTGAGATGACAGCCAGGGAGAGGGATGTCCTTTACCATTGTCCTCTGCCAAGCACTTTCAGGGGAGCCTCCATGGCCCTGGTCCCAGAGAGCCAAAGAGCAGCCCAGGGATAGGCAGGGGAGCAGGGTGTCCTGTCAGCCCAGTGCACTGTGTGCTAGGCCAATAGGACCCCTTTATTGACCAGAGAGAGAGAGGCAGAAAGAGAGGCAGAGAGTCCAAGAGAGAGAGTCAGAGAGAGAGAGACAACTGCTGCTCTCAGTGACGGCCATGTCACATGACTACCTTTGTATTCGGTGGCCATAACTCACTGCCTGAGCGTGGGGATTGATTCCAGGCCGGACGTTCCCTGGAGGATCCCTGGCACTCAACACAGTTTGATCTGCAGATTAATGCAATAAAGATCCCCAGGCCAGGCCTTCGTCTCTGGCCAAACGCTTACGTCTCCCAAATGTGTATCCAGCAAAAGGTTGAGTCCCATGTTTATTTGGGTAATGAATTGCAGTAATTAATGCACCTATTGATTCCTCCATAGAGTCTCCTACAAAGGCCAGTCTGATTTTTTATTTAGAGGGAGTGGGAGAGCACGGAGGGCGAGGGGATGGGAGGCCAGGAAAACCCAATACAGACAAGACAATTGCAATATGTGCTTGTAGGATGAGAGTGTAATTGTTCTATGAATCACATTTGAATATATTCAATTACATCTCACAAGTTGGAGGCGTTGGGTGTTCCGTGCTGTTATTTTGCTTTTCTTTCCCTTCCTGGTTGTAATAAAAATGCAAATAGTGAGAGGGCAACAGGGAGCCGGTGAGGACGTTTGGCTGAGGAGCGTTTGGTGTCACACTAATAACCACAATGGAATTTTCTCCAAAAAACAGGCGAGTGCTCATTAGCATATAATCTCCTGGAATTACGAATGTGCTAATCTCGATCACCTAGAGATTGAAAATGAGATGTGGCGGGAAACATCATTTACCTCAAGTACAGGAACACTTCTCTATTAGCCAGATTGGCATCAGCAATGCAATTATCATCCAACGGTGATGAACTTGTATTGATTCAGTTGTGGATCATCACAACAAATCCTTGTATTGTATGTGTATTACCCTTGGCTTGGGCCCTTAGCTCATTATAAAAGTACAAGGGCTCTCCTGATTGGTTGTTCTTCCCTGTGCTGTGGTTCTATGTCTCTGTGCCGTTGTGCCCTATGTAAACATCTGGTCACAGCTGCTGTGACACTACTTAACAGGGTCTGGAGAACAATGAATACTGCCAGCCAGCCCATATATTATTATTTGTTTACGTTAAGAATTGTTTGTTCGCCTTGCAAGTAATTATAGGAAAATTAGCTTTTGACCTTTGATTATTATTGGAAAAACTTGAGTTTAGTTGTACTATGATCAATAGTTTTATATTGATAACTATAGTCATTACAAAAAAAATACCCCCGACACCCAAGAGGTGGGTGGGATTTGTCAGTATTATCTCACAGATCTGCATCTGAAGAGACCCAGGCATTCACTAAACAGATACGTTTCCTAGTTGCAATGTGTTCTTTTAAGATAAGAAAACTTAATTGTCGATTTGGTTTGCACAAAATGGAAATTCGTCTTTGGCACTTTGTCATACAAAATAATGGCTTTTCTAAATAAATGTCACCATGCAGATTTATTATCTCATACACAACTTTTTTTCATGTCTACAATTGATAACTTCTGTTAGCCATGATTTAGCCCTAAAATCTGAGTTTTGTTGTATAGGTGCAGGTGCAATTGAATAATTTTCTTTACCATTTCAGCTGATGTTATATACCTGTTTTTCAGTTGAGTTCTGTATACCATTTGAGTATATAAGAGAAAATGTAACAGAAGTGATTACCAATCTCATTAATAACACACTTAAACTAAATCATGGTTGGCAAACAGCTCAGTCTATTGTTAAGTTTTTCCCACTACTTAGAACAATGATTATGAATAATGATTCGTTTTAACATCCTAAATTTCTCAAGAACCTATGGCATGCCTTATTAAAGACAAAATAGGTAGAAGACTAATTAAGCTGACCAATAGAAATGACGGCATGCTCAACTGCCAGAGCTAAGCAAGAGCTTGAAAAATGGCTCCTCTGCAGTTTCAATTAATCAGGTGTATTTTGCTTAATTTTGTTTGACGTTGGCAGAGGAAACGTCCTCTGGGAGTATCTGTCCTTTGACCACTAATGCTTTAGTAATTCTCCCATCAGTAAGAGCATGATTGAACCAATCGTGTGTGTGTGTGTGTGTGTGTGTGTGTGTGTGTGTGTGTGTGTGTGTGTGTGTGTGTGTGTGTGTGTGTGTGTGTGTGTGCATCCAAATTAGTATCGCATTCTCAGTTACTCCTTGTTTTTTCCCCTGCAGAAGTGAATGGGAGTTGATTGCAAAGCCCACACAACCAAGAGTGGAACCTGATTAACCTTTGGTTGACTCCAGCAGCAGCACGTGTGCATAGCAGCTTCCCCTCCTCTCCTCTCCATCCGATATCCCCAGCCAGGAGATGTTTCAGCTCACCTCTGCTGCAGTGATGAATTAACAATAGAACTAGTCAATGGCCCAGTAATTACCAAACACTTCGGACACTGCAACATTCTTCAGCTCTGTCACAGAGGCTTGTCGGTGGCACCGGCTTTCACCTGGAATCCTCCTTGCTCTTCCTAACTTAGTTTTCTCTGACGCAGATTAGATCTGCCACCCCATTACAGATTCATTTTCCTAATTTTTCATGTCTGCGCCGCGCCCCATCTGCACAGGGCTGATAATTGTGGGGACCAGCCCTGGTGATTAACATCAGCAGAATTAATTACGCCCGCCATTAAGGCTCCAGGTTGCACACAATGATCAAGAGAAATTTACTTTCTCCCCAGCCCCTAAATCATCTCACCTTCAAGTGGAGTGATGGCACAGAGAAAGCCAGAGCCCTGGCCCCCGCTTGCCACCTTCTTAACCAAACAAGAGGCACGCATCCCATGCCCACCCGCCCGCCCGCCTCCAGCCTGCCGCCCACTAAGGAGATTACAGCCGGGGCTGACGGGTATCAATTACACCACCTTATGTGGTGGGATGAGGGAGTGGTGCCCTGGGCCCTGTGACTAATGGCCCTGGGTTGGAGACACCCTGCCTGCAGACACCCTGCCTGCAGCTGGAGATCAGGGAGCTAGCTGCCACTCCGGGTAGGCAGGACCTACTGCCAGATGCTGGGGGCTGATTGGTGCACACTCCGACTTGTCAGTTCACTGGCCTGAGATACAGAGCAACAGTGTAAGGTTTATTACTCCAAACAGTGGATTATCTGGCTCTGTCAAGTCTTTATATCATTCAGTAATGCTTTTTATCTGTGTGGGTCAAATGCAAAAGAAGAGGCATGGTATACTAGCTCTGGAAAGTAGCCGAATGTCTCAAGGTTTGCCATTGTGTTTGTGTAGCTGTTCATACAGCATGTGGTCTTAACTGTGTTGTATTGATAGTGAGCTGTGTAACGTGTGTGAGCATACAGAGACGGGGCAGGCCGGCCCTTCAAAAGAGAGTGATGTGTTTGTAAACTACGCTAATGAAACAGGCCCCGTGCCCCGGCTGTACCCAGAACAGTGGTAATGTCAGGAGAAGATAAGCAAATTGCACCTGTATCATATTGACTTGTCAAGGTTAAGCAGTGACAAGCAGGGGAGGAGTGGGAGGTGAAAACTCTCCGTCCTCTCACTCCTTCCTTTGACTGCTGAGGAAGGTGGAGGAGGGGAGAAAAAAGGAGAGGAAAGGGGGAGGCTGCCCTGCTCCAACCTTCAAACAAACACAGTACAGATGAGATGGCAATCAGGAGCCATAGAGAGAGAGAAAGAGAGAGAGTATAGACAACAGAACAGTCATGGGTTTGGCTTTCTCCTCTCATTTAGATTTGATTTGATTTAGCTCCACAGGATCTAATTATGGCAGAGAAAATCCCTTTGGAGTTTTCTCCGCCATATTGAGGATGTCATGATTTGAGAAATGGCTGTGAGATATTAAACAGACCTGTGTGCGTGAGTGTTTTATGGATGCACATCACAGTGAGCAATAATGACATTGGATATCCTATTTGAATGGTAATAAAAACTGTCTAAGCATCTGTGTGCTTATGTTTTAAGGCCTATGGAAATATAACGGCAGTGCAAATACAATGTGTATAGGAATATTGGATTTAAATCACTGAGTAATATATTATTTGTAAAACAGAAAAGTATGTTACACACTTTCACAGTATCCCAAATGATCTAGTCTCATGATAATTGTCATAGGGCTTCACCTTCATTGTAATGGGGGATCTCAAATTTGCAGGGATTAAGACAGTCAGCATCTTTCCTTCCCCTAAAACGATGAGAGGTGCACTATCTCCACACCAGCCCCCCTGCTGCAGGAGGATTTAAAAGGTTAAAAGACTAGTCAGCAATTACCCTCTGTTCATTTGAGGTAAGCTGTAAAACACAATCCCATTACAGCTGCAGACAAATGCCAGACACTGCATCTACAAAGGAAGTGGCTATCGCTTACCTCTCACTGCACCAGCTGCCTTTTACTATCCTGCCTGGAAACAGCTCCTTTGGCAAAGGAGATCAGAGGAATGGGATTTATTGTCTGTTGTTTACTTGTTTCTCTCTCTGTGTGTGTGTGTGTGTGTATGTGTGTGTGTGTGTGTGTAACAACAGAACTCTGTGTTCGTCAATCTGAGATAGTCCAGAAAGTGTCAGAGTGACATTTACTGCACATATTGCAGGGAAACAGCTAGGCAGAGCACACCATCTACAAAGTAGTCCCCTTTGACTCCAGCACTCAACAAATCAGAGCTGATGGGCATGCTGGAGAGGGGGCACTGACACAGAGCTCCTTAAGAGCCCTAGTGTGCCCCAGGAATGTGGCAGAGTAAGGCCAGGCAGGCAGCAGAATAAGGGGATGTCTGGGGTTCGTCTAGGGCCCCGCCCAATGTCTCCTCTATTAAAACTACAGTACTAACTTTAGACTTATAGAATGCTCTCAAATGATGAGAGATGGCCAAAAACTGATGAACTTCCTCTAATTCTTTCAGGTTATTGATCTCCAACCCCAAAGAGTTAGGTTGGTGTGTGGGGATACCAACTCAATAGAAAATTAGTCCTGGGCGTTTAAGTCATTAGATAATACTTCCCGTATTAGTGGGGTAGGCAGTGTGGTTGGCAGGCAGATTTACAGCACTCTGTGTGGCAGGCAGGCCAGGCAGCTTGCGGTAACGCGGGGGACGTTAACTCCACTCATTAAACAGAGGATGTCATCACTCTGCGCCACCGCTGGACGGTACGTGTCACACGTATCCGCCATAGACCAGCTTCTGTCCAGCACAGTCCACAACATCCTCTAAATCTGTCATCGCAGCCCAGACCTGCGACCCAAAATTGGCCATGCCACCCTGCTTTAGGTAGAGGACATGTGGGGGTGTGTTTGTGCGGGTGGACATGTGTGAGCATTTAGGCATGTGTATGGCTGTATGGGACAGCGCTCGGCACACGGCGGCCGGTGCACATGGTCCGAGGTGTGGGCTTGGCGCTCATTACAGACCCGCTGCTGTACACTGACCAGATAAGCAGAGCAAGACAAGATAAGAGAACACTTCTGTCTACACATAAATGCAGCCAGCCACAGAGACAGTCAAAGCACTACATTAAAATCCCTTTGAAATGTCTTCATTTTTTAAAATAAGGAATAATATTGTCCTTGTGTGTTAGGTGTTCATAAGCTTACATATACACTGAGTGTACAAAACATTAAGGAACGCCTGCTCTTTCCATGACAGACTGACCAGGTGAAAGCTATGATCCCTTATTGATGTGACTTGTTAAATCCACTTCAGAGGGTGAATGGGCAAGACCAAATATTTAATTGTCTTTGAACGGGGTATGGTAGGTGTCAGGTGCACCGGTTTGTGTCAAGAACTGCAACACTGCTAGGTTTTTCATGCTAGAAATGGTCCACCACCCAAAGGACATCCAGCCAATTTGACACAACTGTGGGAAGCATTGGAGTCAACATAGGCCAGCATCCCTGTGGGGGTGGTGCAATTCAATATTAGGAAGGTGTTCTATAATGTTTTGTACACTCACTGTATATCTACATTGAAAAATCTAAATTGGTGAACGTTTGCCGTGTGGTGGAATTAGGGGAGATCAGTTGAAATACTAATGAGAGAGTAATTTATTAGGTGCTGAGGATTGGATGTTACGTTAATTCTAACTTTAAACAATTATTGCTAGAAGAGATATATTACTGTGTTGTGTGCTACCAACACCCACCAATACAATGGAACTTTAATTTTATTGCATTTACACAGGCTGCTTATGTTATATGGGGTACTTACTGTGTGTACGTGTATGACTATTGATACTGTATATAGCACATAAAAGTAACAAAATGTGTTTTTATGCATAAATCAACAGATCCTTGCTTTTTTCATTCCATGCACTGACATCATTTTCTTAGATCTCTGTGTTTTGCCTGTAATGTCAATGTTTTGCCTGCATTGAGAGAGAGAGCACAAGAGAGCAAGAGAGAGAGATGTTTGATCTGCTTCGACATCATGCATATGGCTCCCTCCTAGGACGTTTTGAAGTATTGCACTATTTGAAGAGTATTTACTTTATCCATTTACTCAAATGTAATTCCCAGTGACAGATATGAACTATGTTTTACAATAAACTTCTTCCTTAGTGAATTACCAAAAGGCATAGAGGGGCAATGTTACTACAGCAATCTAATTTAGCTCAACAATTGTAATGTTTATAGACTACAAACACATGAATAAGAATGGGAGAAAATACTATGTAAAAAATTAAATGTACATTGAACAAATATATTAAATGCAGCATGCATGAGTTACAGTTCATATAAAGGAAATTAGTCAACTGGTATAAATTAATTAGGCCCTAATCTATGGATTTCCCATGACTGGGAGTACAGACATAGCGGCAGGAAGTGGTTTGGGGGTGCCATATTGGTCTGCTAATACAGGACTATTAAAGGCCCAGTGCACTACCCAGTGCACTACTTTTATGAAAAAAATATTTGTATTCCGATTTTTCAGGTGGTGCTGCAGCACCCTCAGCACTCCTACTTCGCGCGGCTATGAATACAGATATGCATCTGTTTCAGGGGAGGACCATCCTCCTCAGTGAATTTCAGAATAATGTAAATAGGGAAACATTTAAAAAGTTATCCTTTTTAGATAAAACTATACTAAATATATTCATGTCACCAAATAATTGATTAAAACACTGTTTTGCAATGAAGGTCTACAGTAGCCTCAACAGCACTCTGTAGGGTAGCACCATTGTGTAGCCAGAGGACAGCTAGTTTCCATCCTCCTCTGGGTACATTGACTTCAATACAAAACCTAGGAGGCTTGTGGTTCACCCTATTCCATGGACTTACAAAGTAATTATGACAACTTCCAGAGGACGTCCTCCAACCTATGAGAGCTCTTGCAGCATGAACTGACATGTTGTCCACCCAATCAAAGGATCAGAGAATGAATCTAGTACTGAAAGCAGTTGACTCAAAGAGAGAGAAAGACAATAGTTGAACAGTTTTGAACAAAAATAAATGAAGGAGAAGCAAGAGAGAGAAAGAGCTAGCTATATTTCATATTTTTTTCACTTAATTAGCTAGCGAATGCAGCTAGCTAGTTTAGCCTCCTTAAACACCCAGCTCAAACAGAGAAGGATGCTATGTTAGCTAGCTGGCTATGACTCTCCAACACTGGAACTCTTCCAAGTCAAGGTAAGCTTTTGGTTTTATTAATTTATTGCCACCGGGGCCCGCCGGTGTAACCGCTAAACTCCCTGCTGACTGTACTGCATTGTAGAGGGTTTACTAACACGTTAGTTCTAGTAGCCATGTTGACTGACGTTATAATATGGTGACAACGATGTAGGCTGTGTGTAGCAGTTAGCAGTTATGATATGAAGGTTTGGCTTGGAAAGGTTTTTTCGCCTGGTCACAGACAGCTGATGTGTTGTGCACTGAAGTCCACAAGCGAAGGGAAAAGGTGAGAGGAGGAGAGGAGGAGAGCGCGTAGATGCAAGAAGAAATTATACAATGATCAAAGGGACCATGCAGTATGTATGTGGCAGCTATGAAGGTGAACTGTGTTTGCATGTGATCAGGGGTGTATTAATAGGTTGTAGAAACCTCATGATGGGTATAGGGAAAATTTGAGTATCATGTAGTAGCCTAAACCTATTGATGGTTACATTGAGCTGAGTGAATGGAAAATGAATGACAGTCATCCAATATTCTGTAATAGAAATAAGGCCATGCTTATAAAAACAATAATCGTCCTCCCTCATCTTAAACCGCACCAACCGCTACTGATCTGTTGGTACAGATACTTTTAAAAAAGGTAGTGGCATGGATCAGAAAACCAGTCAGTATCTGGTGTGACCACCATTTGCCTCATGCAGCATGACACATCTCCTTCGCATTGAGTTGATCAGGCTGTTGATTGTGGCCTGTGAATGTTGTCACACTCCTCTTCAATGGCTGTGCAAAGTTGCTGGATATTGGGGATACAGTTTGTGCAAAAATTATTCGGTTGTGCAAACCCACAGTTTCATCAGCTGTCCGGGTGGCTGGATGTGGGATGTCCTGGTGTGGTTACACGTGATCTGCGGTTGTGAGGCCGGTTGGACGTACTGCCAAATTCTCTAAAACAACGGAGGCGGCTTATGGTAGAGAAATGAACAGTCATTTCTCTGGCAACAGCTCTAGCGGACATTCCTGCAGGCAGCATGCCAATTGCGCGCTCCCTACAAAACTTGAGACATCTGTGGCATTGTGTTGTGTGACAAAACTGCACATTTTAAATTGTCCTTTTATTGTCCCCAGCAAAAGGTGCACCTGTGTAATGATTATGCTGTTTAATCAGATTCTTGATATGCCACACCTGTCAGGTGGATGGATCATTTTGGTAAATGAGAAAAGCTCAAACAGGAATGTAAACAAATGTGTGTACAAAGTTTGAGAGAAATAAGCTTTTTGTGTGTATGGAACATTTCTGGGATCTTGTTTCAGCTCATGAAACATGGGAGCAACACTTTACATTTTGCGTTTATATTTTTGTTCTTGGTGAAAATAAAATATATTTTTTAATAAATCGGACATACTGAAAATAAGATTGAAAGCAAAGTAGCTGCATATTTTATCCCTGTTAATTGAAAATGTGTCTTACTGGGGAAGAGAGATCAAAACGAGAGAATGTGATTTTTCCTTCCGCGGCCACTTCTCTGCACAAGTAATCAAACAACAACACTTGCCCCCCAATTCCCCCTCCATGATACATGTGTAAATATTGTACTAAAGATTGTGCCTTCCCTACCGAGCCATTGGCTTTATGTTCATATTCTAATATTTTATTATTTCTTATTGCTGTTGCATTGTCGAGAAGGAACCTGCAAGTAAGCATTTCGTTGGACAGTGTATACCATGTGTATCCTGTACATCCGACTTATAAAACTTAACTAGAAACATTAGGAAAATTTTTTTTGATGAATAACAGGTGGATTATGACATATTTACTACCCTATTGAGGAACTTTGATGTCCATGTGGCATTCATTACTTGAATAAGATTTTAAATAGATTATGAACTTGATAATTATGTAACAGACATGTTTATGACTGCTAGTGGACATTAGCTAAATAAAACCGGTGTACCAATAACAGATGTAAAACAGGATTAAAACACGACGCAATCGTTCACTTTATCTGTATTGCTTAATAATTTCAGTGTCTGGAGAAAGACTGGAATGTTGACTTAGGTACATATGCAACAGTAGCATTGGCTATAAGGCTAATTGTGAATTAGAGCCAGCCCATGTTCCTATTTCAGCACACAGAAACAATATGCATTAACGATAGCAGTGAACTATTTCTGCAACCCAACGTGTGGAGTGTGTATGTGTGCGAAACACCCATTTGTGATGGCCAGGTGAGCAGGTCTTTATTCAGCTGGCCCATCCTGATGTAGATAGTGTTTATTGTATCCAAGTGGTGCCGTTAGAGATTGTGTCTACTGATATTTGGCTGTTGCTTTTCATCCAATAAATTGGCCCTCTCCGCTCGTCATCAACAGTGCAATCATTCTCAGTGATGCTAGAGCACCGGGGAGGAAAGAAGAGGCCCTCCAAGATGGATGTGTGTTATTGTTTGTGTGATGACAGTGGGTTTCAATCAGGTCCTCTGCGCTCTAATCCCAGGTAGAGCTGTTGAGATGCTGAGTCAGGTCCTGCTTCATCGATCCATCACCCCAGGCTAGCGGTGGGCAGGTGTAGTCCCCTTCTCCCTGGAGACACAGGAAACACCTGCCCTGCTCTCCTCGGGACATCATCATCCCTCCATTCCTTTGTCTCAGGCTGCTGGGAGCTCAACGTCGCCAAGCAGAAACTGTGAAAGCAGCACTTTTGTGCTCGTTTGTTTGTCTGTACAGAAGAATTAGGGAAGGGAGTGTGGCTGTCCCTCGCCTCCCACACCTGTTCCCCCACCCCTACCTCTCTCGCCCAGGAAGAACGGAAATGCACTGAATGGACCGCACACACAACTGCTTCAGAACTGCCTGAATCCGTGCAGGGCAGACCACATACATCTGTAGAATAAACCTCAATGACACCACACTGTAATTACCAATGCATTTCATCTTTATCTTATGACATAACCCCCCAATTTTTCAAAGCGAATGCTCTTTCAATACAGCTTTTAAGACAATTACTTTGATAGTGTGGTAAGAGAATGAGCAGTGGTTATAATTACATTTGAAGCTAGTAAAAGGCCAGTGAGGGGCGAGAGTATATGTTTCTCCTGCAGCAGGTAGTCAATTAGAGGCAGAGGGAGACTGTGCAGCAGTGCAGTCCTCTCCTCTGTTGCTCCTCCACTGAGGTGCTGTAAATAAGGTTTTATTACAGCACACTATCTGCTTCTCCTACATCAATAGCCCAATCCATTCCAATGTAATCACTTCTTCACCTTCTATTTCTCATTGAGACTAACAATAAAGGTCATGGTTGCCACTTTAAAATGGCCACCTTCTTGGCCAGATTAAAGAAATAATGACTGCCTCTTTGTTCATTTTTTATGTAGCTGGATTCCTCTGCTTTACACGCCAAGAGTTATCACGTGTTGCCGCTGACAAACTAAAGGGAGAGAACGACCCAAACTGCTTTATTACTCCCAGAGAGCTCTGTGAAGATGGCTGCCATTATCTGTCCATATTTAGAAAGGAGAGAAAAATGGTCCTGAGTCCAGTCTTGGCCTGAAGCTCATTAAGAAGGCTTTACCAGCGCCATCTTGCCTGTATCAATAGACAATATGGCGGAGACCATGTATCAGTCTACACAGATCATTCAATACAGCAAATTAAATTGAGCAAATTGATTTAATATTCTAGGAAACTCCCAACCATTGCTATTCCTTTATCAGTCCATACAGAAGGTCATTTCTTTATGAGGACGTTTAAGGTAAATTGCTTTGTCTTCCAAATCCTCTGAGGCTTCATGTCCTAGTAATAGACGTAAAGCAGCGTGAAGTAGATTAAGCAAAAAACATCATGCTTTGTTAGTCCCACAAACATACAAAGTCGCTTTGTGGCAAACTAATATGAACATTGGATTTGCACATCACAGGCAATTCATTTCAATGCAGAAAACCTGAACCTCCGAAGTCAAAAAAACATTCCATAAACGATATACAGCCTGTTTGAAGCAAAAGGTGAAGGGAAACTGTATCTTTGGCAGATAGAGTAACACTTCTGCTTTTCCCAGACAACTTGGAACCGTAAAGAGGACATATTCCACGTTGAATAAATGGTATTTTACAAAATACAGACATGGAGTGTGGAAGCAGTTTTCGGCATAGCAGGACACCAAACTCATCAGCCAAAAGAGCAATTCCCTTATGTTGAATACTTTATGCAGTGCTATAAACATGGAGTGTACATGTGGAGCCCAATGGCTCTGGTAAAACTATTGATATGAGTCCATGTCTTTGGTGTTTGGCCTTGGAGGGGAGACCACGCTGAGCTGTTTATGAGCCTCTTGAACAAAGAATGTACAGTGATCTGACGTTCCATAAAATTCCAAAGGCATTTTATCGATGATTAATGTGATTCAATCAACAAATCTGCATGCAAATTGTGGGAAATGTTGCTTAGCCCTGGGCTAAAGAGGCTCTAGGCCTGGACTAAGTCATAAAATTGTGTGGTGTGAAAAGCCGCACTGTAATTTTCTTCCCTTATTAGAAACTATTAACTGTTTGCCTAAAGCTTATCTGTTTGTCTGAAGCTTGTCTGTCATCAGTAGCTCTCAGCCAGTGAGGTCTACAGTTGTTTGCAGATCACTCACATATTCACGACACACACAGGCCCCAAAAACAAAGCCACAAATGCTACCTTTAGCTCCCAATAAGTTGTAGTTACACCACTGATTCTATTTTTATTTGGTGTGATTTACACCCATTTCCTCCATGCAATAGTACAGGAAACAGATGCTAGGAATTGTTCTTTTCCTAAATTCCTGGGAGAGAGAGTCTGGTCAACACTGATGTGCGGGCTTGGCTTTGTACTCGCATGAGAAGGGGTGGTAGACAGTGACTAGATTGACTCCCTGGTTTCCCTGCTCTGAATCTCCATTTCCTCACAGTTTCCACTTGCGTATGTCCGTTTGCCCAAAGCCAGGTTGGCCATGCTTTATGGCAGGCTTCCCTCGCGGAACCACCGCTGCGTTTTCCCAGGACAAGGTCAAGACTCGCCCTCTGCTTCTGCTGCGACAGAGACAGGTGATGGATGTGACGGCTGTTCCCATACAGAATATGAGCTGAATACAGATGCATGGAATAAAGTGGTCAACATACTCTGTTTAGACACAGTTTTAGGGTAAATCATTATTAAAAGGGAAATAATTAAACACCCTGGAATATTGGTGTGGGTGAAAACCACAGTTTGTAACAATTCCAGTAAGTTTAAGTACGGAACGTTCCTTGAGTCAGGAAATAAATACTTACCTAAGGATACATTAAGGACCTATTACTACTATTTATGATTTTGAAACCAAATGATGAATTGTAGGCTATGGCTTCAAACCATGTTTACAATAGGTAATGTGGCTCTCTTGGAACGTGATTAGGCTACAACGACAACATATATTTAATAGAATTGCTATTTGCACATGAAAATGTTATGGGATGCTTTGATCAATTGTTGTATTTTTGTTGGTGGCCCACTCTTTGATGGTATGCACAGTACGCATTTACAGAGTGTGGCATCAACCCAATAATAATACTCCAGCCACAAATCATTACTTTCATGGGCAAGAGCTCCATCTAGAGGACTTTTGACATTTGAGGGAATGTTTTGACATAGGTTTAGGGCAGGCTATGCAGAACCCTGCTGAAAATGACACTGACACTACAACCCGTTATTGTGGACCATCCAAACTGTACACTCAGTGATTTTGAAGCCAATTTGTTCACCAGTTTCAATGATGGTTCAATCACGTATTAATGTGGTATTACTGAAAAAGCTGTTGGGATAATCATAGGAATTGCAGATTGGCACATAGCGCCATCTATTGGTCCAATAAGCAATCAGGATAATTTACATTATAATTTACTGACAAAATAATAGGTTACTTTATGTTGAATTTATTCCCCCACATAGCTCAAATGAATGCTTAACATAACAAATGTTTTTTTATTTGATTCATACCAGAAGTATGAAGAAGAGCCCACATCTTCAAGGTCGATGTCTTTGCCTCTTTTGGGGAGAAAAACACCAACATTACAGAATAGATTTGGTGGCCGAAGATTCTGCATCTCTACGGTGTAATCTGAAAGGAACTGACCAGCTGCATGAATGATCTCCATCACCTCAAGATACATTCGGCAACAAGCTCCTCCTCCATGAAGATTTACTGGATAGGAAGCTTTTGCTGACAGGGGCTGCTGTTACCACAGATATATGGTAAAACATAATTTGAGTTCTATAATGGTTATAAAACTTGAATTAATGATTGTCTTAAGTGCTGCCTTTAAAACCAAAGAGGGTGTCACTCCCTTCTATTCAAGGAGTTGGTTACGTCATTCATTTGTCTGCCAAAATACATAATCTAGTGCAGGATTGGACAGTTGTAAGGTATATCAAGGCAACTGTGTAATTTGTTTTTATGACAAACTATATTTATTTATCTGCAGGCTTTTAGGCGTTTAGTTTAAATCCTTTTAAAATTGTATGAATGAAATTCAAATGTGTCCTTTTGAACAGGTTTGGGGTCAATTCTATTTGACTTACAGTCAATTCAGGAAGTACACTGAAATTCCAATTCTCTCCAATGTTTTTCAATGAGGAAAATGTGGAATTGGGTTTGCTTTCTTAATTGACTAGAATTGAAATGGAATTGACGTCAACCCTGCTTTTTAAGTATTTTGATGCTCAGCCACTGCATGTCATATGTACAGTGAGTGCATTAACTACCCAACTCTGTGGAAAGAAGGGCATCATCTTAATGTTGTATTTACTCTGCGAGTTTGGGCTGTGATAAACTATTAGTAGCATACAATGCTGATTACCCTTGATGTTCTGCAACAAGATGAAAGATGACAAAAACCCATCACTCATGGAATGTTTTATCGAACCCCAGGTTGGGAGAGAAAATATTCCCACCTGTAGCTGGTAATAATGTGTGGGATGGGTCGGTAGTCTGTGATATATCTCAGTGTCAGGGGGCTGTCACCCCATGTTCAGAGAGTATGGGGTGTGATCAACAACCGAACAAACATGCTGTCCAGGGGTTGGGGCAAGGAGAAGTACACAGAGCATCAATCAAACTCCATCTGTGAGGAGCAGATACCGCAGCACACATGCCTCTACGCTCAGCTCTGCTCAGCTAACCTCTCTCAACACCCAGCCCTCTTCTGTTTTGTGCCATTTCAGTCCAACATTTTGATTAAAAAGAGGTTGCTGGTTCATACATTCCTATGCTTTGTCCAAAGCTTACTGCCAAGTGCAGAGGTGCCAATAATACACCAACGTCAAAGACAAAGTTGGCAAATGCATATCTCGCATCATGTCACTCTGTTGAAGTAATGTTCAAATCAAATCACATTTTATTTGCCACATGCACCCAATACAACAGGTGTAGACATTACAGTGAAATGCTTACTTACAAGCCCTTAACCAACAATGCAGTTTTAAGAAAAAAAAATTAAAAAGTGTTAAGTAAAAAATAGATAAGTAAAAAATAATTAAAGAGGTGGGGGTGGGAGGGACAATGCAAATAGTCCGGGTAGCCATGATTAGCTGTTCAGTAGTCTTATGGCTTGGGGGTAGAAGCGGTTAATAAGCATTTTGGACCTAGACTTGGCGCTCCGGTACCGCTTGCCGTGCGGTAGCAGAGAGAACAGTCTATGACTAGGGTGGCTGGAGTCTTTGACAATTTTTAGGGCCTTCCTCTGACAACGCCTGGTATAGAGGTCCTGGATGGCAGGAAGCTTGGCCCCAGTGATGTACTGGGCCGTACGCACTACCCTCTGTAGTGCCTTGCGGTCGGAGGCCGAGCAGTTGCCATACCAGGTGGTGATGCAACCAGTCAGGATGCTCTCGATGGTGCAGCTGTATAACTTTTTGAGGAACTGAGGACCTATGCCAAATCTTTTCAGTCTCCTGAGGGGGAATAGGCTTTGTCGTGCCCTCTTCACGACTGTCTTGGTGTGTTTGGACCATGATAGTTTGTTGGTGATGTGGACACCAAGGAACTTGAAGCTCTCAACCTGTCCCACTACATCCCTGTCGATGAGAATGGGTGCGTGCTCAGTCCTCTTTTTTTCCTCATAGTCCACAATCATCTCCTTTGTCTTGATCACGTTGAGGGAGAGGTTGTTATCCTGGCACCACACGGCCAGGTCTTTGACCTCCTCCCTATAGGCTGTCTCATCATTGTCGGTGATCAGGCCTACCATTGTTGTGTCATCGGCAAACTTAAATGATGGTGTTGGAGTCGTGTTGAGCCCAGTGTAACGTCAACTCCTGTTCCAGGCCTCTAAATGCTTGTTGGGAGCATTTCCTCCTTCAGTTGCACCAGGGTATGACTGACTGCCTGATTTTTGACAGCATGACTTTTGGACAAATCCCCTCACATCTGCTGCTCCCCTCATACAGCAGTGGTTGGCATGGGCTTGGACTGGGCAGCAATACATTGTTTATGGCTGCTGGGCTATCCTTGGCTGTTCCCCCTGCACAACATTTTATCAGGCTTGAATGTTTTCCTTCTTAGCTGGTGCTATGGGTAAATGAGAACCCCACATAAAACACTGTAATCAATGCCAATGTCACAGATTGTTCAAAATCAACATGGAGACAGAAGCTGTTGCCCATTTCGAATGGCATTCAGAATAAAACAAAATAATCATTGAGATCCATGGTCTCAATAAAGTATCCATTGTTGCTGTAGCATGCAGAGTATTTGACAACTCCTACACCCAAAGGCGAGAACTCCTGGTACCAAACAACTACCACTGTTCCTTAATTAAGGGCAAGCTCTGAAGCAGAAATAATGTTATCAGGCCTCAATCTCATTATCAGTTTAATTAAGAAATAAATGTGCTGGAACAAACATAGGTGATATGTAATCGACAGTGTCAGAGTGAGGGGTGGAACACAGGACATATTTCATTCATGGTTATTCATAGATATTCTGTTGGTTTAAGAATCCTTGTTTTCATCCATTGTAACAACTGTCTTATTAACTGTTACGGATATAACAATATAATGAATCTCTGTAGTTATAATGGTATTTTACTTAAAAGGTACAATAATACCACCTATCATATAACAGTACGGTAATAACCAAAACAAAGACATACCGCACTACAACTGTAAATTGGCAATAAATACAAATGAAGGTTAATGACAGTGAAATATTGCCATTTTTATTGGGGCTGTATTTTTTCCTGGCACCCTGTAATGGTAATGACAGACATTATTCCATCCAATAAAACAGTAAAATTCGTGGATACTTGTCCAGATCTGATTTTCAACAAGATTCTATATTTATGGTGAAGCAGCTGATGGCAATAGCATATTGAAGTTGTACTGTTCAATGTCAACACTGACAGTGGTCAAATCCAGAAAGAAATCACTTATGAGTATTCAGATACAATTTGCACTTGCATTAAAATGTGTAGGCTATCTTAAGGCGTTACAAATACTTAACAGTTGCATTTCCCTGCATTTTATTTTAATTTTAAAAAAATCCGTATTCAAGAATCACAAAATATTTCCTTTGTTTTGTAGCTATGGGAAAATATGGAAAAACCTGGTTTTAATGACTATGGGGAAAACAATCAATTGTGGCCATTCTGGTACATTGCCCTCAGTGTCCACTAGGTAGCAGACAACTTCCTTGTTTCACTCCTACAGCTACAGGGCACACGGAGCGTGCATGATTAACACGGTCATCACAAATGTTAAAGATTATACATTAGAATAAAAAGATGAGTCTAAATCTTTCATTGATATCATCATTGTACATTTAAATAAAGGTATACTATTCAGCTGAATAATTTACTCTGAATCATTGCTCTTAATCAGCTTGCCCGGCCTATCCAGTTTATTCTGGTAAAACCACAAAAACCGATCCTGGATCAGTTAACGGCTACACGAGCAGTTCAGACTTCTAATCACGTGGTGCAGTAGCTTCCTTTCTTCTCAGAACCAAGGAGAGAATACTTCGCAAAATGGAGGTGATAAATGTTGATTGTTTATCAATGTCTGCATATATTTGCGTTGCATGTAACAATGTAAAGTGTATTATGAGCAAACAGGTCTTTGAAAATGATACAGCGACATAAAATGTGCAAATTATTCTAAGCGCAATTTTAGGAAGGCAACATTAACGTTAGCTAGCTAACGTTAGCGCAGCGGCGTTTCTGAACATTTGGCTAGCAAAATTGTATCATGCCAGTCAGAGTTCTACGGTTACAATGTTGCAGTAATGATGGTTTATAGAATGTCTCCACATTTCAACAAGTACTTCAATATATCATTAATTGGCACATAGGCCTAAAATGTAGGACAGGCCAAACCTTACCTACCGATTGTAACACCAGATAATGTGATATAACCCCCAAAAATGTGTTTCCATTATACTGGGAGTTACAGGTTAGGTAGGTAACGTTACTGTTTGGTGTAGCTCAGATAATTTTCGACCAACCTTACTGCTTGGCGATACTGGCTTTGCCCTCGATTCGTCGAAATAGGGGTCTCATAAAATGTCCAGTTGCAGGGGGTCTGTTTGAATTTAGAAAATGCTCTGTTATTAAAAATAAAATGTTTTGTTCCATAAATGAATCCAACAATGTGTACCCCGCCATCTTGCCTATTTCAAGTCTTCGCTCATTGATTGAGACAGATGGGTCCACCCCAAAGTGCCGCATGTCATGACAGACCCCTGTCTCGATCAACGAGAGAAGACTTGAAATATACAAGATGGCGGCGTACATGTTGTTGGATTACTTCATGGAGTAATTTTATTTTAATAACGGAGCATTTTCTAAATTCAAACGGACCCCCTGCAACTGGACATTTTATGAGACTCCTGTTCCCACAAATCGAAGACGAAGACCGTATTGCTAAGGTTGGTCAAATTATGTGCTACACCAAATGGTACCTAACCTGTAACTCCCAGTATAATGGATACTACAATTGTTTGGTTAAATCACATTATCCAGTTTTACAATCTGTAGCTAAAGATTAGCCTGCCCTACATTTTAGGTCTATGTATCCCAATGAATGATACATTCAAACACTTGTTGAAATTTGGAGACATTCCATCATCATTCTACAAACCAAGATTACTGCAACATTGTAACTGTAGAACTCTGTGACTGGCATGATGCAATTTAGCTTGCTAAATGTTCAGAAATGCAGCTGTGCTAAAGTTAGCTAGCTAATGTTGCCTTCCTCAAAATGCGTTTAGAATCGTCTGCATTTTGTCACTGCATAATGTTCAAAGACCTGTTTGTTCAATAGTTGTTGCATGCATTGTTTTATAAAGTAAGGAATTGGCTACATAATAATATTTGCATTATAAAATGTATTATAATGCTTTTAAAATGGCAAAATTGTTTTCCCTAGAATGTCCAAGAGTCTTGGCTAATGAGAAAATTCTATCTCAGTACATTTACACTTAAGATATTGCAATCTAGGTTACTACACTGTAAAATGTTTGAAATAAGATGGTATAGTCTGTTGTTCATACAATTACATTGTTGTGTGACATGCATACCTGTTTTGAATCATTTTAAAAGGGACATGAAGCAAGGGAGCCTGAACAGCTCAGGAAGCTGTTCATTGGGGGCCTAAGTTTTGAAACCACAGAGGAAAGTTTAAGGATCCATTTTGAACAATGGGGAAACCTCACAGACAGTGTGGTATGTATGCATTTCACAAGTGTCTAGTATTTCTATGAGGCCTGCCAAAGTCTTAAAGTAATGTGAGATAATACGTTGGTTTCATGTAGGTGATGCGGGACCCAAACAACAAGCGCTCGAGAGGGTTCGGCTTTGTAACATACTCCTGTGTGGAGGAGGTGGATGCCTGTATGGCAGCTCGCCCTCATAAGGTGGACGGACGTGTTGTTGAACCTAAAAGGGCTGTATCGAGAGAGGTAAGCAAACTGCTTCACATTCACGTGCATTTGCGATTGTCAAAGTGTGACAAGTGTGTGCTCACTGCTCAGTTCTCTTCTGTCACAGGACTCTAATAGACCAGGTGCCCACCTGACGGTGAAGAAGATCTTTGTTGGGGGGATCAAGGAGGACACACAGGAGGACCATATCAGGGAGTACTTTGAGAGCTACGGGAGGATTGAGACCATTGACATTATGGAAGAACGCGCAACTGGGAAAAAGAGGGGTTTCTGCTTTGTCTCATTTGATGACAATGACACTGTGGATAAAATTGTTGGTGCGTATGGGGTTGTTGCAGCTTTGAATTGCTCACTTTTAAATATCAGTAAACATTCCTTTTGCTAAGTATTTGCCTTGTTTTCTTTTCAGCTCAAAAATACCACACAATAAACAGCCACAACTGCGAAGTCAGAAAAGCACTCCCAAAACAGGAAATGATGGAGGCGTCCAATCAGAGGAGTAAACATAATAACCCATCTTTATTTGTCCAAATGTATGACTGTTTTAGAGTGGCACAAATAGAATGTACTTCAGTGTCAATAATGGCATTTTCTTTTTAGGTAGGGGTGGTGGCTCTGGAAACTTCATGGGTAGAGGTGGCAACTCTGGTGGTGGCAACTTTGGTCAAGGTAAGTCCCTTTCACATTTGATATGTGGATACATTTGGAACAGTAATCACACCAGCAATGTAAACTTAGTTATCTTGTGTGTTACAGGAGGCTACGGTGGCGGAAGAGGAGGGGATGGATACAATGGATATGGAGGAGAGGGTAAGTATTTCTGTAGTGGATCGTTAGATAAGGAGTGGTCACTTGAAGATGCATTTCTAAAAGAGAGCTTACTATAATCTGAGTGCTCTGCTTTTGTCTTTTTTCTGATCTGAGTTGTTTGTAACCTTTCTGTCCAGGTGGAAACTACAGTGGGGGACCTGGCTACAGAGGTGGACGTGGTGGCGGGTATGGGGGAGGAAGTCCTGGGTATGGAAACCAGGGAGGAGGCTTTGGAGGAGAATATGATAACTACAATGACAGAGGCAACTTCAGGGGTACGAATGCCTGTTTTAGCCAGTATATATTGTCATGACACATGATCTGTTCTTTGAATGAGCTGAACCCACAGTCATTGGATGTGATGTCTGCTATTAACCTAAAAACAAATCCCTGTGGCTCGTAGGGAACTTTGGTGGTGGAAGAGGTGGAAATTACAATGACTTTGGTAACTACGGAGGACCGCAATCCAGCTATGGCCCCATGAAGGGGAACAACTTTGGTGGCAGAAACACTGGTGGTGGCCCCTATGGAGGTGAGTATTCCCTCGCTGAGCTGGATGAGGCGATGTGCTGTCTGATGTTGTGATTACACAACCCTCATCTGTCAATCATTGTTCATTCTAGGTGGCTATGGCTCAGGCGGTGGAAGTGGGCATGGCTATGGCTCACAGCGATATTGATACTATGATGCTAGGGTAAGTTCCGTTTGAAAATACTGTGTATACCTGACTGTATAGTACAGCATGAGGCCACGCAACACTAGAATAACTATTTGTTTTATCCTGTATCCATTCAACAGGCTTCAGTTCTTAGCAGGAGAGGAGATGAGCAAGGATTTGTCAGGAAAGCAGCAGGTTACTGTACTTTTAGGCAGTCGTCTGAAAGCATTTAGAGGAACAGAAGTCAGAAAGTTACTGCAGCTTTAACGGGAGACTAATCCTAAGAAAGACTGTACACACAAACTACAAAGTGCAAGGGTGTAGCTAGTACCTTATTTGTGGTAGATGTTCCCCCACTTTATAATTGTTCCTTTTGTGCATCTGAAGTGTATGTATTGTTGTGCCTGTGGAATCAGGAGTAAAATAATAAAATAATTTCGAACTCCAGTCAGTTTTGAATAGTCCTACATTTATTTTGCTGTAGATTGATAGATTTTCTATGGTCTTCTCATATTTGTCGTTTTGAAGAACTTGGTCCTGTCAAAAGGGCGTATACGCATCAGGCCCTCAAATTAGCTAGAGCTGTCCTTTTTTCTTCTTCTTTGAAGTTAATATGATTGCAAGTCTTTGTATCAAGTGTATTATGATTTGTATTTCAAGAACCCTATGTATTTCATTAGTGACAAGTGGTTATAAGTAGTGCAGACAACAATTTAAGGAAATGTGTTTTACGCTACTTGTATGCAGTAAACAGAATTATAGATTGTGAAAATATTTTGACAAGTGGAAAAAACATTTAATAAAGTTGTGTAGTAAAGTATTTTGAAGTATAGTGCATCATTGGCTCAGAGAGTTTGAAGGATTGGATTCTTGTCATGTGTCATTACAAATCAAGTGTAGCAAATCAATATTCCTCAGAAGTATGTTTTGTTTTCTCTGAACTTCTTTGAAAGCATCTTTTTTTTCTGCCTGGATGGAAAGGGAGTCTTGGCTAGTCCTAGGGCGAGGGACACGCATCGCCTAGCCAGGATTGCACTAGTAGGATTGTTACAGCTACAAGCCACTTCAGTTGGGCCTCAGCGGGTCAGTATGGAAGATTGCAGAGTATTTTTTCAGACAGGACCTCTTCAGCCCCAGCACAGTGGACAAGTCAGCATGTTGTGAGAGAAAAGAGAAGGCAGCACCGAGAGCCGCACCCTTGGAAAGCATATTCTAGCAAATAAAGACTAACTAGAGTTCCTGGACACTTAGATCTGGTTGAGTCAGATATGGCAGTTTACCAGGAAGTCCTTATTAGCTTTCAGACCTTACAGGGGAAAGGGAAGTGAGTATTTCACAAGCAGTGGTAACATGAAGATGCAGGTAAGAGTAACCACTTTGCTTGATTTACAGATCGTGAAAGAAGCATTACCACTACTCTTAAAGGCTGAAAATCTCTAATGACACGATTACATGGACATTTCTGGATGGGTAAGACTTAAGTAATTCTCAAAGTATACTGGAAGGTGTAAGGCTGCACACACCAACATTCAAATAAGGGTGAACAATTGCTGTTGAGTATGGAATCCCTTCTGAGAGTGAAAGGGTACCATTCACTCAATTTAAGGTCATTTTTAAGGATCTCATGCATTTCTTGCACAGCTCACTGATCTCTGGGAGTCTGCAGAACAGGCTTACAGTCATGCAGGCTTACATTACAGGTATCTTGATATTTTGCTCTGCATTTTATATATTTTCAATATATCGCTTTGAATGGTAACATTAAAAAGTATAACTGAATTAAGGATGGAGATTTTTTCACCCCCTGGTCAGACAAGGTACAGTGGGGGAAAAAAGTATTTAGTCAGCCACCAATTGTGCAAGTTCTCCCACTTAAAAAGATGAGAGGCCTGTAATTTTCATCATAGGTACACGTCAACTATGACAGACAAATTGAGGGGGAAAAAATCCAGAAAATCACATTGTAGGATTTTTAATGAATTTATTTGCAAATTATGGTGGAAAATAAGTATTTGGTCACCTACAAACAAGCAAGATTTTTGGCTCTCACAGACCTGTAACTTCTTCTTTAAGAGGCTCCTCTGTCCTCCACTCGTTACCTGTATTAATGGCACCTGTTTGAACTTGTTATCAGTATAAAAGACACCTGTCCACAACCTCAAACAGTCACACTCCAAACTCCACTATGGCCAAGACCAAAGAGCTGTCAAAGGACACCAGAAACAAAATTGTAGACCTGCACCAGGCTGGGAAGACTGAATCTGCAATAGGTAAGCAGCTTGGTTGACAAAAACCTCCTTCCATCAGCAAGGGCATTGAAGATGAAACGTGGCTGGGTCTTTCAGCATGACAATGATCCCAAACACACCGCCCGGGCAACGAATGAGTGGCTTCGTAAGAAGCATTTCAAGGTCCTGGAGTGGCCTAGCCAGTCTCCAGATCTCAACCCCATAGAAAATCATTGGAGGGAGTTGAAAGTCCGTGTTGCCCAGAGACAGCCCCAAAACATCACTGCTCTAGAGGAGATCTGCATGGAGGAATGGGCCAAAATACCAGCAACAGTGTGTGAAAACCTTGTGAAGACTTACAGAAAACGTTTGACCTGTGTCATTGCCAACAAAGGGTATATAACAAAGTATTGAGAAACTTTTGTTATTGACCAAATACTAATTTTCCACCATAATTTGCAAATAAATTCATTAAAAATCCTACAATGTGATTTTCTGGATTTTTTTTCTTCTCATTTTGTCTGTCATAGTTGACGTGTACCTATGATGAAAATTACAGGCCTCTCATCTTTTTAAGTGGGAGAACTTGCACAATTGGTGGCTGACTAAATACTTTTTTCCCCACTGTAGGTATCATATTCTAGTTTGAATAAATTAATAACATTATGCATGTCTATTAAATGTGTTACTTGAATAAAGACATCTCTCCTAAAAGGAATTAGTGATTTATTTTATGTATGAACAGTGGTTGAGATTATCCATTTATTGAGAAGAACGCTGTGAATACTCTGACGCAAAACGTGATCTTTGTTTTGTTAGCCTCACAGCCTCTGGAAAGATTGGTTTAAGAGAGGGTGGAGAAGGCTTGACGTTCAAAGGTAAAGTATGTGGGTGAAAGGGCCTGGAACTGCAAATACTACAATGTGCAGTGCTATGCTTTTTCCAACATGTTTGTCCAGTGGACCTTTGAAGTCGTCATGCATGGTTCACATGAAGTGTAGCTGAACAATGGAGGGAAACTGTTGTAGACCTGAATAAATGCAGTTGGAACCAGAGCCATACAGTGCATTCAAAGTATTCAGACCCCTTCACTTTTTCCACATTTTGTTACGTTACAGCCTTATTCTAAAATTGATTTTTTTTTTTTATCCTCATCAATCTATACACAATACCCCATAATGACAAAGCAAAAACAGGTTTTTAGACATTTTAGCAACATTTTAAATTTTTTTTACCCGGAAATCTCACATTTACGTAAGTATTCAGACCCTTTACTCCGTACTTTGTTGAAGCATCTTTGGCAGCGATTACACCCTTGAGTCTTGGGTTTGATGCTACAAACTTGGCACACCTGTATTTGGGGAGTTTCTCCCATTCTTCTCTGCAGAGCTCTGTCAGGTTGAATGGGGAGCGTTGCTGCACAGCTATTTTCACGTCTCTCCAGAGATGTTAGATAGGGTTCAAGTCAAATCAAATTTTATTGGTCACATACACATATTTAGCAGATGTTATTGCGGGTGTAGCGAAATGCTTGTGTTCCTAGCTCCAACAGTGCAGTAGTATCTAACAATTTACAACAAAACACAAATCTAAAAGTAAAATAATGGAACTAAGAAATAAATATTTGGACGAGCAATGTCGGCGTGACTAAAATACAGAATAATAGAATATAGTATGTAAACATTATTAAAGTGGCCAGTGATTCTATGTATATAGGGCAGCAGCCTCTGAGGTGCAGGGTTGAGTAATCAGGTGGTAGCTGGCTAGTGATGGCTATTTAACAGTCTGGCCTTGAGATGGATGCTGTTTTTCAGTCTCTCGGTCCCAGCTTTGATGCACCTGTACTGACCTCGCCTTCTGGATGATAGCGAGGTGAACAGGCCGTGGCTAGGGTGGTTGATGTCCTTGATGATCTTTTTGGCCTTCCTGTGACATCAGGTGCTGTAGGTGTTCTTGAGGGCAGGCAGTGTGCCCCCGGTGATCCGTTGTGCAGACCGCACAACCCTCTGGAGAGCCTTGCGGGTGGTGCAGTTGCCGTACCAGGCGGTGATACAGCCCGACAGGATGCTCTAAATTGTGCATCTGTAAAAGTTTGTGAGCGTCTTAGGGGCCAAGCCAAATTTCTTCAGCCTCCCGAGGTTGAAGAGGCGCTGTTGCTCCTTCTTCACCACACTGTCTTTTTGGGTGGACCATTCAGATTGTCAGTGATGTGTATGCTGAGGAACATGAAGCTTCCCACCTTCTCCACTGCAGTGCGGTCGGTGGATAGGTGCGTTCTCCCTCTGCTGTTTCCTGAAGTCCACGATCAGCTCCTTCGTTTTGTTGAGGGAGAGGTTATTTTCCTGGCACCACTCCGCCAGGGCCCTCAACTCCTCCCTGTAGGCTGTCTTGTTGTTGTTAATCAGGCCTAGTACTGTTGTGTTGTCTGCAAACTTGATGATTGAGTTGGAGGCGTGTGTGGCCACGCAGTGATGGGTGAACAGGGAATACAGGAGGGGGCTGAGCACGCACCCTTGTGGGGCCCCTGTGTTGATGATCAGCGAAGTGGAGTTGTTTCCTACCTTCACCACCTGGGGGCGGCCTGTCAGGAAGTCCAGGACCCAGTTGCACAGGGTGGGGTTCAGACCCAGGGCCCCGATCTTAATGATGAGCTTGGAGGGTACTATGGTGTTGAAGGCTGAGCTATACATAAGTATTTGATCCCCTGCTGGTTTGCCCACTGACAAAGAAATGATCAGTCTATAATTTTTATGGTAGGTTTATTTGAACAGAGAGAAAAAAATCCAGAAAAACGCATGTCAAAAATGTTATAAATTGATTTGCATTTTAATGAGGGAAATAAGTATTTGACCCCCTCTCAATCAGAAAGATTTCTGGCTCCCAGGTGTCTTTTATACAGGTAACGAGCTGAGATTAGGAGCACACTCTTAATCAATCAATCAGATTCCAAACTCTCCACCATGGCCAAGACCAAAGAGCTCTCCAAGGATGTCAGCGACAAGATTGTAGACCTACACAAGGCTGGAATGGGCTACAAGACCATCGCCAAGCAGCTTGGTGAGAAGGTGACAACAGTTGGTGCGATTATTCGCAAATGGAAGAAACACAAAAGAGCTGTCAATCTCCCTCGGCCTGGGGCTCCATGCAAGATCTCACCTCGTGGAGTTGCAATGATCATGAGAACGGTGAGGAATCAGCCCAGAACTACACGGGAGGATCTTGTCAATGATCTCAAGGCAGCTGGGACCATTGTCAACAAGAAAACAATCGGTAACACACTACGCCATGAAGGACTGAAATCCTGCAGCGCCCGCAAGGTCCCCCTGCTCAAGAAAGCACATATACAGGGCCGTCTGAAGTTTGCCACTGAACATCTGAATGATTCAGGGGAGAACTGGGTGAAAGTATTGTGGTCAGATGAGACCAAAATCGAGCTCTTTGGCATCAACTCAACTCGCCGTGTATGGAGGAGGAGGAATGCTGCCTATGACCCCAAGAACACCATCCCCACCGTCAAACATGGAGGTGGAAACATTCTGCTTTGGGGGTGTTTTTCTGCTAAGGGGACAGGACAACATCACCGCATCAAAGGGACGATGGACGGGGCCATGTACCGTCAAATCTTGGTTAGGAACCTCCTTCCCTCAGCCAGGGCATTGAAAATGGGTTGTGGATGGGTATTCCAGCATGACAATGACCCAAAACACACGGCCAAGGCAACAAAGGAGTGGCTCAAGAAGAAGCACATTAAGGTCCTGTCTCTCACTGTTCAAATAAACCTACCATTAAAATTATAGACTGATCATGTCTTTGTCAGTGGGCAAACGTACAAAATCAGCAGGGGATCAAATACTTTTTTCCCTCACTGTAGTCAATGAACAGCGTTCTGATGTAGGTATTCCTCTTGTCCAGATGGGATAGGGCAGTGTGCAGTGCGATGGTGATTGCATGTCTGTGGATCTATTGCGGCGGTAAGCAAATTGAAGTGCGTCACGGGTGTCAGGTAAGGTAGAGGTGATATGATCCTTAACTAGCCTCTCAAAGCACTTCGTGATGATGGAAGTGAGTGCTACTGGGCGATAGTCATTTAGTTCAGTTACCTTTACTTTCTTGGGTACAGGTACAATGGTGGACATCTTGAAGCAAGTGGGGACAGCAGACTGGAATAGGGAGAGATTGAATATGTCGGTGAACACTCCAGTCAGCTGGCCTGCGCATGCTCTGAGGACACGGCTATGAATGCCGTCTGGGCCAGCAGCCTTGCGAGGGTTAACACGCTTAAATGTCTTACTCACGACGGCCACGCTCCTTTGGAGCGGGCTGCGCTGGTGGCACTGTGTTATCCTCAAAGCGGGTAAAGAAGGTGTTTAGCTTGTCCGGTAGCAAGACGTCGGTGTCCGCCACGTGGCTGGTTTTCCCTTTGTAATCCGTGATTGTCTGTAGACCCTACCACATAAGTCTCGTGTCTGAGCCATTGAATTGGGACTCTACTTTTTCTCTGTACTGACGTTTTGCCTGTTTGATTGCCTTACGGAGGGAATAACTACACTGTTTGTATTTGACCATATTCCCAGTCACCTTGGTTCGCGCTTTCAGTTTTGCGCGAATGCTGCCATCCCATCCACGGTTTCTGGTTTGGGTAGGTCTTAATAGTTAACGTGGGAACAACATCCCCTATACACATCCTGATGAACTATGTGTCTGTGTATACATCAATGTTATTCTCATAGGCTCCCCGGAACATATCCCAGTCTGCTTGATCAAAACAATCTTGAAGCATGGATTCCGATTGGTCAGACCAGCGTTGAATAGACCTTAGCACGGGTACTTCCTTTTACTGAGCAGTAGCTTCCGTCTGGCCACTCTACCACAAAGGCCTGATTGGTGGAGTGCTACAGAGATGGTTGTCCTTCTGGAAGGTTCTCCCATCTCCACAGAGGAACTCTGGAGCTCTGTCAGAGTGGCCATCGGGTTTTTGGTCACCTCCCCTGACGAAGGCCCTTCTCCCGATTGCTCAGTTTGGTTGGGCGGCCAGCTCTAGGAAGAGTCTTGGTGGTTCCAAACTTCCATGTAAGAATGATGGAGGCCACTGTGTCCTTGGGGACCTTCAATGTTGCAGAAATGTTTTGGTACTTTTCCCCAGATCTGTGCCTCGACACAATGCTGTCTCAGAGCTCTACGGACAATTCCTTCGACCTCATGGCTTGGTTTTTGCTCTGACATGCATTACCAACTGTGGGACCTTATACAGACAGGTGTGTGCCTTTCCAAATCATGTCCAATCAATTGAATTTACCACAGGTGGACTCCAATGAAGTTGTAGAAACATCTCAAGGATGATCAAAGGAAACAGGATGCACCTGAGCTCAATTTCGAGTCTCATAGCAAAGGCTGTGAATACTTATGTAAATAAGGTATTTCTGTTTATTTTTTTATAATTTTGTAAAAGTTTATATACCTGTTTTCGCCTTGTCATTATGGGGTATTGTGTGTAGATTGATAAGGAAAAAATATAATTTAATCAATTTTAGAATAAGGCTGTAATGTAACAATGTGGAAAAAGGGAAAGGGTCTGAATACTTTCCGAATGCACTGTATATTTAGATAGGCCAACTTTTATAATATTGCTCAAATTCTAGACATTCAGTTACATAGCATTGTTTAAATATTCCCCATGTAATGTTAATGGCGAGCTAGTATGGCTGAAACAGAATGTTGAAGTGTCATGTCTGGTTGGAACCATGTTTTTTTTTTAAGTGTTTTGGCTTTCACAAAAGAGTTTTATAGAATTAAAATATTCAAAACGAAGTTTAATGTACATGATGGGCTTTCTGTTTGTGGACAATAAGCAAGGCTATTGAAAAAACAAAAAGGTCTAGTAGATCGACCCAATAGCTGTTTTGATTACATTGTGAATGTCATTTGGATCACCGCAACCTCCTTTTTAACTTGAAGGAAACAGTTGTGGTTTGTTCTGTTTAGAAAAACACATAGTTACGTAATCACAGTCAGCAAAGCCATTATGTGCATCTGGCATGCATAGTTGCATACTATCAAATCAAACTTTATTCATAAAGCAAAATTCTTACAAATTCATTTCAAAGTGCTTAAATAAAAGGCGAGAAAGATCAAACAATGTTTAAGAGAAATTAAGAGTAAAATAACATTGGATTTGAGATTAATGCAGGTAAAAGGGGATACAATCTCAAAAGGGATAAAAAGTAGATAATATGGGTAAGACAACTAAAAGCACCTTAGTTAAATAGCACGGCTAAAGATGTCTTAAGACAAATCTTGTGTCAACAGTTTTTGAGGCCCTAAGATCCTCTGGCAAGCTATTCCAAAGGCCAGGACCATAGTGCCTGAAAGCAGACTCACCAAAAGTTTTGGTTCTGACATTTGGAACGACTAAAAGACGAGTGCCAGAAGATCTAAGGGATTGACCGGGCACATACCTTAAAAAAAGATATCAGACATTAAAATCTGACATTAAAAGCATATCAGACATGTATTCGAATGCCAGGCCATGTAGTGCTTTATAAATCAATATAGATTGTGTTTAGGCTAATATATAACTTCATTACAGTATGTCACAATGTCAGGAGTAAGCAAGAGCAACTGACTAAATGAATAGTTTATTTCATTTTATAAACTGGGTGGTTGGAGCCCTGAATGTATACCACGGGTATGACAAAACATTTATTTTTACTGCTCTAATTATGTTGGTAACCAGTTTATAATAGCAATAAGGCACCTTGGGGGTTTGTGAAATATGACCAATATACCACGACTAAGGGCTGTGTCCAGGCACTCCGCGTTGCATCGTGCTATATATCACACCCCCTCTGGCCTTATTGCTTAAATAAACCACGAGAGTCAGAAGATACAAAATAAATGGAGCTGCAAATCAAAGAGTAAAGTTTATAAAACAGACATAAGTAACAGTGATTGCAACAATATAATTAGCATACTAAAACATGATATATACAATTCACATTTTCATATCTCAATAGCAAATAATGTATAAATGTATTTACAAGCAATATCAGTAAAACAACCTTAGAGGAAAATAGAGACCAGTACAAAATAACTAAAATATCAAAAATATTATAAAGACATTCAAGAAGAGTAGGCAAGGACTATATAATAGTTCTGCTATTTCACTAATGCTTAAAGCCAAGCAACTACAAAGTTATTATTTGCATAGTGTTATTACTAATGCAGTACCAAGTAGTAAATCAGAGAAGTGCTAGTTGTAATTTTTCTTGATAAGCGTCTTTTTAATGCGGGGGACGAGGAAGACTGTACCATCGGTGGTCTGCTGGAGTGAGTACTCCGACGGGGAGTAGGGTTTCCCCTCCTCATCCCTCACCAGACTGAACACCTCCAGGTACAGGGTGTTAAGCTCCTGCTTCATCTGCTGCAAGCTGCTGTCATTCTTGGTCTTCTCTCTCTGCAGTCGCTCCTTCTCCTCCTTCAACGAGTCCAGGTCATACTCCAGCTCCACGATGTTCTCCATCTTGCGTTTGCGGCAGTTCTGGGCGGCCACCTTGTTCTTGCCCCGCCGACGGATGTCTCTGACCAGGGCCAGCTGGGCCTCGTTGAGCTGGTGCTTGGACATCATCTCGTTGAAATTGTCCACAGGCAGGTTGATGATCATGTCCACGGTGAAGGGGATCTGGAGGGCCTTGGCACGCTGCTCGTCTCTGGAGAGACGCTTCTCGGAGCGCCTCCTCTTCTTGTCTTTGATGAAGGGGGGATCGTTGTGGCCAGTCTCCTCATCTGGCTCTGTCTTGCCATGTTTGGGCTTTTTGTCCTGCTGCTGAGCTGACACAGAGGGAGAAGGCTGGAAACCATCAGGTTGGAAAGACAGCGAGAACATCTCGGAGTAGTCAGACTCTGCACTCTCAGGGTTACTGTCCATCTCCTCCATGTCTGAATCGCTGTAGCCACCAAAGGAGCCGTCCCCATACATCGATTTCTCAGGGGAGCTAGCATGTGGGCTTGCTTCCACAGACACACCTGAATCAGAATCTGGAAATTCTGGCATTATCTCAGTTTTGTTGCCTCTGTCAAATGCATCTCTAGGAGAAAGGTCATGTAATTCTATTGGTGTAAAAGAATGCTTGTGTGGCATCTCTGCCAATGAGTTACTGCCATTTCCTTGGCCACAAGGCAGGGTGACACTGGTCACTTTTGTGTTGACAATGTCTGGGTAAAATACGTCACAGAAAGTCTCTGCACTGAAGTTAGTATTTAGGTCCGGAGCCTTTAGGGTCATCTGATTGAGGTGGTCAAGAGGAGCCATGTTGGGTAAGCTCTCCTCAAAGGCATTGATGAATTCAGGTGGGCAGACCTCTGCTGCGTTTGACGCCATCTCTACCAGGTTGGGCAATGGGTAGAAGCTGTAGTTTGGATTCTGCACCTCACGGGTGGTGTTAGTGGGCAGATATCCTCCTGTCTGCTCCAGTGTGTCCTTCATTTGCATATTCAGGCATTGCTGGAAAACAAGATTCAGAAGAGTCAAAACAAATCCAGTAACCCATGCAGTTTATCAGACGTCAAGATGTAACATTATAGTAATATGCAGTATAGTACCATCACATGGACTAGCAGTTGTTCAGCGTTTACTAAGCCTTGGTTTCAAACCTTTGTATTTTATTCTCAGTAGTAGCTGAAACTTTGCATAGGTGCAATATTGCAAATAAATTGGGGTTCCTTAATTGAGTTACATTTTAGCATGAAATTATGCACTGTATTTGTACTGTAAGTAAACTATTTTCTGGTTTGTTTCCATGCTACCTTCATCCACTGCTAACCATTAGAGCGTTATTGAGGTGTTACCAAGGACACAAGCAGTTTCACACCTTTGAGGCTTCCCTCCCACTGCTCTGAGGCAAGTGTTCTGAGGAAACCTGATCACAGTGGATTTAGCTGAGTATTATCTGCTTCTGCTATATGTCCCATTCAAACACACAGAACAAAGGTGAGTAGGTTCTCTCATGCATGCATGACTGCTGCAATCCATGCATTATTTGGGTGTTTTTTTACACCACAGAGAATCGTGCCATTGAGGTGGTAGAATCTGCCGATTGTACCTGCAGCTCAGGAAGGGACAAAAGCTCCATCCAGGCCTGCTCCAAATCTGGGGAGGTCCTCTGTGGGGGCAGTGGGGCTGGGAATAGGGGTGGCTGGGTCAAAGCTGGCAGCTCACATGCCATCATGACATGGCTGCTGTTAGGGGCTGGAGCTACGGTGGCGTCCAGACAGGCAGAGGTTGTCTACAATACCAAAAAAAGGGGGTGGGGGGAACACTGTAAAAGACCGGAACAGACATGAGATATTGTTTTTTTGGTTTGTTTGAGGGATATATATATATTTATCTAATAGTGAATGTATTCTTACCTCTGCCTCTACTAGTGGGAAGGTCTCTGCCAGCAGCTGCATACATTCATCAAATGACATGGCATCCCCATCTTCTGAGAAGCTGACATTCTGAAGGGAAAGATTCAAATCATATGTAACCCGTCTTTAGCAAAGGAATAGGTATGAATTTGAACAGAGTGCATAGCACTACCTAGACAAAGGTCTTCACAGATGAGTTTCTAAAGAGACAAATCCACCAATGCAAAACTACAGAGCCACCTGTTTTTCCCTATTTACACTGGATGAGGTGGTTACCTAGCTACAGAGCAGCTGCACCCAACCCAGTGCAGGGAGGGGAGTGGCCAGCCCCTGTCATGACTGACAGCTGTGTGTGTGTGTACTGTACCTGTGTGACTTGAGAGGGCGCGGCGGTGGTGGCAGACTGTGGTGACTGGCCGCTGGGTGCAAGGCGGGGCACGAACTCCCCCGTCTCCTCATCCAGCTGCAGCTGAGCCAGCAAGGCCTTCTCCTGCTCCCTCAGCAGCTGCTGCCTCTTCTCCTCCTCCTGCTCCCGCTGCCGCTGCAGCTCATGCTCCTTCTGACGGTGGCAGTAGTCAAACACCTCTCGCCTCGCACCGAGGTCGATGTCCTGCCTCCACAGGATGTCGATTAGGTCCACGTCCTGCCAAGAGACATCCGGTTAAACTGGAACTCACAAAGCACCATATTGACTGACCAGATGATAAGGAGATTGTGCACTAGGAACAAGGAATTGTGTGCCTGCTGTGAAGTATCATGGCTACTGGCTCTCGCTACAGTGCCACACCCCGTCCCTTCGGCTGTCTGTCCTTTGACGACAAGCTAGAACGTAATGAGGACGAAGCCGTCTGAATAATAGATGCACTTCTCCATTTCCCCAGAGTTCAGTCCCCACCCACAAAGAATACGTGCCTCTTAGCTGCTTTCCAGGCAGAGGAGCACAGGGACTTGATTAGTCTTTAACCAAATAAATGAAAGGCCAACCGGTCAAATGTAATGTTGTATCTCTGTCTGTTGTATCAGAAGCTTAGACCAAAAACGAATTAAATCAATGATCACTCTGAGGAGAAAAGTTAATTCATACAGCTTGAAATGTAATGTGGTTTACTTTTTATTTGATATATCACAATGCACCACAAGGTCACTACATTTACTACTGTATTTGGAGAACCATACTACGTTGAGACCTGGTAATAGTTTAGTACTGATATGTTCAGAGGAAGTGCTAACTATATTCCCCACTGGTGTATAGCACATGTTTATAACTAGACCATTTGGTTCTCCACTTCTACCTCACTGTGGCTGATGTTTATTAGCTTCCTGCGTGTTAATTCAGGAATGTCCAGAGATGAAACTGTGCTGGTCTCCCTTAGGCCTCTTAACATCCATTACACAGACCTTATTTACAGAAGTAAGTGTTTCACAAGGGCCTTGGGAGATTGCATAAACCCAAAATATTACGTCACACTGAAAGCTCTGAGCATGTGACTTTGTTTCTCTGCAGAGAGACTGGGTCACATGAACAGAACAGAGAGAGCAGAGAGGATGTAAAGAGAGACCGATCAGATGACTAACAAAGCAGAAGGAAGTATAAAGAGGATGTGGATTTGGAGCTTGATATTTGTTAAAAACTGATAGATTTCGACATAACTATTTGTATTGTAAAAGGAATGAGCACAAGTAATTGCTTTGTAACTGTGTAGACCAAATCAAGTGTTAAACATGACCTATGACCTCTTATTCAGAAATAGGTATAATAAACATTGGCTCTCTGTTTGTGTGCATCAGAGGTGCAGTGTTGCTGACAACCCTTTAACCCTATTTGCCTTGGTTGTTACGTCAAAGCCAGCAATAGTCCATGACCACTAAAGCCCGTAACGTCACAAGGTCTGTTTAGGGCAATAAGTCCCACTATTAATCTTGGTCTGAGTAGTGAGTACACACAACCATAAATTATGGCTGTGGAGATGAGGAAGAATGGCCTAAACTGACCTAACAGCTGCTGGATGAAAGCAGCTTTTGTGGTCAGCCATGTTTTCTCCTTTCAAAAACAGCAGATTGAGTCCATGTGTCATACCTTTAAACCACACAACCAAACACAACTATCAGTTACAGTCTAGAAGAGTGAAGAAATCTTGAAAAGGACAATGCCTTATTATTTTATAGACACTTTCATCATACAGGACAGATTCATTCTGTCATAAAATACAAATGATCTTCATATAGTTTCATGAACACTGTTATTTCATAATCCCTTTTGAGGAAAAATATTTTTTGGGAGCCACTTTAAGCTTTTCATTTTGTCAATGACACTTCAACTCCACTCATTCAGGCAGAGATGAGTGATCTGTGTACATTCACAAATGACTCCTCCCTCTCAAAAAGAGGACGATGTAACTATTGTAAACAGAAGATGTTGACTCCATTGGGTCCATTTTGGTAAATTGTTTGGATAAACGACTTCAAGTTTTAAACTCAGTAACTATTCTGTTAATAAACTATATTGGTGGAGTGAAGTAGTTATCCACAAAATACTTGTGAAACATACTGGTTAGTTCACTGATAATTCACAATGGTACTTGAATGTAATAATTAAATGGGAACTGGGCAAAATTTCCTGGTTGATTCTGCAAGTTAGTGTAAATAAAAGCTCTTCCTTTTCCATTCTCAAACAACATCTCTTTGTTTGAATCCCAAACATACTTTGAGTAGCTGTTTAGTATTTTCCATCTCAGAATGTGCAGCAACTCAAACAACAGAATAAAAACATCATATTAGTGGTATAGATACCACTTATAAAAACAAGCCCACCACAGATTCCAACAATACAGGAATTAAGTGATAGTAAAACAACAGATGAGTGGGCCTATATACATAAATGTTGATCTGTGTAATACCTTGATACCTAAAAAAAACGAATAACAAATGGTAGCAGTTGTATATTAATAAAAAGCATGAGCTGGCGCACCCCCAGAGAAAATTATTTAGTGTAGATGTGCTAACTAACGGTGAATAAACTGTAAACTATAAAAATAAAGAGTTGCACACTCTATGTATAAACTCCCAGTCATTTATTGGGTAAACAACCAACGTTTCAGCATTACTGTGCCTTCTTCAGGGTCACCCTGATGGTATATTAACATACTTTGCCTTTGTCAATGGTTCAATACACAATTAGATGAGTTTGGAATTGGGATAATGCCTTTACCCCAACATCATCCTCTCTTTTTCTCCAAAAAATAAACACATCTTGTTACAACAACTCTGTACCTCCTGAACATTCCCCAACTCAGGTTAACTCTTTTAATCTAGGGAAACCTGTTCATCAATTGATTAGTAGATTAACGTGTTATTAACTGTTTGTAAACCAAGGCCAGCTGCAGAACTACAACCACTTCTGGGTTATTATAATAATGACTAGCCTACGCATTTGTTAATTTGACACCTATTTACATATCAAATAAAATCAATTCCAGGTTTAGCAGCCTGTGATCGTGCAATCAACTGTATCTATGGCGCAAAGGTAGGCCTATGGATGCCATCTACCGGAACACAGGATGTGGCTCAAGTGGCGCATTGGGAGATTCCGACGGCCAAAGAACAAGCGCACCGACATTAAAAGAAAAGGGCTGTCTGGGGAAAACTTTCCTCATCATCAACTTGCCATATTTTTTACTTGACAATAATTGCATCATTACACATATGGATTACGATATTAAGCGGATATTCAACTGTTATCTTTCGCCCAATGTAGTTGTATGCACCGGGCAGACTACCATCCATGACTTTGCAGAAATGTCTATGAACGGACCTGTCGACTACTGCGGAGACGGAAATTGTAGCCTAGTGCTAGAAACGCGTGTACAAATGTCAAAACTACAGCACAACAAGCTATGATAGCCTATAGGCTAAGAAAGCATATTTACGACACATTCGTTTCTTTTCATTAATTTACGAAACAATATCTTATTAAATAATATAAGGACTATTATGGAAAACGCACATTGGGTTGAACATGACAGTTTATTAATATCAGGTAACATGAGTGTAGGCCTTCTTTCATTTAAATCGTTTGAACTATCCAATAAAATAGTTTTTCGACAGTAGGCAAAGGGCAGTCTAACATTGTATCAATATATCAACCTTGAGATGTTTTACAAAGCCTACTGCGTTGAATATAGTAGCCAATAACAATAGAATATTTACCTGTTGACTAGGATGCATTTTATGCATCTCAATTTCCATCATAGTGGATAGTTCGCCTGTCCCTTCGTAAAGAAAAACCCAATAGGCCTATATAAAAAACAGATATGTCATCCTTTACAGCAATATAAAATGGTGGACTATCCGAAGGCGAGGAGTCCGGCGAAGCAATGTTTTGACTATGAAGGAAATATTGCATCTAATCTTGTGAAAGTTTACGGAAAACCCCAAGCATTCTGATAGCCCTGCCCACAAGTTGCGTCAGCCAGTCAAGGGCTCTGAGTGAGCCGCGCTGGGATCGTCCCCCTCAACATCCTATTGGTTCGATAAGGCCACTTTGTGGCTGTGCTCTGGACAGCCAATGTTACATTTGCTACACATTAAAAACAAGGTTTTTGTTATGTAACCTAAAAATGTAAAGTGTATTCAAGAAGTGTCCAGAGACATTTACATAATCTCTCCGCCACCACGGATTCATGACACTAGAAGAGGTATTTTGATATAATAATGGCAGTTATTACATTGTTATTACAACCGTTTTTACAACAATTGTCAGCATTGTTCCAAAATATGTCACATTTATCAATTTTATGATCTTGACAGACTAAAGTACCCCCCACTTATTTCATGCAGAATGCTATAAAGCTGCAGTGTATAGGCTTGCAAACTGCATTTATGTACAGTGTAGGCCTATAGGATACAATGGGAATCAGGTATGCATTGAATATAATAAGGATTAGAAACTGAAACTATAATAAGGCTCAATTGTGCTCAACATTGATCTCTATGGTTGTCTGCAGTAGGCCTTGGTCTGCTCACAGCTAATCAAACTAGGAGAGAGATGGGGTGGCAACTCCTGAAAATGGATCTATTACATAGCGACCTCATCTGGTTTAGATGACGCCAAAGTATTTCATGAACTTGTACAGTAGCCTGGCCTATACTACAGCAGGCCCCAGGCCCTCGCCCTTGCACACTCTGTAGACTCAGCCACACCATTGACACAGTTGGCTTAGTATAACTTATTCAAATGTAACAGAGATGGTGCACAGTCATAGCCTCACACGTGTATCTTTGCACTGTTGACTCAAGACCAGATAGTAGCCTCTCCTGACGCTGTTCTATGTTTGCGTCCGTGGGCGTGGCGTAGCGTTTGGCCGGAGCAAGGAGTTTGGGTAGCCAGGCAAATGGTAGCTTTGAAGTTGACGACCAGGGTTAGATACCCAATCTATAAAAAAAAGCATATGGAATATTATTTTACATAAAAGTCGGCTATAGGCTACACAATCATTGATATTTTCAAAGCAATCGTGAAATGTCACTTTCTCCAATATAGCCTAGTTGTATGCACACAAGTTGAAAAAAATATAGTATTATTATATTATTCTCCCCAGCATCCATAACTTGATCTTTAGGTGTAGGTCTTAATTATTTAAAGTATATAAGGTATGCCTTTGTTGAAACATGTTGCTGGAATATTAAACTAGTTACAATGAGATCCTTGACAGCCCCGATGTCGTATAATATTCTGACACATGAGTGCAATAAGAGATTGGGACCACCTTGCAATTATAAGCAGCGTTTGAAACATGTCTTGTTAATGTGGTGGTCTTATACCACGCTCTCTGACAGTTATCTGTAAAGAGCCTCACTATACCTCTACCTATACCTTACCTACACAGTGCATCCCACTGTCCCATTATCTGAATTCAAATTACACTTTAAGGATTTTTCTCTCAAGCGCGCCCACGAATACGCGTTCACGTTTGGCAGCTCCACGTCGACATTCTTCCAGCTGTGCACAGGGCTGAAAGAAGAAGAGGTAAAAGCGGCGTGAAGCCAGCTATACGAACACTGTATGTAGGCTCCAACGAGGGACGTCAACCGCGAAATTAAGAAGAGGAAAATCTCTTGTTTCTTTGATAGTTAGTCCTGCAACAATTTGATATAGCCCACTGTTTTTTTTGCAATTTATGATATGTTTGCCCTCGTGCTGGATTGCAGCTGGCCCCCTTTAACAGCTTTCACTTCTACCAGGTACAGTATGATCAGTTGTTTTTCTTGCTTCTTATAGTTTTCTCACATTTAGAATATGAAGCTGTGGCATTTCACATCTGCTAATCGAATTCCAACATCTTTTAATTCACTGTTTGATTTTGCACTTTGTAACTTCATTACAATTAGCAACTCTCCTAAATGTATTGAATATAAACTTCTATACTAAACTGAAGTGGAATATGTGGAATGTTTGCCTTGTTTTATAGGTAGACCGTGTATTCTATATTATTTTAATTGTAAAGTTCAGTCTGTGGTTTGTGAAAAACTCAACAAGTAGGCTATACAGTTGCATAATGAATGTGGGTGTATTACCCCAGGAGTGAAATATTCAGCATAAAGAAATTCAGGATTCCAAATTTGGAACCTTTAGACACGTCATCTGTTCTACATATGGAGTGCCCTAATTGTTAACTTTACAACCTTGAAGATAGTCAAGGTTGAACTGCAAAGTTAACACTTATGAAAGAAAAGCTAGCTTCCCGCTTACTGTATAATATTGTATGATTTAATCATTTGTGTGGTGGGGGGTTGGTGGCAGAGTGTGAGAATCAATCTAAGTTCCCAACAGCAGGCTTCTCATTCACTCTATTCTATGTTGTCTTAATAGGCCCAGAGAGTTACTGGCTTACTCTTCTAAGTTTCATGTAATGCACTTTTTTGAATCACTCAGCTGTGACTGATTCCATTTTATCTCAAATCATGGTGGATTAAATTTAGGTTAGGTTTCAATACTGTGTTGAGAGAGTCAGCTCAATCTCACAATTACATATTTTCCACACTATAGTGTTAAATCAAAGTGTTCACCAAGCAAGCACACCAATGGGAAACTTAGCTACTACATTTCACTCTCTTGTTATATGTTGCAGGTGAAGGAGTGGTGAAATGGGTTGGCACAAAGGAAAAGCCTACGATGTGGCACTCTGGCTTTCCAAGTAAAGTTCTGTGATACACTTCGACTCTAATTGTTTGCAGTCAGTGCATTACAGAACTTTGTTTTGGGAGTTAATGCTCTGGCCTGCGGGAAGAAACCTACCGTCTGGAGAGTGGGACCATTATTTCACATGCCACTTGCAGACTGCAATAGGGAGAATAAAGTTTTTCTTTTGACAATGACTTGGCTCATGAGTTTTCACCTACTTGTGAAGTATTTATCTGCTTGTAATTAAACACGCACTTGGTCTATTGGTATCAGAGTGAAATGTCTAAACTATTAATGAAAAATGGACTACCAGAAAGCCATGGTAGATTGTTACATCATTTCCTATAGGACAACACAGTGGGCCATATGGAGACTCAAGTCATCATGCCTCACTATCACTTGGTCATGTGACTCAATGGAGGTGAGACGGAAAGATAAACAACAGCAGTTGAAATGTTCAAACCTCATTTTCACTGTCCTGGGTCATGCAATGTAGTGGTCAAACATCTCATAACCTTATCAAACCCATAAACATTAATGACTCAATTCAGATACTTTTTTCTTTAACATTTTCTGCTGAGTATTGACATTGTATCATGCGAATGGTGGATAATTGTCTGTTGTATCATTAATTGTTGGAATGTAAGTATGAATACAACTATTTCAGAGATGTACACTCAGTGACAAAACATTATGAACACCTGCTCTTTCCATTACATAGACTGACCAGGTGAATGCTATGATCCCTTATTGATGTCTCTTGCTAAATCCACTTCAATCAGAACGGGGTATGGTAGTAGGTGCCAGGGGCACTGGTTTGTGTCAAGAACTGCAACACTGCAGGGTTTTTCACGCTCAACAGTTTCCGTGTGTATCAAGAATGGTCCACCACCCAAAGCACATCAGGCAAACTTGACACAACTGTGGGAAGCATTGGAGTCAACATGGGCCAGCATCCCTGTGGAATGCTTTCGACATCTTGGAGAGTCCAATCTTAAGGAATTGAGGGCACATATTTGTTAGTATTTTTTAGACACATGAACACATTTAAGCACTACACCAACATGGCATATTTTGGTTCCCATTAAATTAGATCACTGTCTTAAAATAAAACCAATTTTTTTCTGTGTGTTTTTTAAGTTAATTCATGGTCTAATATTTAGAGAGCTGGGGTGTATTCATTACGTCTTGCAAAGGAAACTGTTTACTGTTTAAGAACCGAACAGAAGCAAATGGAGACAACAGAACAAAACGGGGAGTGACCTACCTGAATTTGTCCAATAGAAACTAATTTTTGTTGCAAATTGTTTTCCGTTTGGACTAAATGGTTCCTGTTGCAAAACGTTTTGCGACAGAGAAAACGTTTTGCAACAGAATCGGCGTAATGAATACACCCCTAGATTATTTGGTAAACTATAAAGTACTCATGGATCAAATCTGTTAAAGAGAAAGACATACGTTTTCCATTAATTAAAGGCCCACTCTGTAATGTCTGTTTCCAGCAACAGTCTGACCCTGCAACTTTGTTTGGAAGGCTGATGGGGCTGGGGAAATGTAACCACTGTCAAATTCATACTGGACTATGAATTAAACTGACAGGCCAGATCAACATGATTATTTTTTAAACATATTTTGATTGTAGGTATGTGCTACAATACATCCCATGGAGTAATACATTGCAACCTGAGAGGGGTTGCAATTTATTATTCCAATACAATTTGTTGGAATGACAATTGCGCAGCAGTAAATCAAATATTGTGCCTTTCAAAAACACATTTTGATGTATTCCACACAACAGTGACTGTAGCTTTATGTGTAGCAATTCCATTGGTTACAGTAACAGCAAAGATAGGCACGATAATGTAACCAACCAATATTGCAACATTGTAATATAAGTCTGTGTGGATGACGCATATTAAATGCAAAGCATGATGGGATTCTTTGACAATTTACCATATCCTTGGGCGCGTTTGAGCGGATCACTTTTGTCAAGTCGTTGACCGTCGTTGGTCACCGCCTTTCAAAGTGTGTTGCATTATGGTTATAAACATTGTCCGACTTATGACTTATTGTCGACTGCATGAACTTTACAAAAATCATATGATCAAAGGTCATGCAGAGGAAGTGGCCTTCAAGTCGCTGCAGTTGCTTCTCACCATCTGCATTGTGGGAGGCACTATTTGTCGACCAATCATTAGGGTGTTTTTGTTTGACCCAAGCAAACATGACCAAATACCTTGACTAAAACAGCAACCAACTTTGTTCAATTCGAAAGCTACAGGGGATACAAATGAAAAGTGATATTTGAGACCCCTCTCTAACCAATGAATTGTACACATTATGTTTCCAGTTTGTGAGTGTGTGATATAGAAAAGTTTATTTAGACAACAGACAAACATTGATCAACAATAGCAGCTATGTTGACACTGCCATGTCGATCTGAATCTTGCTGTTGGAAAACCACTAAAGTGTCCGACTTTTGGCTGTTGCAGATGCGCCTCCCCCGACTTCACTCGCCGACTTTCGTCTACAGTCGGCTTCGTTAGGTTTACCTCTCGAACACACCCCTTCTATTGCTGCGCTGACCTCTGACAGCTGCCTCTCCCTGGACAAACACGGAAGCAGCATGGCGTCAAACAGCAACAGCTCCGAGAGCCAACGAATTGCACAGCAAAGATTGAGGATAATTGCCGGGCATTTACAGAAACATAAGGACGGTGACTCGGGGATTATCGCAACAGAATGCAAAGCTGAAGCGAATAAAGGGACGGTGCCTAGGAAGAGGTAGGAATTGGCGCTGGTGATGCGGTAGCAGTGGATGGCTATCCTGAAATGCTAGCTGGTAGCTAAAAGTGATTGTCATACAGTATGAAATAGCTGTTATGCATTTTCTTGTCATTAAGAAACAGCATTGGTGTCTTTTACAAACGGAGATGACCTCCTTGGCATATTATTATTCAGACATCTCGGATTTCATTTAACTAAGGAAATTAGCCAGCTGAATGTGCGCTAACGGTAATGGTCCTCAAACAAAGTGTTCATTCATCGAAGTGGGTGCGGCGGGACTGTATTCTATCCAACAATTATTTTTATTGTGGGCTACTTAAAATGTGTTATAGGAATGTTTGATCTGTCACCCTCCGTTGAAATGTATATTGAGTTGAGGTCAATCAATCGTACACCATCTCATGTACCATTTTGTCATAACTTGCCAAAGTTATGTGACCATCACTAGCCACTCGCAGTGAAGAGTGGGCAGCTGGAGTTATGTAAAACTATAAGATTAGCTTGCCAACATTTCAAACTATTTCAAGGTAGCCTATTCCATTTCAAATGTATATTGTTAGCTATAGCTTGATAGGCTACTGGCATTGTTTTGATACTGACAATATTCTGAACAACTAGGGAAATCTCAGCTCTGTTTGACTGACATGACAAGAATTAGAAGCTACATTCTTGAACAGAAGAAAGGGGTCATTATAATGGTGATAGTTCTATATTCTTCTATATGTAGTCTTATAATCTCTTTCTAGAGGTTGTTTTTCCAGATTTGGTTGGGATTTAGGAGTGGGACACCCTCTCCCAGTCAAAACAATGATTGATAGAAATCAAAATGGGATAAAGTTGAGCAGGAAAACTTTCCGCCTAAAACTTGGATCTGATTGGCCAAGACGTGTGGTGGTCTGACTCTCAATTCCTTATGAGGCGAGTGGGCTGTTCAGCTTTCACAATCATGCTGTAGTGACATCTAGTGTCAGATATGTTTAAGCAACAGGGATGACTAGAGCACATTTTCATATTTATACTGAACAAAAATAAAAACGCAACATGTAAAGTGTTACATGAGCTGAAATAAAAGATCCCAGAAATGTTCCATGTGCAATAAAAGCTTATTTCTCTCAAATGTTGTGCACACATTTGTTTACATCCCTTTTAGTAAGCATTTCTCCTTTGCCAAGATAATCCATCCACCTGACAGGTGTGACATATCAAGAAGCTGGTTAAACAGCATGATCATTACACAGGTGCACCTTGTGCTGAGGAGAATAAAAGGCCACTAAAATGTGGAGTTTTGTCACTCAACACAATGCCACGGACGTCTCAAGTTTGAGGGAGCGAGCAATTGGCATGCTGACTGCAGGAATGGCCAACAGAGCTGTTGCCAGAGAATTCAATGTTAATTTCTCGACCATAAGCCGCCTCCAACGTTGTTTTAGAGAATTTGGCAGTACATCCAACCGGCTTCACAACCGCAGACCGCATGTAACCACGCCAGCCCAGTACCTCCACATCCGGCTTCTTCACCTGCGGGATCGTCTGAGGGGAGGAGGGGGGGGTGCTGAGGAGTATTTCTGTCTGTAATAAAGCCCTTTTGAGGTGAAAAACTCATTCTGATTGGCTGTGCCTGGCTCCCCAGTGGGTGGGCCTATGGCTGTGCCCCTGCTCAGTCATGTGAAATCCATAGATTAGGGCCTAATGCATTTATTTCAATTGACTGATTTACTTCTATGAACTGTAACTCAGTCAAATCTTTGAAATTGTTGCATGTCGCGTTTATATTTTTGTTCAGTATTCATTTCTATGGCTGCGTTCACACAGGCAATTCTGACCAATTCTGACCTTTTTTCCACAATCACATCAGATATTTTCACATCAGCTCGTTTTCAGAGCTGATCTGATTGATCGAAAGACCAATTACTGAAAAATCTAAATTGGGCTGCCTGTCTAAACGCAGCCAAACAGACTGTTTTGTAAGAACCCACCCATGTAACAGTTTGTACAATAGGGGCCTTGTCATGCATTGTTCTGGTCAACTTTACACTATTTAACAATGTAAGGAAATGCCCCCATGTTTCTACCACAAGAATTTCAACTATTTGTTTTGCATTATGTATGGCTCTTCATTGTGTAAATGGAACATATTTGATTGATATTAGTTAGCCTATAGGAAGTGTTTGAGGCAGAGAAGTGCTGAGGTTTATTTCAGATCAAACCTAACTCTAGGTCAGGTCAGTTATGCTACCGTTTTTGCATGGTGAGTTTGATGTCCCTTGGGAGCCAGATTTTCAGATTTGGTGGGATCTCTTTCTATTACCCAATGGATGGTAGTTTTAGTGCCACTATTGTTTGAACTATGAAAATAAATCATTAGACATAAGCTTTGCCTATTTCCCTAGTGTAAGTGCCCCCCTTCCACCATTTTCCAGATTATAAATAATATTGTGGACAACTTGCATTGTTATCAGTAGACATAAATGTAACCTTAATGAATTTGCCCACATTGCCTACATTTTGTGGAATTGCACTTGGGTCGTTCCATGACATAATGTTGATGCTACCGTCTCTTAGGACCGAAAAGAGCTTCTGGATATCAGAACAGCGATTACTCACCTCGAACTGGACAAAGATTATTTATTTAATGAGTCGGACGCAAAGGATATAATGTCATGTTGCTCCCAGACAAGGCCCAAATCTCTGTCATTTGCATGAAGAAATTAAGGAAATACAGGGGGCGGAGATCAGGGTGCCTTGTGAGAATTTGTTGGCGAGTGGGTAACCCGCCTCTACCATCCGTTCTATTGGCCAACCTGCAATCACTGGAGAATAAACTGGATGAGCTCCATTCGAGACTATCCTACCAATGGGACATTAAAAACTGTAATATCTTGTGTTTCACCGAGTCGTGGCTGAACGACAACACGGATAATATACAGTTGGTTGGGTTTTCCGTGCATCGGCAGGACAGAACAGCAATGTGCGGTAAGACGAGGGGTGGGGGTGTGTGTCTATTTGTCAATAACAGCTGGTGCGCAATGTCTAATATTAAGGTAGTCTCGAGGTATTGCTCGCCTGAGGTAGAGTACCTCATGATAAGCTTTAGACCACACTATCTACCAAGAGAGTTTTCATCTATATTTTTCGTAGCCTTCTATTTACCACCACAAACCGACGCTGGCACTAAAACCGCACTCAACAAGCTGTATAAGGCCATAAGCAAACAAGAAAATGCTCCTAGTGGCTGGGGACTTGAATGCAGGCAAACTTAAATCCGTTTTACCTCATTCCTACCAGCATGTCACGTGCAACCAGAGGAAGAAAAACTCTAGACCACCTTTACTCCACACACAGAGACACGCACAAAGCTCTCCCTCGCCCTCCATTTGGAAAATCTGACCATAATATATATATTTTTAACCTTTATTTAACTAGGCAAGTCAGTTAAGAACAAATTCTTATTCACAATGACGGCGTACACCGGCCAAATTGTGCGTCGCCCTATGGGACTCCCAATCACGGCCGGTTGTGATACAGCCTGGAATCAAACCAGGGGGTCTGTAGTGACGCCTCAAGCACTGAGATGCAGTGCCTTAGACCACTGCGCCACTCGGGAGCCCATTGCATTGACACCCCCCTTTGTCTTTACCCTGCTGTTACTCGCTGTTTATTATCTATGCATAGTCACTTTACCCCTACCTACATGTACAAATGACCTCGACTAACCTGTACCCCCGCACATTGACTCGTACCCTCTGTATAGAGCCTCATTATTGTTATTTTGTGTTACTTTATTATTTTTTACTTTAGAAAATATTTACGAAATAAACTCAACTCAATTTTCTTAAGTGCATTGTTGGTTAAGTATGTATTTCACGGTAAGGTCTACACCTGTTGTATTCGGCGCATGTGACAAATACATTTGATCTGATTTGGACCAATCTTCATCCTAGCAATGAGTAAGACATGAGGAATCCAAAGAAATGGTCAAAAGCCACCCACGGACCCCCCACTCCCCACACCAAGCCCACCCCAATTACAATAATACAGTATCAGTTCTCTATGTCTGACAAGTAGTATGAAGCTGCAGCTAGGAATATTGTTTCTTCATACTATGTAAATTATTCTCAGTGAATTTGGTGATGGTTATTGTCCCCTGATCAGAGAAATTAGTCATTGAAGTTAAGGTTTATGTACCATCACACAACTTGATATTACCGTGTTTTGACCTAGGGGTGGTCGATATGAACTAAAATTCATATCACAATATTGTCCGCTGTCCGGACGATAATGATATAATATCACGATATACTGTACAAAAAAAAACAACAACATTTTATGAGCCCTTCAATGTTAATAAATGACAAAATATTGCTTTTACCCTTATAGAAACAGAAAGGGGGCATTGCAATTTTTTTTTTTTTTACTTCTGTGGTAAACCTGTGCAAACATGAAACATAAACAAAGGTATATAAGTTAAATAAATATGCAGTAAAATAAAATAAAAAAATATTTAAAGTACTCAGGATGTAAAGAAAATGTAAATATTTTTTACTTTTTCCTGCCAAATATAAGAAGTGCAGTCTTTTTTCAGCATAACACCGGTCATTATTACATTTTAGTCATTTAGCAGACGCTCTTATCCAAAGCGACTTACAGGAGCAATTAGGGTTAAGTGCCTTGCTCAAGGGCACATCAACAGATTTTTTACCTAGTCGGCTCGGGGGATTAGAACCAGCGACCTTTCGGTTACTGGCGCAACGCTGTTAACCACTAAGCTACCTGCTTAGTTGTAAACCTTTTTTAGACTAACTTCTTCAAGCATTAACCAGACAGTGTGTATGTTTCTCAGTTCACCATGTAACAATTCACTGCCTCCCTCTTCACAAGTTCCGTTTCAGGAACACCAGCCTATTGACAGCTTCTGGCATGTGACCACATTGCGCCCAGTGCTAAATGCTCTCTGAGGGCGAACTTGTGGCAGGGATCCATAAGTATTTCTTTGTCAGACAACTCACTTGTGGGAAGTTGGATGCGTGAACTTGCCACCACTCCAAAGGATCAGCCTCACTGTCTGCTGCCATCATCAGAGTGTAGCGGTCCAGCTCTTGCTCGATTACCTGTCTCTGGGTTCTTAAGGCAGGTGCACTACTGGTTTTCTTAAAGAAACTCCCAAGGCCCTTCTTGGACTTCTTTGCTTGTTGTGGAGCAGTGGCAGCTTCTTTCTCTCTCTCACTCTGGTCCTCTTCAAGAGAGAAGTCCCCCACCGCTGTGTTCCCTACCAGGAGGGCTTCTGTCTCGGAGGCAGCTCTCACCTTCACCTACACCAGCTTCTCAGTGGTCATGTAGGTGGTCTTGAACCTTGGGTCCAAAAAGGTAGCCATGCTGAGCAGCTCATCTGTTTCAGGGTAAGTGTATTTGTCATTCAGGTAATTGAGGACCCTCATCTTAATCTCTCGGGTCAGTTTGGCTTCGCCCTCATTTGATTTCAGAACTTCCGTCTTGAACAAGTGGAGGACCAGCTTCAGATAGGACGCACTCACGTATGTCTCTCCTGACAGGGCATCTGTGAAATCCTGGAAGGGTTTAAGTGCTGCCGTGATAGATTCAAAGACCTCAATTTCTTGCTAGGAGGGTGCAAGGTGCCGTGTTTTTTTGTCTGCTGCCAGGACTTGTGTGATGGCCTTTTCCTGCTCCAGGACTCTTTCCATCATCTGCATTGGAGATCCCCACCTTGTCGGGGATTCCATGATGAGCTTGTGGAGGGGCAGGCTCAGTTTTATCCTGTGCACTTGTCAGGGCCTTCTGCTTCTTCCAACTATAGGAAAATGTGCTGCCCACTTTCTTGCACACTCCTGTGGCCCGGGAAACCCGAGGTTCGTTTTGAACACTTCTCTCTGAAAAATAATGAATCACAATTATTCAATAGAAATAACATTGCATCTGCTGTAATTACAACCATTTACAGCATGGACACTGGACATGATTACAAATGTAATCCATCTATAGATTTACATACAACTGTTGTGATTTAAGAGAGCTATGTTGCTTTAGAAAACGGGATAATTTATTGAGTAGGCTATTTATTATTGAAAGAGAGAGGATAGATTCAATTATATTGAAACCATAGGCTAATGTATCAATTATAAATAAAAGCAATGTAATCCATTGAATGTTTGGATATTGCACACATTGACAAATATTATAGATTTGCATAGCTGTATATATTCGGCTTAACGTATAAGAAGGATCAGGCAGTGTAGTCAGCTATAACTTTAAACAGAGGAGATAAGGAAAACAATAGTTATTCTGCATTTTAAGTTATGTTGTTTTTAAGTTACGTTATAAAAAAAAAAAAGTGTTTTGGATGTTGAAACTTACCAATAGCAATGTGTAGTCTGTGTCCGAAACATCCTAGTCTTGTCCATTTGTTCAGCTCCAATGCTTTGACCATGTTCGATCCGCTGTCGGTAGTCATACACACTTGACGCGACTCTTTCAAGCCCCAGGATGAAAGGGCCTCCCTCAGCCCAGCTGCAATGATTTCTCCGGTGTGGTCGTCTGGGAAATAAGAGGTCTGAAGGCATTTGCTTTGCAGCTTCCAGTTGTCGTCAATGTAATGAATCGTGAGGCTAATGTATGGCTCTGTGGTCCGGCTTGACCATAAGTCGGCGGTGGTAGAGAAGAATGCAGTGTTACGGATTTCGTTGGCATCTCTGTCCCGACATTCTGTGTAGAGTTCTGGCAGACATGTTTTGCTGAAGTATTTACGACTCGGGATCTCGTATCTTGGGTCTAGAGTTCGAATCAGCTTTCTGAAACCGTCTTTCTCCACAGTTTGAATTGGTTCCATGTCTTTCTCTATGTGATATGTAATTGCACTCGTTATCTCATTCCACTTCTTGCTCTTCTTGTCATAGGGAGTACCACTAACGAATGATGCCTTGAGTGATAGCTGAGTGCGGGTCTGGCTTGAAGATGTCTTGGGACTTGCGCCGCTGCTCCGGGGGTTTGTTGCACACATTCTGGTAGATTCTTCATATTCACGCACATGCAGGGTTTTCGGGTGGTGAAAAAGATTGCTGGTGTTTCCACCTTTGGCTAGCACAATGCGTTGACACAACTTACACAGTACTGTTTGTTGGTCGGGGTCGGATATCTTAAAACCAAGCATTCCTAACGACAGAGGAGGCCCCCTTTTTTTGAACCAATTCTTTGTCGTCCTGCAAATCAACCTCAATAGTGTTATTCTCCTTGTCTTCAGTCATCCTCAATGCTTGCTTACACTTTTGCGCTTGATTTTCGGACACTTTTGCTAACGAAAGGAGTTTACTTCACTAAATGTTTGCTTACTCTGCAGTTGCGCATACTTGTTTGTTGACTTTGATTAGCAGGCAGATTGCGTGTAACATCTATGCTTCTAGTTTTTTTCTTTGCTAAAAAAGGCTATGTTTTTAGTAAAAGATAAACAATTTGAACTAGCAAGCATCAAGTCAAACAACAAGTAAATGTTGTGTGCACTACGTCATCACACACTGATTTTTATCCGAAACCAAGTCAGTTTGATGGAAACACACCACTGGTGGGAAAATGCACATATTTTCTTTAATGCGGATTTCAGAATATTCTCATAAAAATCTGTTGCCAGTTGGAGGGAAAGCTAGCTACAGGTGCAAAGGGAGTTTCCAGTGACATATTCTGACATTAAGTTTGACTTGGTCCTTGGGAAACCCATTGATGAGCATACAATGGTGAATGTGCGAGCACCTGATTTTCTAGTTTGCTGATTTGATGATGAGTACTGGATTGGAATAAATTGTTCTAACTGTAATGCTTCACTCTACATTTATAAATCATTATAATTTGAAGGTTCAGTCTTGACACCTTTTTCAACAAATAACAGAAACAGCACCACCTAGTGGTCATAACCTGGTAATATCAACCAAACAACTGAGAATACATTACACGGTATGAAGAAACAATACTCCTACCTCCAGATTCATACTACTTGTCAGACATAGAGAACTAATACTGTATACTGGTTGTTGGGGTGGGCTTGGTTTGTGTGGTCCGTGGGTGGCTTTTGACCTCACGTCTTAATCTTTGTTAAGAAGAGGTTTGGTCCAAATTGGATGTTAGGTACTATATTTATTGAATATTATATGAATCTTATACATTTGAAATTGCCAATTTGGGTGCAATCAATTAGCGTAAATAGTTTTTCAACAAAACAATGTTGCAGGAATGCTTATCTTCTCTAATTACAGAAACGATTTCAGAATCTGAGATGGTGGGTGTCGAATTCCTCTTTCTTGTGCTTTTTGAGGTGGAACGACTCACTTGTCACTGGAGTGTAGGAATGTTGTACACTTCAAAGCTGAGCTACTGGTCATTGTCCTGCTGGAATGTCAGTCTGGAGTTGACTTACAACCAATACATTGTTTCAAAAGGCATTTTAAGGCCAGTCCTCTTAACAGACCTTCTAAAAAAAAATGATTCAGAGCTTCTAAAACAAGTCAGCCAGTGCCAATCTCAGGAATATTGTCTCTTTCTGTTGGAATAACTTGAGTGCAGACACAAAATTACGCTACCACATGAATAAGGTTTTGAACTAGCCTAATGTTTTTGGTTATCAGCATTTTCTTATGCTGTGTGTAATATTTATAACAGTACTTTCAAAAGATTCCCCCAGCTCTCTTAGGATTAATGTTAGCTAAGGGACAGAGACCAGACCACTGTTGCTTCCATTTAATTGCACAATAAATTCATTAACCTCTGGACAGCCGTATTCGGCTGCTTGTTGATGCGTGGAGTTGTGTCATCGTCCAGTGTGATGACAGGAGATCACACAGACTGGCATGGAGAGTATGTCTCTGTCTCATTTCCCAGGCTCCTCATAATTTACACTGCCTGGCTGTTTGGCAGGCATTCATCATGGTTTTACTCCACTGTGTTAGCATCCCATCACGTGTACCAACGTGAGTTATGGATCCCTTCTAGGAGTAGTGGCCTATTTCATCTGTCTGCTGGGGAAATCTTGAATCATGTCGTATTATAACTTAGTGATTTCTGAAACGCATTCCCTTAGGATGAGCATAGTGATTTAACACAGATGAAGAAGCACATTACTAAACTGTCAGTGTTTAATTATGTAGTAGATATTGAGATACTAAAATTCTGCCTGACGTTTGAGTTCAGTGCTCAACCCTGTTTCTTGTATCCTCTTCCATGATTATCATTAGGCCTATGCCCACAATGTTCCTTCCTTTCAAAATCGTTTTAGGAGGATATCCAGTTGTTGGACACACCTTTGGTAATGCATATCTATGGTATGCATCATGATGCTTCCCCCATGGAGTGTCATTGTTGAAAGGAATGTCCTTAATGACATGAGATCTAAGCCACACCCTGACTGATTGCTGTTGATGATAGTGTTTGAAATTAACAGGTTTTCTTCCCCAACGTTACTGTGCCAATAGGCTTTTACCCCTATATGCATTTAGCAGCGGCGCACCACTGCTGCTAAATCGTGGCAGTCACCCCCCCCCACCGCTAACTCTGCCACCACTGCTGATAAAAGTCCTAGGGGAAACACTGCCAGTGGTTGGCTGTGTGCAGTACACAGGGGAAGGCCACCTTTCAGGGACTACACCTAGGTGTGACTGCAGCCTCCCAGACTGCAAATATGCTTACTGATAGCCATGTGGAAAGCCTGTTGAATAACTGATAGCAAAATGAGGGAACACTACATTTCCCCATTGCAATAGTTGGATAAGTGGCAAATAGACCACTTATCCAACTACTACGGTTTGCAACAAAATTCTGACATTCTGACATTTTCATGAGGTGCAAGGCCATGGCCTTCTAAAAGTGCTTGCTTGTAGTGTCTTGCTGCCTTGAGATTTTTCTCCTGTGTCCTCCTTTGACCTCAGATAGCATTAGTACAGTATTAGCTGGTAGTACTGTAACACAATAAAACTGACTGCAACTGTTTGTTTCCCAAGGCAGGAGATTATGAAGTGGAATGGCTGGGGGTACGGTGACTCCAAATTCCTCTTCAACAATAAGGGTCAAGCAGAATTCACAGGCAAAAGGTACAGTATACTGTCCCAACATTTTCAACCAATTTTTTTACTCTCATGAAGAACATATTCAATGTTCTTGTGTATTATGATCTGTAAATGTGAATGTATCCATTATTCAGTGATAGAATTCTCATTCTGGATTGCACTCTCCACTCCACTACATACTACCTAAAACCTCCCCCTCCTCGGGTCGTCACTAGTTACCACAACCACAAAGTCAAAAACCCTGTCTATTTCTACAATTTATCTGCTTAAAATGTGATTTTAAATCTAACCCAAACATTAATCACACTGCTAACCTTAAGCCTAACCCTAACCTTAAATTAAGACCAAAAAGCACATTTGTGTTTTCATTCATTTAAATGATATAGACAATTTTGAGTTTGTGGCTGTGCTATCTAGTGAAACCCCCTCCTCGCGATACTCATTTAGAGTGGGGTGCTAGTGCCATCTAGTGGCTGGTATCTGTATCCTACATATCTTGCCTCAATTCAGTCCCAGACATATGAGGTCAATTAGTGTTATTATCAGCTGTTTGAAACTCCCCATTGGAAACTCAGATCATTGCCTTGCATGGAATGTCTGTACTTCTACCCCTTCACCATAGATAGGCTAACTGGTGCTTTTTGTTTTGTGTATGTCAACAGTTCTCATAGGTGGATCATGGTTGGATGTGTACAATCTAACAATTTTAGAAATATGCTGAATGCTGTAGGAAATTATTACTTTGAATCCCTGTGGGTGTAGAGAAACCTTTTAACTCTACTCTCTCTCTCTAGTGACTGAGGATGACTTCAGTACACACAGGCAGCAGAATGGATCGCTCTTTTCTTTGGCAGTTTTACACCTTTGTCTATCTCACATTATAGAGGCAGAGATGGCCTTATTGGTTTTTTACTTGTGATGTATGGTTTAAGAACAGAAAGCCTTGTCTGTCAGACTTAAATCAAAGGGATCTTGTAGACTCTGTACTGTATGTAGAGCTGGGTTTGTGTAATGGGGGGAATTATACAGGATGCTGTGCAGGAAATGGGTCCTCTGTTATTCTATGTTCAAAATTGTATCAACCACCTCTTTCCATTCCGTGCTTTCTCTGTTGAATTATTTTTGGCTGCTACATATGCGTGGCTGGATGGAAGAAATGAAAGTCAAAGAGAGATGTCTCCTCTTCTCTCCTCCTGAGAGATTTCTCCTCCTCTGTGACAGAGGCTTTTTCATTAAGGAGTGTGTTTCATGGTCTGCTGGACAAAGGCGGACTACAGTCCCCTGATGTGCTGCCCTCTGCTGTGCCAGCGGTTCAATTATTCAGCGGCTGGCGTGACGGGGACGGCACGGACGGCACGGACAGCGCTGTCATTGGGCTCGCCTAATAAACTCATTCAGCTCCAACCACCACACGCTGACTTCATACCAATGACAGCCAGACAGTGTTTTCTGTATATATTTCAGCAGTTCCCAGCATAAGTTATGTTTACCGATTGGGTCTGGTGGCAAATTGTGACGGGTAATTTCCTTTCTTCTAATCCTGTGTGTTTCTGTTCATTGCAGGTATAGGCTGAGCGGGATGATCCTGCCCAGTTTGCAGGACTGGTTTGAAAACACCTTTGGCGCCAGTGTGAAGCATAAAAGCCCCGCGACAGTAAGTGTCGTTATTTCCAACCCTTGTCTCCTGTTGGTTTGAATTCCAATGACTGCAGCAGTCAGTTAATGGCTCCTCCTCCTCCTCCTCCCATGTCTTTGTCCCAGCCTGCCCTGAATGCCAGCGCTGTGCCACTGCCCAGTCTGAACGAGGCGTTCGTAGAGGACCTGAAGGCCACGGGCATCCCCTTCTCCCATGAGGCTGAGGACAGGGTGTTCCGTGCCCACGGTGAGGCATGCTGGGAAGGCTCTGGTCCTCCAGGGGGATGGGAGTAGTCTGGAGGGTTCTCATACAGGCACTGTGTGAATGTTGAGATCATGATGCCGCCTCTATTTTTACACATGCAAAACATAGGGAAAAAAGCTGCATGAATCAGAGTAAACTGTCAAGTAATTAAATTATAAATATCACACTAATTTTACTGATCATACAACCATAATTGCTTTTTTCGTAGTATATTAAGTATATTACATTTTTTCACTCTTATGTTAACAGGTCATTGCTTACATGAAATCTTTGCTCTCAGACAAGGGAAGAAATTTGAGCGGGTTCCGGACATGGTGGTGTGGCCAAGTGAGTTTTGCGGCGCTACTATTGTAAATGGTCCTTGTTTTTTTTCCTTCCCTCCCACATTGCATTGCTTCTTTCCATCTTGGCTTAGGTGATTTAAAGGGTTAATCTCTGCAGAGGCGTAGGGATATTAATATGTATGAGCGGAGGCTTAATAAGAAGCGTCAGGGGGAGGGCGTTTGATACCCAATACACCACGGCCGGGCCCAGCACAGTACCCCCATGAATTACGCCACAGATTGGTTCACTGCAGTTATGGCCGGCACTATTTTATCATGTAAATGAGTGTTGACTTATGGCTGAAACTTGATTAGCAGGCTCCCAAATGGCCAGCAAATCACGAAGCTCCTGTAGCAGCATTCAAATTGGAACGTCCCCTGGTTTTCTAACTCTCCAAATCCACACAAAATTGCACTCCCTCTAGCCTCAGTGATGTAAAACGTGAATTCCAGGGTAGTTACTTTAGTATGGTTGTATATTTAAGTGGAAGGTTGTTAGTCTTGTGAACTCTTATACCCACACCAAAGCCGCCCTTTGTTTAATTGGATGGCAGAGTGTGTTGGAACGGATACATTTTTCATTGGCCAGCGAGGGAGGGCTTGAGCCCAGTGAAGCTGATCCATGTAGGTTGATATTGCTGTTCTGTCTCTTCCCCCTCACCCTCAGTCACTCAGCCAGGGGACCAGTGTGAATGGACATGGGAGCTGGGATTGGCCAGAGCACCTTGTCCGTATTGATCCCCCACATCCCACCCCAGAGACCTGGGCTTCATGCTCTCTGGTTCCATCTCAGGAATGCCCCCAGCCAAATCAGAGCCATCTTCCCCCAGAAGCACCCCCTGGCCTATCCCTGGCTCTCCCTGGCCTATCCCTGGCTCTCCTCTGCTCAAATGGCTTAGGCCTTATGTGAATGTTTATTGTTTTCCGGAGGCTGATGGTTTATGTGGCATTTCTTATTCCCTTTGCCACATGAGTACTCTTGTTATCGCCCTAACACTAATTTATGGCTGTGTGTTTTATATAATGACATGGGATAAAATGTCCATCCAAATATTGTTGTGGTATTCTTTGCCTGCGCAGACTGCCACAACGACGTGGTGAAACTTGTGGAGCTGGCATGCAAGCACAATGTTTGTTTGATACCATACGGCGGTGAGTATTTTACATTTTTGTAAACTCAATAGTACAGTTCATTATAATATCTGCTTTTTAATGTTTTCCAAACTTAATAACTGATTTTAGACCAGAATGATTATGATACTGTATGCCATGTCTTGACCATATGACCTGACCAGGAAAAAGTATACTACTAGGGCCCGGAGTTTTCCCCTGTTCATGTGACATGCTCAGGGAAAACTCCAGGTCCTAACCCTAACTGCTCTCCTGTCCTCCCCCAGGAGGCACAAGTGTGACCAGTGCTCTAGAGTGCCCCCCGGAGGAGACTCGCTGCATTGTCTCCCTGGATACTTCACAGATGGTGGGGAATCAGAGCTGCACAGCTGCACATATACATGCATCCATACAGAGATCTGCTCTGCTCAGCACTTTGTCTCAACACAACTTACTGTTTTACTCATTTATATGACAGTATAATGTCTTGTATAGTAAGATTAACTGACAATATATAGTTTAGTATGGACAGTATTAAGCCAGGGACTATTTATTTTAGATGTTAGAGCTCCTATTGCTGTGAATGTTGGAATCTACAACTTACTATAGATGTGCAGACAGGAAAGCTAGCGGTCAGCAGAGGATGCTCCTATATCCACATCAAAGCTTATTCAGACTTCCAGCTGAGACTCACTCTCTCATTATCTAACTTTGGGAGAATCCTGTAGCATTAATTTGCCAAGCTGTTCTCAGAGAAATTACTGTTAGTGAAGGAAACCCAATAGGAAACAGCATTTAGTAGCAGTACTGTATCACAGCGCTGTTGGACAACCCTCTGCCCAGGTGATATATTGGCAGTCTGGACAGCGCTAGTCCAGCAGTCACTGAGGGGGTGACGTAAATACTAGTGACCAGTGCACTGGGTCAAGGGTCACGGGGCATAGCGGGTCTGAGGGAGGCACATGAAAGGCTGTGTATGACAGCAGCAGACACTTTATTACCTCTGGAGAATGATTGATGTCTCTGTGAGGGGAGCTCAAGCTGGGCCAGGAGGTGCCTGGAGAGCCTGAAACGAGAGGGGGATTTGCTGGATTGAATGTTAAAAGGAGGTTAACCTTTTGGAATCTATCTGACTGATGCTGTGTCCTCCCCACGGCCTAGTCCTCTAGTCACGCCAGCCACATGTGTGCTGCATCTCGCTGGTGGGAGTTGCTACTGAAATACTCCCCCCGCGTCTTCAACAATTACAAGAGCTTGGCTGTTATTCCCTTTCTCATTGGTAGATGTTGTGGTCGCCACAGAATCTGTATTTTCCTCACAGTTGTTATAAAATGCTGCATGCTGACCTGTTTGGGCTTAAGACCTCAACAACTGGAATGTATTTTAAGGCAGTAATTCAATGGGTGAAGGCAGAGTTGGAGTACAGTGAGGACAGCCATGGGTATTTGCTGTCAATGCAACTGCATTTGAATAAAAATCCTCTCCCTCTTAACCTTTATCAGATACAGAGCCTGCTTTTCACTTGGGCTGAAGTCATAAGGCGTTGAACAGGATTTTATTTTGTTTGTTCTAGTGGTATAAACGATCTAAGCAGTGACATTTTATGACCTCATGAGTTTTGTCTTTGTATCTGCAGAACCGCATATTGTGGATCGACGAGAAGAATTTAGTCGCCCACGTTGAAGCTGGCATCATCGGTCAGGATTTAGAGAGATTAGTAAGTGTCTTGACTTCGTCAGTGCTCAAATTTCTAAACCATTTCTTACCCAATGATTTGCCATGAAAGCCTCATGTCATTAAGATGGTAAGATGGCCACGAATAAACTCCCATCCTTTCACCTGTGGGTTAGTTGTTTACTGGGAGTACAGAGAGACCATGCTAGGCAGGTCTGAATGGCAGAAGAAAGGGTAAGTATGTTCCACAGCGGAGCAGTGAAGGGTAGAGGCTCGGGCGATGAGCAGATGGCACCATGAAGCTAATTCAGAAAAATGGAGAAGGAGCCAGTGTTTGATGTGGAGGAATGCGTGTGCTGCATCTCAAACAGGCGCCACTTTTGCATATAGAGAGAGGCCATTTTGACTGAGCAGATGGCTCAGCATTGAAAGCTGCCTGTCGGGGAGAGCAGTGCCATAAAGCACACGGCCTGACTCTCCTCACATCACCTGGAAGAGAGGTGTCATTAGAGCAGACCTGGCCCTGCCTGCCGCAGGGCACTCAGACAGGGCTCTACAGGTTTATTACCTCAAATATCTTTCAGCATAGAGCCAGCCCAGCCCACCATCCAAAACTATTTTTGCTACTTCACTTATTTTTTTGTGGTAGGTTTATTTTAGACCGTTGTAAAAATGTATGATGTCATCAAGCTAAGAATCTGAACACAAAAGCCCCTAACGAGCCCTCTATTGAATCCAACAATGGAAGAGGAATTTGTTTGTCTCAAGCTGTTTGGTTTCATAACAAATTGTGGTTTATGCAAGCAAGTTCTTTTAACCACCTACAGTATGTGCTGCTATGAATACTGATGAGTGTACTTCTGTTGTTCTCTTTCCTCCCCAGCTCAACGAGAGCGGCTACTGTACGGGGCATGAGCCTGACTCCATGGAGTTCAGTTCTCTGGGCGGCTGGGTGGCCACTAGGGCATCAGGCATGAAGAAGAACGTTTACGGCAACATCGAGGACCTGGTACGTGCCCGCCCTCTTCTCTCTAACGAGCTCTGATCTTACTAGGAGACTGAACAGGCAAAAGATTTGAAACTGAAAGGCACTAATTAGCAACTTGCACGTGAAGTTGCAGGTGCGGCCGTCAAAACCTTCTGTATGGGAACCATTCTATTTGTTTTTCCTGGGAAGAAGCCTGCTTGCTTTGGTTAAGATCTGTCAATGGTTGACAGAATGTAGCCTTGAATATGACCTCAGCAAACCCAGGAAGCTCTTGTTTTAAACTCTAACCTGGAAATTCCACTACTCTCTGCGGTTATTAAAGTCAAACTTAGTGACTTGAGCTGCCATCTTGATTGTCCTGTGTGCAGGTGATCCACATAAAGGTGGTGACCCCTCGAGGGGTGATGGAGAAGAGCTGCCAGGGACCACGCATGTCCACTGGGCCAGACATCCACCACTTCATCCTGGGCTCAGAAGGTAAGACTCGCCTCTCCTCTCGTGGCTCATGACTGCAACATGATAAAAGTTCACCCTATCTGCATGAGTTCACGCGTGTGCGTGTGTGTGTGTGTGTGTGTGTGTATAATGTGATAGGGGTGTAGTAGTAACACGGTACTTCTCATGTAGCGGCTCAGGTTAACTTTAACCAGAGTGGGAGAAGAGATCTAGCCAAGAGAGAGGGCTATTGGTTTTGGGGCCTCTGTGCTTCATGCCTGCCCACGCCCCCACCTCTTCTGCTCCCCTGTCCTTGTGAGAGCCCAGTGAGAATAGTGCCATATGCCAGGTTCCCACCCCCCACATAAAGAGGAGGTGCAGGGACTCCTGGCACTGCAGTGTTCAACAGCTGTGGGTACACACGCTCAGCGACGCATTGCAAGCTGCTCACTGACTCCACACTGGGGCTGGGCAGAGATCTCCATTTGTACTCATTAGAATGGTTTTTCGGGATACTTAACGCACATCTGCGAATGAAAGCCTAACAACATGTATTTAATTTAGTCCAATCAACTCTTTTAAATTACCTTCAATTCAGGGACACAGAGATTGAAATAAAGACTATCGTAATCGTTGAAAGGGGAGAATGGGTTGGCTCAGATGTGCCGAGTAGTTGTTCCTCATCTAACTGGTATTAGGCTTGAGTTTTGGACCTATTTGAGCCTGGTGCCTACTGTGAAGCCAGCCCCTGTTAGGTAGGAGAGGAGACAGGACCACCTTGTCCCCAGTCTCAGACACTGTGTGGGCACCTGGCTGGGCGGCCTGCTCTGCTGCTGGAGCTGAGAGAGAGAGAGGTCATACCTCTGCTTGGTCTCATTACAATATCTCCCCCTGCACACGCATCCCACACGCTGACACTAGTCCACAACAACAGAGCCTAGCACTGGAACCCAAACACTGCTCTGCATGTTAAGTGGCCAGGCATCTATTTCAATAAAAATGACTAAGAACCCTCTTCCTCTTCTCATTCCACACACAGTATCCCTCCTCTCGCTAATCTCCCTGACCTTGAAGTGACCTGAATACCAAAGTATTTCCCTCTGCCCTTCTCTAAGCAGTGTGAAAAGGGATTGATTGGAATAATCAATAATAATCAGGTTTCTGTTTCAAAGCCATTGCCAATGTTATGCAGGTGTGTGAAGCAGGCCAGCACTAATCGCATGTTGTGTGGAGTTAATGTGATGTGAAACTGCCTCCTTTGACTCCTTAACGAGTGGCCACAGGTTTCAGCAGCATGGCATCTCACATATCAGGCTTGTTCACTGCCGCTTTTTTTCCTCTCTGTGATAACAGAACGTAGGAAATAGGTACTGCATGGTGCTGGCTCCTCTGTTGGAAGGGACATCTCCTCTAAACAACCCTGGTTATAGCGAGGTTAGCGAGGGCTCATTTACATAGAGGATTGCGGTAAAAATGGCTCTTGCTGTCCCACTCGCACGCGATACGGTCTCCCCCTCTGGAGTTAGTGTGTTAGTTGACCTTGCTGAGAGCGTTGTGCTGGTCCTACCCAGCCTCCTCTCCTTTCTCTCTTTCTCTCTCTCTGTCTCTGTCTCTGTCTCGCTCTCTCACTCTCGCTCTGTCTCTCGCTCTGTCTCTCGCTCTGTCTCTCGCTCTGTCTCTGTGCTCTGGGTTCTACCTCCACTCCTCCACCACAGTGTGGGTGTGACGATGCCCCTGAGAGGAGGCCCAGGGTATGTGCAGAGGCGTGATGATGGAGTCACATGTTCTCGGTTGGGCCACTAGAGAGCAGCATGTGGCATGTAGTGTCACATTAAAAGGCTCATTAACGGCCTTGGCATGCACAGGACAGCCCCTAATGGATATGGCTGTACAGACTATATGTGTCATCTCAATGGGACAACACTAATGCACATTACATGAGTCAAGTACACATTTACAGAATTACAGATTAATCTAAAGGAAAAAGTCCTGTATTTGAGATTTCAAAAACATTTTACATTTTAGTCATTTAGCAGACGCTCTTATCCAGAGCGACTTACAGTTAGTAAGTGGTATTAGAAGTGTTATTGATGATTTCTTTTGAGGTAACATTATTGTGTGAATTCAGAGCGAGAATAGGCCAAGACAGTGTATGGCTCAACTTGACCTGACAGTATTTAATTATTGTGGATATTTTCTCAAATTAGCCAACGTTCATAAACACTCATTAAGCCGTTAGCAAGACATCTGTGTTTTTTATGGAAATAGTAATTAAAGACAATATATTAAATAAACATCACATTTTGATTTCCACCCGCAGAATTATAAACTGGTGCCTCGCTGAGGTTATCACTATTTACAGTGTGATCTCATTAAGATAAAAGCTTTATTAGAATCCGTTCCACCGTTAAGGTTTTATAGAGCCAGTTACTCCATCTATACTCTCCATGGGATTTGTAAACGGCACTAGGCTAAACATAATTCCTTTATTGGTGCGTTTACTGCATAGTTTGGCCCATTAGTTGTCCATATTTTGCCAATTGGGAGTCCGTCCATTCAAATTGTCATCCATTTCTACAACATCTTGTTCGTCTTTCTGAAACACGGGAAATGGCGTGTCTGCTTTGATAGAGAACTTTCCTTAAGGGACATGTTTGCGTCCCAAATGGCACCCTATTCTTTCTATAGTGCACTACTTTGTACCAGAGCCCTATGGGCACTGATAAGAAATAGTGCACTATAAAGGGAATAGGGTGCCATTTTGGACATTGCAATTCTTGCTCTGGGCAGGGAAAATTCTACCTGCAGGTAATAGAAGGTGGAACATGACACGTAAAGCTGCAGACACAGTGGATACTTTGTGGGGTCAGGGGTTAGCTGGGAACCCTGGGCGACATGTAATGTGCTCCTGGTGTTGGCCTTCCTTTGATATGGACCTGTTTTATTTCCTCGATAAATCTCATTGGTCTCCTGTGAGCAGCATGAAACCAGATCACAGAGGTGAAAGGTGGCACATAGGTCACCACCAATGATGTGATGGTAAAGACACTAGGTGGGTAAACAACGTTTACATGTGGTTACCCTCCACTACACCACTGGTCATCACCCGCCCAGTTAGTTAAGTCAGGCATTAAAGCTTCAATTATGTAGCACAATCAAACCTAACCACAACCAATGTCAGGCTATTGTTTTACAGTCATTCTTGTATGAGAACCTTGGTTTCAATAGTATGCGCCCCTGTGTTTTCCACTAGGAACTCTTGGTGTGGTTACTGAGGTAACGATGAAGATCCGGCCAATCCCAGAGTACCAGAAGTACGGCTCAGTGGTCTTCCCAAACTTTGAGGCGGGAGTGTCCTGCTTACGAGAGGTTGCCAAGCAGGTAAAGACCATTACCATCTTGTGTTTGTACAATGTACCTATTGCGAATAGGTTACATTATAATAACAGTGAGAACAGTAGCTAAACTATGCAGGTATTGAACAGTGCAGATCAATGCTATATTGTAGTGTAAAAACAAAGTGGTCAGGTTATGTTTGGCAGATCTCCAAATCTGGGAAGGAATTAATTTGAATGATAATGAAGACCATAATAACAAATAAGTTCCTCTGCTTGCTCTGACTGGGTAGTGCTGATGCAACCATTATTGATGACTACAATTTGTGCAGCTACGTTCGTTACAGGAATTAGTTGAGTCGGTACAGTAGTATAGCGTATAGCACACAATTAAGGTATCGACCATTGAGCCTTGGCTTTTCATGGACGTATCCACACACTACCAGGAATATCTGCTCATGTCTATAGGTTGTGTATGATTGTGAAACAAATGTTATTTCAAAGTCATTTGAAAGGTTTTTCTCTAAATGACGAAACGTAATGCAGGTTAAACTTTCACTAGGAAAATTAGTAGAATAATGTGTGGGATGGGGAAATGTTTACAAAATAAAATTAAACATGCTCCTAAATTAATTCTTTTTTCTCCCAGAGGTGTGCACCTGCATCCATCCGGCTCATGGATAACGAACAGTTTCAGTTCGGTACGTCAACATCATTCAGAACCCTGCCATTTCATCTCTGCAAAGGAACCTTTTGATATACATTGTGTACAAAACATTAGAACACCTTCCTAATATTGAGTTGCACCCCCATCCCCCTTTTGCTCTCAGAACAGCCTCAGATCGTCAGGGCATGGACTCTACAAGGTGTTGAAAGCGTTCCACAGGGATGCTGGCCTATGTTGACTCCAATGCTTCCCACCGTTGTGTGATGTTGGCTGGATGTCCTTTGGGTGGTGGACCATTCTTGATAACCATGGGAAACTGTTGAGCGTGAAAAACCCAGCAGCGTTGAGCTCTTGACACAAACCGGTGCATCCACCATACACCGTTCAAAGGCACTTCAATCTTTTGTCTTGCCCATTCACCCTCTGAATGGCACACATACACAATCCATGTCTCAAGGCTTAAAAATCCTTCTTTAACCTGTCTCCTCCCCTTCATCTACACTGATCGAAGTGGATTTTACAAGTGACATCAATAAGCTATCATAGCATTCACCTGGTCAGTCGGTCATGGAAAGACCTCATAATGTTCATAATGTTTTGTACACTCAGTGTATCTTTGTTTAACATGGGAGCTCAAAGTGAAGTAGTAGACTATGCTGTCTGGCTCCACACCCTGCCTGTGCTGTGTGGCTGACCTGGTTTTCATTTCTAAGTTATTCCCTCTAGCCCCCTCCACAGTCCACTAAAATGTAAAAGGCTGGGGTCTGAGGAACATGCAGCACGTGCCTTCTAGTGATGGGGGAAAAAAGTCGATACAGTTGCATATCGGGATATTATTTTTCATGAAATATTGTATCGTTTTGACAATAACGCAATATTATTTTTGCGCTAGTTGGCTGGACCTGCACCAAAACTATTTATTTTCAGCACATTTATTTCCATGACTGATCAGAACTCGTTTTCTCATGACTCTCGTCCCTCTGCAGCAGACATATGGTGAGGAATATGTTTGGAACATCGAATCGCAATAAAATCACAGTATCGAATCGCAATACATATAGAATCGTGATAATCACAATATATATCGTATCGGCACCTAAGTATCGTGATCGTATCGTGAAGTCCCTGGCAATTCCCAGCCCTAGTTCCTTCATATGCCATATCTTTCTACTCAGAGTCATTGTCTTTTGAAAGTAGTCTAATTCCTTGAATCTGACATTCTTTTTAATTGCCATTTGGCCTGGTTTTGTGTGAGGCTTTTTTCCCCAACTGTAATCCATTTGAGAAAATAATATAGCATTGGCAACGTTTCTTCATGTTTGCTTTTGGCTCCCTCTGCTACGTTGCATTAAGTTAAATTGATCATTATTTCAGCAGAGTAGCTAGCTGCACACACACGACTCGTGGATTAAAGCCCAATGAAAAATGACCTTGGCAACAATTAAGCAGTTGTTATATTGAAGTTTTACATTATTGTTTCTTGAGGTCTGGTGGAATGTATCAGGCGTTGGTGCCAGACATCTTTGTAAAGTTCTTCAGTCTCCTGGGATCTCATTAGCCTCCTTATATTCCCACTTTTCACCGAGTGAGCACTTCTTAGCATTAAGCAGGCAAGATGAAGCGACCAGGTTTCTCACTAATAACTGAACCTCAGTCCGGACTGATAGGATACCTTCTTGGCCTTATTAGTGCCTTCCCAGCAAACCGGGAACATTCCCAGGACATTAGCTAACATTCCCATTAAGTTCTAGTTAGGATTTTATCTAACATTAGGATGATAACATCCCAAAACATGCAAATAATGTTGTTGGTAACAAAATATTATTGGAATGTTCTAGCATTCACTAAAATGTTGTGCACAACATCTGTAACAACCACCACAGAACATTCCCCTAAGGTTTTTATTAGGTTTCCAGGTAATGTAACAAAATGTGTTCTGTGAATGTTCTTGCAACATCAGGCAAATGTTTTACACAAACATTGTATAATCATCAGCACAACTGGACAGTTTTTGTGTTTTGGGGCAACCTAATGAATGTTCACAGAACCTATTTTTGTTTGCTGGGTTGTCTTCCCTTTTAATCACCCTGGCTGCTGAGTGAAGGGATCTGATGTAGTCCCCTGTAGCTCAGTTGGTAGAGCATGGCGCTTGCAACGCCAGGGTTGTGGGTTCGTTTCCCACGGGGGCCAGTATGAAAATGTATGCACTCACTAACTGTAAGTCGCTCTGGATAAGAGCGTCTGCTAAATGACTAAAATGTAAAAAATGTAAATGTATTCAATGGGCCTGCTCATTTCAGAATATACAATGTACTGTAAAATATAGGGGTCACTTATCTCAATACGCTAGTTAGATGAAAATGGCAAGTGGTATGTTGGCCGTTGACATGCATTAAATGCAAATGAACAAAAGGGAGAGGGGGGGGGAATGACACACTGTATGTGTAATCCCCCCTCTCTCTGGTCGTTGAGTATTTAATTAATGAGCGTGATGGCTGCGGGAGACCTAAAGACCCAAAATCAAATTTGGAATGGAAACAATTGGAACACTAAGTGATGAAGAGACTGTGAGACGGAGGGGAAGAAATGAAGTGTTCAGTCTCCACAGAGTCACCCAGGACTCTACCCCACTGTGATTGATAACCATCCCATCAGCTCCAGACCCTCATTTTAGCTTGTCCACAGGCGCTTTGTGTGTCCGATCACGAATAAATCAAAACGTGCGGTGGCTGAGGAAGACGGATATGGCCGTGTCAAGCCCACTTCCCCTCGGAAACCCACTGATTTATTGTCCCTGTCGCAGGCAGCCTACTGGCCACTTGTAAAGTTATTCAAATGTTACCATTTATTTTCCTCCCTTTGTTCCCACACCCAAATAAATATGACTTAGTTGCCCTGTTAGAGTCCTGGAGGAAACAGGCAGGAGATGGGTGGGCTAAGTGTGACCAAATGTGTGAATAAATGATATCGGTGTTTCCTCTAAACTGTATTGTCCAAAAGAGGAAAGACAGAGGTCCACTTGGTTTTGAGTTGAGGGACTTGACCCTTCTGTTTCTACAGGTCATGCCCTGAAACCTCAAGTGTCGTCCATTTTCACAAATTTTGTGGAAGGGTTAAAGAAATTCTACATCACCAAGGTAATTCTTAATGGTTTGGCAGAAATACTACTCCTCATTTCTCTCTTGTCATTTGTACTTTCTGGAAAGTGTTAAACAAATTTTACTTACCTGTTTTTCCCAGTTCAAAGGATTCGACCCCCACCAGCTGGTTGTTGCCACCCTGCTGTTTGAAGGGGACCGCGAAAGGGTCCTGCAGCACGAAAAACAAGTTTACGACATTGCTGCAAAATTTGGGTAAGTAGCCCCTCACCCCTATTTCATTCTCTCAGGTCAGTAGATGTTACCCAACATGTATCCTACATTTGTGAGGGTTAAATTCCCCCCTTTAGTCTGGAAGACTGTCTTCAGCACACAGGTTGCATTCTAATCAGAGAACACATACAACACATGACAAAACCACAGTTGGTACTTGGTACACTCCTCATTGTGAGAAATCTGCCTTAGGCCTTGCTTGGAGGCATTCCATTGCCATAGTGGAGGAGCTTGGCCCCTCATGCTGAAGGTGGTGTGTTTGAACCAATCTAAGACCAAGTATAAAGAGCAGTGTGATGGATCACCTGTGGCCGTCCTCCTGTCAGGCCTACTTTGGTGATGGGGGGGTGGGGGGGTGGAGGGCCCTGGCTCTTCTGATTGATTGTGAGGCAGATCAATAGAGGCCTTGGTGGAAATAAGTGATCTATCATCCGGAAAGGGATTCTATCTCTCTCCATTCTGTATGTCTGCTCATTAACTACAACAGCAACAAACCTGGGTTCCTCATAGTTCTCCTACATGTTCAATTCACCTGCACTCGTGGAATTCTGGAAACATTCCTTCACTCTTGTAACAACCCTGTATACAACTGAAAGGCCCAAAATAATCGATATATATACAAAAGTGTGTTTGTGTCCGTTTTGTGGTCTGTAGTACCCCAGAGGTCAGTGAGTAGGGACTTGGTGATGAAGCCGTGCTGTGAGGCCCATGTCTGAGGTGCCTGAGGGCCTCCACACTGGGCTGGGGGGACCCACCCTGCCCGGAACCACACGGTTCCACACCATTACAGAGGAATCGGAGCATACTGTAGAAAATAACTCACTTCTTCCTTCCCTGAACACACCTCATCCACTCTGCTCCTAGTCATCATAAACAAACCTTTCATGAAAACACTGGACCCATGAGAAATACCGTTATTGTCTTGGTGACCCTATGGATTGTGTATTAGTGTTGCTCCTTGGCCCAGTGCACAGCTTCCAGTCCATTCCTCAGGTCACTGGCTTAGTGCCCTCAGGTAATATCCTGACCAATTCATGAGTTTAATCATTGAAAAGGCCTCACCTACCAGGCAGTGTGTTGCGTTTTGTTTTTCCATTATTTCAAATCAACCGTCATCAACTGTCGAGAGCCTGTGATCGATTGGGTGGGTCTGTAAGGGATACTTTCTTCTGGTTTTAAGAAATAAGGGGAGAAAATAACAGGTAAATCAATATAGTGATTTCTTAATGAGCGCGTCCTGATTAGTTTGGGTAGTAGGTGAAAATTGTGTTACCCACGGCGGGTGATGGATGTGTGGGTGACCCGCAGGGAGGCACAGAGCGGCAATCATTGATTTGAACATTGTGGCAGTGACGGGTGCTGACGGGCATCACAGGCAGCCGTGGTCAGGGAGAGATGACAGGGCCAGAAAGGAACCTGTTAAATATTAACCCTGTTATCTGTTTCCAGGGGCCTGGCAGCTGGAGAGGACAATGGGCAGAGAGGCTACATTCTGACCTTCGTCATCGCTTACCTCCGGGTGGGTCATTACTCCCCCTGTTCTCCTCTATTCTCCCATACTCTCCCAGTGTCCAGAGACAGCTAGGGGAGGGAGGGGGAGGGGGGCACTGCTAAACAGGGGCAGATGGATGGAGACCTCTGTCAGCTGATAGGGTAGAAGGAACATACACACAAAGGCTGCAGAATGTGACCTCAGAGATATCTGGCCTCTGTTCAGTCAGGGATGTCATGTTGTCATTCAAGGAATCTTGGCATGAGCAATTGACAGTGAAAAGCGCAGATTTTTTTTACGTAAATTGTGAAACACTAGCTATGTTGTGTGCCGCTTTATTTGACATCCAATAATAGTTATTTTATTATAGATTGTCCCCTTCTCAAATCCAAGCCATTTTACATTTGTATTTGTATTTTCTTTTATTAACAGGACTTGGGGATGGATTACTACGTGGTCGCAGAATCATTCGAGACATCGGCACCTTGGGACAGGTAAAGACAAAGTTGGTAACTTGTTTAACCTTTGTGAATGAACGAGTGTCTCTGAACTGGTGTGACAATTCGACATCACTCTTCCCACACAGTCAGTTTGAAGAGCCCCAAAGACAAGTAGCTCAGCCCCCCTCTCCCTCTCTGACATTCACCTTCATGCCTGCCTTCTCCCTCCATTAACTGGCTGTGCGTGGGAGGGAAGACGGCCTCCTCAGCCCCAGCCTGACACTGTGCTGGGGAGCGAGAGGGAAAGAGAGAGAGACACGGCCAGTGTGATGCGTTCATGTGTGTTGCTGGATGTGAGATTTAACATGAATTTCCAACATACAGTGTTGGAAATTCAGTGTAAAAACCTTCCCATTATATAACCACACAGTTCTTCCCACACATGCACAAACATGACTAACTCCCTTGTACCTTAAAGCGAAATCTCAGGAGAGACACACACGGACACAGACACACACACGGACACCAACATACACGTGTGCTCAGCACCCCACTGTGTAGACTGCCTGATGGGGGTTAGCAAGGGATCAGGCGTGCAGGCGAGCATATGTTCAGGGCTCATTACCCCTCTTCCTCTTCCTCCTCCTCCTCCATCTCTCCACACTCGGCTGCACATGCCTGGGAGTGACGGCCATTAGAGGCCAGAGTGAGCCAGTCTCTCCCAGCTACAAATACCTAGCACTGCAGTCTCCATTCTGTCCGTCTCTCTGTCTGTGTACCCCAACTGTTCAGGGCCAGAGGCCTTCACTTCACACAACTCCGACAGCTCAGCTCCACCTGTCATACTGTGTTAAATCATGGGGTTGTGCACCCTATTCCCTATATAGCAATGCACTGTGTAGGGAATAGGGTGCCACTTGGGTCTCAGACAGGGCTTTCATCATGTCCTAACATTCTTCTACTCTTCAGGAGAACATGTTATTGAGTATGTTTCTTTCTCGTGTTGTCTTTCTTCAGGGTATTGGACCTTTGCCGGAATGTCAAAGAGCGTATTAACAGAGAGTGTAAAGAGCGAGGGGTCCAGTTTCAACCCTTGACCTCATGCAGGTACGTTTAGGAAGAGACCTTTCATCTGTCTTGGTTCCGAGCTACAACACACTTGCTGACATTGTGGAGATCATCTTAAAAACGTCTACCTAATCTCTGCATCTCTATGATTCAACTTGTGTACATATTTGACCGTTGTGGTTGATCATATCCTATGATTATACCTTCTAAAACGTGTTCCCTACTATGAGTGGGCCAGTAGTGTATGAGCAGGCAAGAGAGGAGTCCTGTGTGACCTTCCCTGTATGACCTGGCCACACACACAGACCGCCTGCTCCTTGCTCACTGTGGACAGATTAGGGCCCAACCTGATTATGCTTCAGCCATTTATTTCCTGCCTGCAGTCTGTCACAAGATTGATTTGCCCATTTAAACTCTAGAAGCCAGCACACCCTCCGAGCAATAGGCCATGTCAAAGGAACAACAGCTCTTCCCACAACTCCTCAAAAGAGACGGGCTAGAGCAAAACAACACAGTAAAGAGACGCGCTAGAGTTAAACAACACAGTAAAGAGACGGGCTAGAGCAAAACAACACAGTAAAGAGACGGGCTAGAGCAAAACAACACAGTAAAGAGACGGGCTAGAGCTAAACAACACAGTAAAGAGACGGGCTAGAGCTAAACAACACAGTAAAGAGACGGGCTAGAGCAAAACAACACAGTAAAGAGACGGGCTAGAGCTAAACAACACAGTAAAGAGACGGGCTAGAGCTAAGCAACACAGTAAAGAGACGGGCTAGAGCTAAACAACACAGTAAAGAGACGGGCTAGAGCAAAACAACACAGTAAAGAGACGGGCTAGAGCTAAACAACACAGTAAAGAGACGGGCTAGAGCTAAACAACACAGGAAAGAGACGGGCTAGAGCTAAACAACACAGGAAAGAGACGGGCTAGAGCAAAACAACACAGTAAAGAGACGGGCTAGAGCTAAACAACACAGGAAAGAGACGGGTTAGAGCAAAACAACACAGGAAAGAGACGGGCTAAAGCTAAACAACACAGTAAAGAGACGGGCTAGAGCAAAACAACACAGGAAAGAGACGGCTAGAGCTAAACAACACAGTAAAGAGACGGGCTAAAGCTAAACAACACAGTAAAGAGACGGGCTAGAGCTAAACAACACAGTAAAGAGACGGGCTAGAGCTAAACAACACAGTAAAGAGACGGGCTAGAGCTAAACAACACAGTAAAGAGACGGGCTAGAGCTAAACAACACAGTAAAGAGACGGGCTAGAGCAAAACAACACAGTAAAGAGACGGGCTAGAGCTAAACAACACAGGAAAGAGACGGGCTAGAGCTAAACAACACAGGAAAGAGACGGGCTAGAGCTAAACAACACAGGAAAGAGACGGGCTAGAGCTAAACAACACAGGAAAGAGACGGGCTAGAGCAAAACAACACAGTAAAGAGACGGGCTAGAGCTAAAACAACACAGTAAAGAGACGGGCTAGAGCTAAACAACACAGGAAAGAGACAGGGAAAGATACTCTTGTACTGGTGTTTCCTTTCCCTGAAGGACAGAGTTGCATTGATAAGGGTTTAGTTTCATTTTCAATGCAGATATATTTGCCCTGGTTAGAGAGTTATAGTAAATATGCACATGCCTACTAAGATGGTTAATATCCATAAAAAAATGATGATAAGGGACTCAAGCATCATTTTATCATATTAGTAGCCCTGTGCTTCTTAAAAGGAAGCCGATAATGTTTTCAAAATCCCACTGAATTGTATTAATCTTTTGAACTGTGCAAAATGTCAGTCATTATAATAATTTCTTGTTGCGTATTCATGTGAAAGCACAATCCTTTAGCCAGTTATGGACCACCAGTGTTGAAGAATCATGTGTCCTGAACCATTGTAAATGTAGCTCAGATAATCCAATCAAAGTGTGCTGATGGCCATTCAATGTCCTGATAATGGGATGTTATGAAAGGTGACCGATCCAACGCATCTCCTCCGCTTCTCAGAAAACATGAGGAGAATTGGGGTCAGAGGTTCACGAGAAAAGACCAGCCTCTCGGCTCCATCTGTCTGCCCTCTGATTCCAATGAGAAAAAATAGCATGTATTGTTACAAAATGGATTTTGGCTCTTCTAAATGATGCTCTCTTTGGATTCATGTGGAGATAAATTACAGTGGGACAAGTGTGAAAAAAGCGTTCAAAAACAAAATAACATAACCCAGCCTTTATTCTCTGTTGTTGTGAACATGATCATGTTGAAACCCTTTTCTCTTATCTTGCAGAGTGACTCAGACCTATGACGCTGGCGCATGTGTTTACTTCTACTTTGCCTTCAACTACAGAGGACTGGCGGATCCAGTACACACATATGAACAAGTGGAGGTAAATCTATGGCGCACTCCAAATCTGTACTAGTTACCCACTCAGAGACATGCATCATATCTGACCTGAAACTCTACCCCTGTTACCACTCAGGAGGATATATACAACCATAGTTAAGAGTGATGATAGTCATAGTGAAATAATGGGTTAATTGATGCATTGATTGACGTGTGTTGTCTATTGTCTGTTCCTAGCATGCTGCCAGAGAGGAGATCCTAGCCAATGGAGGAAGCCTCTCGCACCACCATGGAGGTATAGTCATGTGAACATCCCTACATCTAGCCGTTTCAGCATGCTTTGGCACCGTTTCTTCATATCAACACCTACAAATTGATAATATTGACCTGGCTCCTCACTTAAAGAGGTGGATGGCAGGGCAGTGGTTTAAAGTCACATTAGGGTAGTCTGACAGGCGCTTTAGGTGTGCTACTCTATGGAAGTAAGCAGGCACAGAGTCTTTTGAAAACCTCTGTTTTGGCTAGGAGGAGATCTTTCATTGCTTCCTTGGCGCGTCCAAACTTTCCCACAGTGCAGACAAATGAGTCTGCCTTGGCTCTTTGTTCATTTCACCACGGGGCAAATGAAACGTGAGCAGGGGAGGGAGGGGAAAAACGACTCTGTGGTGCCCTATCAGGACTAACCGAAATGGCTACCTTACCTTATCTATATTGGCATCCGCCTGGCCGTTTTCATACATCACTTCAGGCTATTCATCATGCCTGTCAAAAACAGCATGCAGTGAATCAGCTGCGATATTAAATCACAATTTCTCCTAAAGGTGGGGAAGGTTAAAAATTAAAAGATTGCTAATACAAGAAGGCAATGGGCCAGGGTAAATGATGCCAGTGTTATCGCCCGGTATTTACTGACCTCCAAACGGTGGGCCAGCCGGCCACCCGGGGCTGAGTAGGGATGTGTGGGGCCGGGGGGAGAGGAGGGGATATTGATGCAGCTTCTCGGTGCGAGGCCCACTCTGTAATTGTGATTAATAACAGCTGGGTCTGCTATCTGAGCGCGGACAGGCCGGTTTGTCTGCCCACAATCACTGCGTGACAAATGGAGCTAGTTTCACTGGGTTTTGTGTATCAAAGAAAACAGATGTAGTCTGGGAAGGCGAGGTGGGAGGCCACCGCAGGAAATATACATTTTTCTAACCTGTGTTTACACCAGGTCAGGCTGCACAGGGTGTGTGTGTGTGGAGTGGCTGTGGGTGAGTGGTGTGTGTGGAACTCCCAATCCCCAGTTCTCCACTACCCATCCCTGCAGCTCAATACACTCTGCTACAACACTCAACTACATTTTTACACAAATATATGTGGACTGGATATGACTGGTCGGTTTTAGTACATTTTAGAAGTAATCACATATCATCCATTCATTACAAGATGTTGTAATGTTTTGTTGTTCTAGCCCCGATGTTTAGCACTAGGTGGTCACTGTTGCATCAGAGTAGAATGTAAAAGGAAATGTAATGTTTTAGCAGGAGCAGAGCTGTTGAACACCAGTCAGGTTGAGAGTCAGAAACAGCACACAGCCCTGGTCCTTCAGACACTCACTCCACTGGACTTGGGTCTGTTCATATCAGAGACACATAGGGCCACTACACTACCCTCTCTTTCATGTCCTGGTCCCCATTTGTCAAAACAGGCCAGTACACAGAGAGATGGAGCGCTAGAGAGAGAGCGCGCTAGAGAGAGAGAGCACTAGAGAGATGGAGCGCTAGAGAGAGAGAGCGCTAGAGAGAGAGAGAGCACTAGAGAGATGGAGCGCTAGAGAGAGAGAGTGCTAGAGAGAGAGAGTGCTAGAGAGAGATGGAGCGCTAGAGAGAGAGAGCGCTAGAGAGAGAGAGCGCTAGAGAGAGAGAGCGCTAGAGAGAGAGAGCGCTAGAGAGAGAGAGCGCTAGAGAGAGAGAGCGCTAGAGAGAGATGGAGCGCTGAGAGAGATGGAGCGCTAGAGAGAGATGGAGGCTTAGAGAGAGAGAGAGTGCTAGAGAGAGAGGAGCGCTAGAGAGAGAGAGCGCGAGAGAGAGAGAGCGCTAGAGAGAGAGAGCGCTAGAGAGATGAGCGCTAGAGAGAGAGAGCGCTAGAGGAGAGAGAGCGCTAGAGAGAGAGAGGCTAGAGAGAAGAGCGCTAGAGAGTAGGAGCGCTAGAGAGAGAGAGCGCTAGAGAGAGGCAGAGAGCTGGGCTAGAGAGAGAGAGCGCTAGAGAGAGAGAGCGCTAGAGAGAGAGAGCGCTAGAGAGATGGAGCGCTAGAGAGAGAGAGGTAGAGAGAGCTAGGAGAGATGAGGAGAGCGCTAGAGAGAGAGAGCGCTAGAGAGAGAGCGCTAGAGAGAGAGAGAGCGCTAGAGAGAGAGAGAGCGCTATAGAGATGGAGCGCTATAGAGATGGAGCGCTATAGAGATGGAGCGCTAGAGAGAGAGAGCGCTAGAGAGAGAGAGCGCTAGAGAGAGAGAGAGCGCTAGAGAGAGAGAGCGCTAGAGAGAGGAGAGAGCGCTAGAGAGAGAGAGCGCTAGAGAGAGAGAGCGCTAGAGAGAGAGAGAGCGCTAGAGAGAGAGAGCGCTAGAGAGAGAGAGCGCTAGAGAGAGAGAGCTAGAGAGAGAAGCGCTATAGAGAGAGGAGCGCTAGAGAGAGAGAGAGCGCTAGAGAGAGAGAGCTAGAGAGAGAGAGAGCTAGAGAGAGAGAGAGCGCTAGAGAGAGAGAGAGCGCTAGAGAGATGGAGCGCTAGAAAGAGAGAGAGCGCTAGAGAGATGGAGCGCTAGAGAGAGAGAGAGCGCTATAGAGATGGAGCGCTAAGAAGAGAGAGACGAGAGGAGAGCGCTATAGAGATGGAGCGCTAGAGAGAGGAGCGCTAGAGAGAGAGAGAGCGCTATAGAGATGGAGCGCTAGAGAGAGAGAGAGCGCTAGAGAGAGAGAGCGCTATAGAGATGGAGCGCTAGAGAGAGAGAGTTGCAAGGCTCTCAGCTCAGTCTATAGCAGGCAGGCAGCTTCTCCTGACCATGTGACTCTATAGAATGCCGGCCTAATGCCGCCAGTCAACTGCACTACTACATAGGTCACCGAGTAGCGCAGTTGGAAACCAAGAAAAATGAGTTTAATTAGCTTATTTTCCGTTCATTAGCCATAGCTCTCGTTGGTGTGCCGTCTCCCAGTGGTACACAGAAATATCCGCTGTTTCTAGGCCTCAGTGTTTCTCTTTCTCATTCATTTCCAAAGTAAGTGCCTGCCTGACTGCTGTATGGCTAAACCCAGGGTAGATTGATTGCAATAGCAGGCGAAAAGGAGGGAAAATGACAAGATAGATGTGTAAATTATCACTGTGATGGAGGCAATGATGCAGTCCCAGCACCTTCTGTTTTCTCTCCTTCCTGAGTGGAGGGAGGGATGGAGGTGGGATGAGGGAGGGGAGGAGGAGGGAGGAGGAGGAGAGAAGCCCACTTTGTTAGTTATTGGGTAGCAGCGGATTGGGTGACTGACTGGTCCCACTGTCACCATCTGGGGGTGTGTGGTGTGTCCCCCCCTGTCTGTCCTGTCTTGTCAGGAGACGACCCTCTGTGGCCCCATGGCTGATTTCCATCTGTATACCCTGGCTGCTCCGCCTCGGCGTCACTGATAACATGGCGCCCGCCCATCTCCCCAAGCCTCCCCATGCTCCAGGTCTCAGTCGGCCCCCTTTCCTCATCTCCCCCCGTTAACATGGGAGGCTGGACTGGCTCTCCTCAATGCCAGTGACGTAGAGACAGGGTGGGGCGTTTTTATTTTGCTCTGTTAAATTTGTCAGCGTACTCTTATCTAATCTCCGATGGTTATATCTGTGCACTACCTGCAGTAGCTTGAGCTCCCAAAGTATGTACTCACTCTGTTTCAGTGGCACCTGTTGAAGATCATTCCATTATCAGGGCCATTTTTAGACTAGTGGAAAAAGATAGATGTGTGTACTTTTCCAAGAAAGTACGACCTTACGCTTGATGTTTACCCAGAGCAAACAGACTGCTGGGTTCCCCCTCTTCAAAGGCACAATCTCGCTTTCAGATTGACTGGTTTCCTCAACTTCTTTTTTGTTCGTTATTTACTTACTAAATGAATTGTGTGTTATCAGACAAAAGGAGTGAGGTTTCTGTGACCTGTTGTCATGATTGAGAACATTGTCATTATAAATCTGATAGTGGATCGAATGCTACTGTAGCATTTTCAATGTGGAGCAGCATTTTTGTAAGTCCCATGAATGCTCCTTGTTTCCAGCCATGCTCTGGTCAGTGTTAGGGCCTTGGTGTTGACTGTGTGCCAGGGACCAGTGAGAACCTGTCCATCTCCCAGAGGCTCCAGACTCACTACTGTGGGCCTGGCAGGACTGGGGGGCTCTGAAGTGTGTCTGTCTGTCTGGACAGCTGGCAGAGCACTGGTCTGGGCACCCTGGCCAGGCCCGGCCCATACTGTGCCAGCTCCTCAGCAGGAGCCTCCTCATAGTGGCCTGCAGCCAGCACCATGACAGAGGACCATTGTGTCCCCACGCCACCAGCACAGTCAGTGGCCAGGGTCAGAAGGAAGGCGGTGTGTGTGGAGCAGGCGAGCGTGGCACACTTGGCCTTTAGGGCTGTGCTGGTCAGCCTGAGGAGAACACCCACCCCACACACCGTGGGGGGGAGGAGAATGATAAGGTAGTGGAAGCCTGCTCGGGGAACGAGTGAGTGAGGGAGGGAGAGCGAGGCAGAGCGGGGCGTGCATGCGGCGGCCAGCCGGCACCTCCTCTCCTCAGGGAACACACAGGGCCTAATGAGTTTGATAGTCTGCTGGGCTCCATAAATCATGCCATGCAAAACATTTCTCCTCTCTGAATAAAAGCATTTATCACCCTCTGTTTATTCACTCACTCTCACAAGATTGATTGGTTCCCAGCAGCCTGCTGAGCAATCAGGCATGCTGATTTCTCCTTTCTCCTTTCTTTGTGTTTATTTTTGTCTTCTCTCTCTCTCTCCAGTTGGGAAACTTCGGAAGGAGTGGATGAAGGAGAGCATCTCCAACGTGGGTGTCGGGATGCTCAAGTCCGTCAAGGATTATGTGGACCCAGATAACATTTTCGGCAACCGAAACCTCCTCTAATTTACTTCATGCTTTGTTTTCCACCTTTATCTTCACACCTTTTCTAACAGCCTCTCGTGCAATTGGATTAATGGTTACTAAAATTAGAAATGTAATGAAAAGAAATATAAATGTTTTTCTCCTTCTGTATGACTTGAAGAGTTGAGCTGTCATTATCAGATGTGGTTCCATTCCTAGCCTGTATGTCTGGTTATTGAGGAAAGCATAAGCTTATCACCTTTCACTTTCCTTGCATTACATTATATTGCACGTTGTAACAATAATCATTAATTATTCATTTTGAAGATCATTGCATCAAGGCCTCAGTCCTACTAACTATAGTACTGTAAATGTGTACTGTTGATCGTTTCAGTCACATGTACAACACGCCATAGGAATGGCCTTTCATGATGCAGGCTAACTTTTGTGATCCCGTGTTCGCCATTTATTCATTAATTAATTGTTTCCTAGTATTTTTGCCAACTTCATTAACTACATTTTTATTTGTACACATTGTTTATTCACCTGTGTTTGGCACTACTTTAGCAGTAAGTTTGAGATGAATACGCTCTCTATATCCCTGTGCCTTTCTGAAGATGTCTGCCTTCTCCCTTTCCTCCACACATACTCCACGTGCAATGTTACCAACTGTGGAAGCTTGACTGCTTTGTCTTTTTATGGCATCCTGTTTCTTCCCTAATAATGTCCATGCCTTCATTAGAGATTTCTCTTTTTCCAGTTGGTCTTTGTTTCTCAACTCAAGCCCTCATGCCTTTTTGTTATTACTTAGAATTATTCATTATTGCCGCAGGATATGTGTATTTTGTTTGGATCTAAACGTGTACCTACCAAGGAGGATTTACATTATGCTTGAATGGTGCCTCTACTGAAAATGGACCTCAAGGTTCAAATGTCCCTACCCTAAAACCTTAACCATTACGTTTAAAAAACGGTCATTGAAGAAACTAGGACAAGGTTAGATGATGCACCTATCAACTCATATTTTTTGTTTTTTAATAGATTTTTCTGTTTTAGATTTTAACCTAGTATGTTCTTTGCCTGTCATCTAGAGAGTTCAGTTTGTGGACAAAGCCAATGTACTTGGATCATACATGCTTTAGTGTTAACAGGTTACAGACGACTGAATCCCAATGCCCATGTTTGTACCAAAGACTTTTCACAACCCTTTCACCATACAGACCATGCAAACATACTGAATGTATATGTTTGTACATGCTGTATATTTAAATATATGGGACATGAATACATTTAGTATTACATTAACACTTACAGTACCATTCAAAAGTTTGGACACACCTACTCATTCCAGGGTTTTTCTTTATTTTTACTATTTTCTACATTGTAGAATAATTTGGGAAGATATCTATGAAATAACACATGGAATCATGTAGTAACCAAAAAAGTGTTAAACAAATCAAAATATATTTTAGATTTGAGATTCTTCAAAGTAGCCACCCTTTACCTTGATGTCAGCTTTGCACACTTGGCATTCTCTCAACCAGCTTCATGAGGTAGTCACCTGGGGGGGGGGGTAGGTATACAGAAGATAGCCCTATTTGGTAAAAGACCAAGTCCATATTATGGAAAGAACAGCTCAAATAAGCAAAGCGAAATGACAGTCCATCATTACTTTAAGACATGAAGGTCAGTAAATCTGGAAAATTTCAAGAACTTTGAAAGTTTCTTCAAGTGCAGTCGCAAAAACCATCAAGCGATATGATGAGACTGGCTCTCATGAGGACCGCCACAGGAAAGGAAGACCCAGAGTTACCTCTGCTGCAGAGGATAAGTTCATTAGAATTAACTGCACCTCAAATAAATGCTTCACAGAGTTCAAGTAACAGACACATCTCAACATCAACTGTTCAGAGGAGACTGCGTGAATCAGGCCTTCATGGTCGAATTGCTGCAAAGAAACACTACTAAAGGACACCAATAAGAAGAAGAGACTTGCTTGGGCCAAGAAACATGAGCAATGGACATTAGACCGGTGGAAATCTGTCCTTTGGTCTGATGAGTCCAAATGTGCGATTTTTGGTTTCATCTGCCGTATCTTTATGAGACGCAGAGTAGGTGAATTGATGATCTCCGCATGTGTGGTTCCCACCGTGAAGCATGGAGGAGGTGTGATGGTGTGGGGGTGCTTTGCTGGTGACACTGTCTGTGATTTATTTAGAATTCAAGGCACACTTAACCAGCATGGCTACCACAGCATTCTGCAGCGATACGCCATCCCATCTGGTTTGCGCTTAGTGGGACTATCATTTGTTTTTCAATAGGACAATGACTCAAAACACACCTCCAGGCTGTGTAAGGGCTATTTTACCAAGAAGGAGAGTGATGGAGTGCTGTATCAGATGACCTGGCCTCCACAATCACCCAACCTCAACCCAATTGAGATGGTTTGGGATGAGTTGGACCGCAGAGTGAAGGAAAAGCAGCCAACAAGTGCTCAGCATATGTGGGAACTCCTTCAAGACTGTTGGAAAAGCATTCTTCATTAAGCTGGTTGAGAGAATGCCAAGAGTGTGCAAAGCTGTCATCAAGGCAAAGGGTGGCTACTTTGAATAATATAAAATATATTTTGATTTGTTTGACTGGTACTGTATATATCCTGATGATACTTGTTTTATTATTTATATATGCAAATATCCAGACACCATCTCTAGAAATATCTAAACATGTATAAAAACTGTTGCTGTAAGTATTACATGTACAGTACTTATTCCTGTTCATATCAGACAAAACTTCATTAAAATAAAATTACAATTGTCACTACTTCAAAATAAGTTGCTTGTAGTTAGGAGTTGTATTTACACAAAAATAAATCAGAATTAATTGCTAGTCTGGTGAGTGTCCTAGTATTGTGGTTTTGTTGGAAAGGATACATTTGAGGCAAAATTGTACCTTTGTCACCTTTTACCAGTGATTGTGCAGCTAAATTTGGCCTCTCTTTGGGAGGCATGTGTTGATGTTGTGGCCAATCCGGAATTCGCAGATATGGATTCTACTGTACGGTGCTAGAGAAAGATACAACATGCAATGTTGTGCTACCATTTTTCTGTCACTGCTACTGTATGACTTCGCTCCTCCTGTTCCCAACCTAGCCTCACAGCTTTCCCACAGTGCATTGTGTGTCACCCCATGTCACCTTCCTGCCCAAGTCTCTCATCTCCAGCTCCAATGAAATGATGGGGCCCGAGCCAGCATTTTCTGATCAGTTTCATGCTTTTACTTCTTGTGATCATATCGAAAGAGAACTTAACGAGAGCTTGAAATGTGAATGTTTGTTATTTTCCAATTCTTGATAATATATTAACATTCAAGTACATTTTGTTAATGCTGTTTGTGCAATAAATTGAAATAAAACCAGCAGTTGTCTTGTAGAATGACATCAGTTTCCGTTCAGTTTAATGGAAATACTGTAGCCAATTGACAGGAAATGTCACCGCTTGTCCCTCACACAGGTGATGTCAGAACACATATTCTCCTCTCAGCTTCCTAGTGCTCACACACACAAACACACACAGAGGGCTTGACGGTCAGCAGAGCAAAGGGCCCGGTCCTCATAAACATCCAGGCATTGTTCGGCCGCCCACTCGTCCTCTAAGACACGCATTTGACTCAACCTTCAAGCTCAAGGTAATCCAGCACGGAGGAGTTGCTGTAGCACACATCCTTTCTGTGCTTCCTGTCAAAGGTATCTCCAGCAGCTCCCCTGAGATTCATCCTCCCACTCACCCACCCACACACTGCTGCTGCTACTGTTGCTGACGTCAACATGAGGAACACAGCACTGAGCTGGGGAACAGCTACGTTCAGATATGTAGCAATCACATCATCTTTCAGAGATATATTGTAATTACAAATGATCATCCATGTTGATTTATATACCACCACCACCACCCTGAATTTACAATGAGTGTACAAAACATTAGGAACATCTTTCCATGAGACTGACCAGGTGAATCCAGGTCAAAGCTATGATCCCTTATCGATGTCACTTATTAAATCCACTTCAATCATTGTACTTGCCCATCATCAAGGGGAGGAGACAGGTTAAAGAAGGATTTTTAAGCCTTGACATGGATTGTGTATGTGTGCCATTGAGGGTGAATGGGCAAGACAAAATATTGAAGTGCCTTTGAACAGGGTATGGTAGGTGCCAGGTGCACCAGTTTGAGTGTGTCAAAAACTGCAATGCTGCTGGGTTATTCACGCTCAACAGTTTCCCGTGTGTATCAAGAACGGTCCAACACCCAAAGGACGTCCAGTCAACTTGACCAACTGAGGGAAGCATTGGAGTCAACATGGGCCAACATCCCTGTGGAATGCTTTCGACACCTTGTAGAGTCCATGCCCAGACGAATTGAGGCTGTTGAGGTCAAACAGGGGTGCAACTCAATATTAGGAAGGTGTTCCTAATACACTGTTCTTTTGGAATGTATGCCACCAGGTATGAATATTTCTGAGTTATTTCTACAGTAGGTCTTGTGCGGACACATTTCCAACCTTGTCCTGATTTTAATAACTGCTCAGCAGGTAATCAGACACTCGATAAGGAGATAGTGCTGTAACGCTCCAATGCAACTGTTCAGATTGCTTCCATCCTATTTATTCCTATGTACCCATTTGTCCACATGGGGTCAGTACCGTAACAGGAAAATATTGTGCATGTGTACTCTTCATTAGAGAATGGAATCCCTTACACATCCTTACAAAATAATGAAGGAACAGACAACTAGCAGCACATTTTTATTTCAACTTAACAAAAACATTGCACTTTTTCCAGTAACATGCCTGTATAGATCCGTCAAGTTCACCTCGCTTAATGAGAAAAGAGTAGTAATCAATGATGTATATAAACCCTGGATTGCCGATACTATGTATTGGCCAATGAGAGGCTTGACGCCGCTGGTCGGCCATATTGGCACTCCCCAGAAGAAGCAGTCCTCCATAGGAATGAATGGAATTCTACAGTATTTCAATTAAATGTTTCAAGGACAGTATTTCAATTAAATGTTTCAAGGACAGTATTTCAATTAAATGTTTCCAGGACAAAATTACATCTATTTAAAGATTTTTTTGTACTTAAAAATGATACTTCAAGGAAAATGTTTTAAATGTGTATGTTTTCTGACATAATATAATTTAAAAGTATGCATTAAGGTGTCTGTAATAGAATAAAACGTGGCTAAAACAAATGTAAACATTAATAAATGCATTTCTATATAATACAAAATATTTTTTACACCGTGGGGGAGTGCCAAGATGGAGGCGAGGTGGCTTCAAAACAGCGCCCCCTGTCAGTCTTCTAGTGTATATATAAATCATTGGTAGTAACAGAGGGAAAATATGAAGAAATACAATAAGCTGTTTCTAAATGCTAAAGAAGACAGTACCAAGTAAAAATTGGCCACATTTGAAACCAAATGTAATAAAAATATTACAGCAATGTTAATACTTCACCAAACATGATGCAATTGTATAATCCATGCAATTAAATTAAATAGTCATATGCATATTAATATTAAAGTTCAAAATACGAGGTATTTGTTGGCTCATGTTTTTGTTTGCTACATCCATAGCAGTTGTTTGATTTCAATACTGTAGTCACACCTCATGCAATTCAATTTCCCATTGTCAATTTGTTTCAACCCAAATACAGTAGCACAAAGATCCATGCCACACAATGCGCACAGCTACATTTTAAAACTCCAATTAACAAAGCTACAACACAATTCATACCCCAAATAAAACTTCCAAATGGAACCTAATGCAGCTACAGCATGGACACGTTCTGTTCTAAAGGGATCCAAATGTGTTCATAGTTTAGGACAATTGTAAGTTTTGATTTTTGTGTGAATAGTTAGCTCTGTTATGTACTGACATGGTATTCTGAGGTACACTAGTAAGGAATGAGCTGCCATTACACTATTTGTGTGACATTCCCCTGATGCACCTTTTCCTCAGCTGAAATAGCTTCAGCAGAATCTATAGCCATTCTCTGTTGAATCAACCTGCACAATAGTATAACGTCTGCATTGCAGTGGTCATCTAAAGGCCATCGACTAAAAACAATCACATAATTGAAATTAGTAAACCAATGGGATGGGAGCCTAATTGTAAATTGGTAAATTATTCATAAAATGTGAAATGATCAGAACAATTTTGTAAAGGCACATTTTTCTATGTGTGTGATTGATCCCTTTTCAATCATGTGGAGTATAAAACAAGTATTCTGGGTCAGTAATACTTCTAATGTAACATTACATATATTAAATACTCTCCAACTGAAACAGGGGATCAAGACCAAACTCAGAATGGTCAAATATAATCTCTCAAACTATAGAAGAATCTCAGTGTGTGAAGACGCCATGCATTTTTCATAAGGAGTTTTAAACAAGGCACAAGGAGCGGAGTGGAGCGAAGGATTTGCATTGCAAGCTTTGCCACAGGCCCTGCTGGTTCCCAACCCCTTGACCCTCAACACTAGCTAACTCCAGGACTCCAAAACAGCAACTGCATTTGCATGTACCATCTGTACAAAATAAAAAAGAGTAACCACAATCCCCAAGAACAATATTCTAGCAACAGATATCGAAAGCAACGCAAGGGATGACATAATGACAGTACAGAAAAACAACAGTTAGGTCCTCTCTACATACTCTCCATGCACCTTGTAGTGAGGTTGCAGCTTTCTCCTAAACCTGCCTTATTACTGGTTGCCATTTTGACACAGAGGTCTGAAGTTTCCTCACACTTGTAATGGTCAGAGGAATAACTAGCTGTGCTGCTCTGACTAACATGTCAGACACAGCTCTCTCGGTTTCCCACACAGGAAGTAGCTGTGGAAGGAGCAGGAAACACCTTGACCGTGGTGACAGTCTAAAGCCCATCTCTAGTGGCAAAAGCAAGCAGAGCCCAATAATCTCTGCATGCACTGCACTGCACTGCCTATTCTGCAGGCTGCGTTGAAGAGTAAAGAAGCTAAGAGGCAGAGGAAATATTGCCTGGAGAGGTTAGCAGGAGCTAGCTTGCAGGTTTGGGAGGGTCACCTGCACAGCAAGGTGTGTTGCAAGGTGTGTCGCCCAAAGAACAAGTTCTTGTTTCTGTGGTGTCACTGCTGCAATGGCTTGTGGGATTGGACTCACTCTGGCTGCGTTGTCTCTCTTTGTTCAGCTCCTCCCACTTGGCCCTGTTAGCCTGGATCAAGTCAACCATTGGCTGGAGCTTGGGGTTTATTTTCACCAAGGTCTGGAGAGAGGCAGAGGAGAGAGAGAGAGGGGGAAGGAGAAGAGAAAGGGAGAAGGAAAAAAGAGAGAGAGGGTGTTATGAAGTGAGATAAATGAAGACCATCTTGCACTTCGTACATTCTTCATCATACAAAAAATATGCATCTCACAACAACAAAAAAACAACATTACAATGCCGTAGAGCACAGTGCCATACAGTACAGTTTAGTTCAGTAGACTAAAATACAGTAGGTTACAGTACAATACAAAACATTATACTGTACTCTACTGTACTGAACTCTACTGTACTGAACTCTACTGTACTTTTTATTAAATGTAACTGTACTCTACTGTGTACTCTGCTGTACTGTACTGTCCTGTACTGTACTGTCCAAACTTTGCCATATCTGAACCAATCATAGACGTCTTTTTTTGGGCCAAATCAAGGACGGTCCGGAACAAGTCTGAACCACTCATAGACGTCTATGTTTGGGCTGAATAAAGTCCGGTCTAGACCGGACATATGTGGATGTTGAACTCAAGGCCAGGGTGGACGGACCAAATGTCAACGTCTTTTCAACGTCCATGGATGTCAGCGTTGGACAGTGCTCACTGGGTTAATATAAACAAAAAAATGACTTACTGGACTGTAATTAGTTACTAGTGTCATTTTTTTCTGTGGAATTGTAAACCACAATTCAGTCACTGTGACACATTGCCTTTCATCCAGCCTTTAATGAATTACCTCAGAGACGTGGGGGGTTCTCTTTACACTGCATTTAGCTCCTTTAAATGTTATCTAAATCACTTGGCTTTCCATTGTACAATAATTAACCCACGTTTCATATGAAAACACAAACACTTTCCACAACAGACACAAAACACAAAGCCACCATTTAGGAAGAGATACTGTACACATTGCCACGACAACAGGGGATACTTTAATTTATGCTATCAATTCAATTCACATAACTTTTATATCCGGATAGGGAACTTTATATCTGGTGATGGATTGGGACATGTAAGACACATAACAACATAGAACACAATATACAGTATTAATATATATGAGTGGAATAACTCACAATGTTATAAAACGCTACAAGAATTGTCTATGAGAATCTGTTCAGTATCTCATCATCCTCGCCAGTGTGTGTTATGGCTGGCACATGGAACGTCTCCATACATGTTTTATGAGTCAAATCAGTACAATCTTCATGCCAGAAAATGATCTTCGGAACTGCCTGTTGCCTGAAACTGTCAAACCTGAAACTGTCAAACCTGTTACAACAGCTAGGGGGATTTGAAAAGCATTTGTATTCAGAGGGTGCACTCACTAACTCACACAACAATTGAGGAGGTACACTGAAGTTCTGTTTTCTAATTCGGTGCAGTTCAGAAGTCAAGCCTACATTTACATGATCAAAAGATTCCACATGGCCTCTCATTCATATGCTATGCATAATAATTTCCAGAGGGCTTTTAGTTTGCACTTCTAACTAGAACCTAGTGACCGTATGTTCAAAACATTCCATAGTGAATATTAAATAGTCCAAATGGTTTGTTTCCACTGTGAATTTGGGAGAGCTCCAAGCACATTGATTCATACAGTTCTACGATTACTAGACCACTAGGGTGCGTCCCAAATGGTACCCTATTCCCTATGTAGTGCACTACTTTTGACCAGAGCCCTATGGAATAGGGTGCAATTTGGAACCCGGCCCTACACTACATAGGCCCATCTCCCCCTCTAGTCACCATGGCAGGTTGTTGTTAGAGCACTCAGTCTCTACATGTACAGATGGTGAGGCTTCTGTAAAGACTTCGAGACTTTGATTCCTGTTAGGGAGTTGCCATTACACCCCGTGTGTGCTGCTGTAATAGCTCCAAGTTCCTCGGATGGACATACCCACTCTGTGATCAACTTAATCTCTCTGAGTTTGACTAGTATGGCTGGATAATAGAGGAGGATTTTCAACTAGGATCCTGCCAATGTCTCCCTCTTCCTTTCTCCTTCCTTCTAAAAACCCATTTTTCTTGTTCCAGCATCAGTATTCTAGTGCAGTAGACAGAAAGAGTGGGGATATAGATGGAGAGCCATGGTTATCTGGTGGGCTTTGAAGATGGGAGGTTATATAACGCAGGATTAATATTCCACACAGCAGCACGAGGAGAGGGAGATCAGTGAGATTCTCTTCCTCCCACAGACACAAAACCCTGGCGCCTCTGAACTTCCTCCTGCTCCCCTCTCTCTCTCCTCTAATTGGTGGCGGTATGGTTGTGAGCTGGATATCTGCATTCTCTAAACATTAGCATTTGCAGGCCATTGTGTGAGTCTGCATCTAAAGACAGACAGACATCGCCACACAGAAAGCAAATCCCTTTGTTCTAATAATGTAGAGTTTTCAAAGCTATAGGGAAAACATGGCAGTCTACCATCGCTTTTAACACAAGTTGTTCCTGAATTAATCTAACGTTTGAAAGTATATTTGCCATAATATTACAATATAGTAGCCCTACGTTTGTCAATCAAAATATATTCGGTATGTGAAAACATATTTACCGTTTTTTAATCTGGCAGTGTTTATCTGGCAAAAATCATGTCTACCAACTGTTTATACTGTATGGCATTCCCTGTTTGCTCTGTGCTCTTGGCCTCTAACTCTCCTTATCTTTATCAGTGGCCTTGATCTTCCCTGGAAGTCAGTCAGTCAGTCAGTCAGTCTTCCTCTGTCTCCCACACACACACTCACTGACGCAGACGTCATGACCTGGCTCATTCGCACACACCCACGTACGCACGCATACATGCACACAATGAGAGCACAGAGCTGACTCTCCCTATTAATTCCCTCTCTCCCCTTTCAGTGCTGTGCAGTGAGGCACACTGTACCTGCATGAAAGGGAGTTAAGCATGTAATATACTGTATCATCATCATCACTAACGTCAATGCTTCCCTCATTCAATGCATTTGTTTGCTTGGCATTCTCAATATCTGGAAATGAGGCCTCATTCTAGTACAGTATTCGCAAATAGAACATGTCCTTGGAGTTATTTCAGAGATAAAAAAAAATAAAAAATCGTATTTTTCTAAGAGATGTCTCTAAAAGGAAAGAATGTTCACTGCAGTGACATTTCCCCTGCTGGCGTCATTAGGGACAATGGCAGGCCTCCTCTGATGTTTATAGAGAGGGCTATGTAGCTAGTAGTACTTGGTGGTAGTACCAGCAACAGATTGAGTCCCCTAGGGTTTGGGGAGGTTGAGGAGGCATTGCGGAGGATTACCTCATAAAGCGGAGCACAGATCCCATCGATCCACTCCAGCTGCAGGCCCGGCAACTCGTCCTTCCGGTTTCGATCAAAAATGGCCTGGAAAACAAACACACGCTTAAGCCTCATGATTCCTTCACCGTCTGTTCCACTTCCTTCCTACACACAGACTAGCCCTTGATCATGACTCTCAGTTCCATTACATTACACATAAGAGTAATTGGACGAAGGCGTCTTTTGTAGGGTGGAGTTTTGTTAAGAGCCCCGACGCTCGGTCTGAACATTAACACGCATCGCTTGCGGTACGGTTTTGGAAGCATACGGACCTTATCTTTCAAATCAGTGAGAAATAATTTCCAAAAAACAAAAGGTTAAATTGATACACAACTTTGTGGGGTTAGTGTTCCCAAACGGCCATATCTCCATGTTACAGCGCGTGTTTACGGAAGAGAGACAGAAAACAGAGGGACCACCTGTGCTAATTCGCTATTTAGTATGCTCCGAACACCTGTGTGCACCAATTTGTAAATCGCTCTGGATAAGAGCGTCTGCTAAATGACTTAAATGTAAATGTGTGTAACGGAAGAAGGCTGCCAGAAACGTGTTGTCACTGAAAAATACTGTCAGCTGCAACTGTGATAAAGCCGGTTAAAACAGTGTAGAGTAAGTGTATATTTTGCATTTGTGAAATTATTTTGATGTGATATGAAAGTAAAGGCTTTTATGTTTCTAGAACCGTATCGCAGTTGAGAATCGATTCACGTTTAGATAGGGTATTTGGCTGTTTTGGCTGCCAGAGCCAGTCTACCTCTGAAAATAACATATATGGCTCTATTTCTGGCGCTAGTGTCAAACGCACATTAGTTTGCAATTTCATCATGTAAAAACTGGCGAACTGGCATTTTCCAGCCCTAACGCCAGGTTCGGTAATTTACCTGTCTAACATCAGCATGCTTGCACTCAGATGGGAGGGGTGGATATATTTGAGGTGTGTCCTTAAAAACATGATCCAAAGTGCTAATTTCAGGCAGCGCTGGTAGTGATATTTAAGACCAACCAAAAGCTGGTTTTAGCGGTAACGCAGTTGGTTATGGCATGAATTTTGACAGCGGAAACGCAGCCTATCCAGCCGTGACACACAATGCCCATATGCGCATCGGACAAGATATGCTTTTGGTGCCTGTATACTTCGTATTAAGAAACATAAAACACTCACGTTTTATTTTATTAAAAACGATGCATAGCCTCCCCTCTCAATGAAGGCTGTTTTCTTTTTGTCCTGCCCAATTTAATCAATTAGGCTAGTCAAGACCGTCGATAAAGTGTTTGGCTTGTGAGACCGCTTGAAAATAAATCTTAATCACCAAAGCTTTATTAAAATATAATGTTTGAGAGGAGCAACACAGTGAGCTGACATTCCCTTTTTATCTATGTGTTATAGTCAGGCCTACATTATTTTAGCCATGATTTGAACGTGTGTAAAAACCCCTCCATGATGTAGGCTACATGTGTCCATGCCCATCGTGAAACGAGAGATGAGAACATCGGTGAATACCGGTGAACCTCGTATTTAGAAGTTATTTTCCTGTATCAATTGTTTGTGTTCTGTTTTTTTTTGTGATTTTTAAAAAACAAGCCCTCGGTAGGCTACCGTTACCCTAGGCCTACTACACTGCTCAAAAAAATAAAGGGAACACTAAAATAACACATCCTAGATCTGAATGAATGAAATAATCTTATTAAATACTTTTCTTTACATAGTTGAATGTGCTGACAACAAAATCACACAAAAATTATCAATGGAAATCAAATTTATCAACCCATGGAGGTCTGGATTTGGAGTCACCCTCAAAATTTAAGTGGAAAACCACACTACAGGCTGATCCAACTTTGATGTAATGTCCTTAAAACAAGTCAAAATTAGGCTCAGTAGTGTGTGTGGCCTCCACGTGCCTGTATGACCTCCCTACAACGCCTGGGCATGCTCCTGATGAGGTGGCGGATGGTCTCCTGAGGGATCTCCTCCCAGACCTGGACTAAAGCATCCGCCAACTCCTGGACAGTCTGTGGTGCAACGTGGCGTTGGTGGATGGAGCGAGACATGATGTCCCAGATGTGCTCAATTGGATTCAGGTCTGGGGAACGGGCGGGCCGGTACCTAATGGCAGTCAGGCTACCGCTGGCGAGCACATGGAGGGCTGTGCGGCCCCCCAAAGAAATGCCACCCCACACCATGACTGACCCACCGCCAAACCAGTCATGCTGGAGGATGTTGTAGGCAGCAGAACGTTCTCCACGGCGTCTCCAGACTCTGTCACGTCTGTCACATGTGCTCAGTGTGAACCTGCTTTCATCTGTGAAGAGCACAGGGCGCCAGTGGCGAATTTGCCAATCTTGGTGTTCTCTGGCAAATGCCAAACGTCCTGCACGGTGTTGGGCTGTAAGCACAACCCCCACCTGTGGACGTCGGGCCCTCATACCACCCTCATGGAGTCTGTTTCTGACCGTTTGAGCAGACACATGCACATTTGTGGCCTGCTGGAGGTCATTTTGCAGGGCTCTGGCAGTGCTCCTCCTGCTCCTCCTTGCACAAAGGCGGAGGTAGCAGTCCTGCTGCTGGGTTGTTGCCCTCCTACGGCCTCCTCCACGTCTCCTGATGTACTGGCCTGTCTCCTGGTAGCGCCTCCATGCTCTGGACACTACGCTGACAGACACAGCAAACCTTCTTGCCACAGCTCGCATTGATGTGCCATCCTGGATGAGCTGCACTACCTGAGCCACTTGTGTGGGTTGTAGACTCCGTCTCATGCTACCACTAGAGTGAAAGCACCGCCAGCATTCAAAAGTGACCAAAACATCAGCCAGGAAGCATAGGAACTGAGAAGTGGTCTGTGGTCACCACCTGCAAAACCAGTCCTTTATTGGGGGTGTCTTGCCAATTGCCTATAATTTCCACCTGTTGTCTATTCCATTTGCACAACAGCATGTGAAATTTAATGTCAATCAGTGTTGCTTCCTAAGTGGACAGTTTGATTTCACAGAAGTGTGATTGACTTGGAGTTACATTGTGTTGTTTAAGTGTTCCCTTTATTTTTTTGAGCAGTGTATTTAGCAAAGATGGGATAGGTATACATGTTGTTATTTTGTTTCTGTGAGCTGTTTAACAAACTATAATGGACTAACATTGGAATTGGAGCTGATTCCAAGGCAATACATAAACGACCGTAAATATACACAACTTGAAGCAACCACTTATTTAGCCATGGCGCACGTCCTGATTGGCTAGTGAGGGGCCAAGCCTCGACACACCCACAACTTGTTTATTCATCAAAACCAAGGCCTTTCGCGCCAACGCCAGCAACTGCGCTGATAATTGTGGTTGTGAAAATAGCATTTATGAGACATCCCGAACCTATAGCGCCAGCGCTTAGATTGACCATTGCGCTCGGTTTGTTAAAATAGTCTTTGGACCTTAAGGAGTAACGGTAGGCTCCTTAAGAGTACAACTTGGGCTACACAAAGACAGGCTCGCACGTCGGGAAATAAGAGTAGGAGAAAAAAGGGGAATGGCTTCTAGTCCTAGCACATGAATGTACACTTCAGTACTGCAATGTTTGTCAGTGCACACTTCAGTACTGCAATGTTTGTCAGTGCTGTTGTAGAACTGAATCTATAAAATGCACCCTTTCCCGTTATGCCAAACAAGTTCATTCCAGATCCTATTTTCCATTCTGCCTCAGTCTCCTCTCTTGCTGCATGAACTTCTGAGGCTCCAGAGAGAGAGGCTGCGCTTCACAGATAGTTACTGGGCTACGCTTGAATATTGAGTTGAATATTTAATTCACAACACCCACACACACGCTCAGCGCTAAAGGGTTTGACACAGGCTGAAAAGCAACCTGAGGCTATTGCATTAGCTAGCTACTTCAGAGGGGAACCAATGTGGCCGGGCGTGATTAGTCAACCGGCAGTAATTACAGACGGACGCTGCTCTGCTCTACTCCCTAAGAACCTGCAGCACCGTTTGGACTTCAAAGCTCTGAAATAAAACACCAGGAATTCTTCTATTTTAGTGCTTTGGCTTTGAATACAGTACTTATACATGTAGAATATACACTGAGTGTACAAAACATTAAGAACACCTGCTCTTTCCATGACATAGACTGACCAGGTGAATCCAGGTGAAAGCTATGATCCGTTATTGATGTCACCTGTTAAATCCACTTCAATCAGTGTAGATGAAGGGTTTTTAAGCCTTGAGACAATTGAGACATGGATTGTGTATGTGTTCCATTCAGAGGCTGAATGGGAAAGACAAAAGATTTAAGTGCCTTTGAACGGGGTATGGTAGTAGGTGCCAGGCGCACTGGTTTGAGTGTGTCAAGAACTGCAACTGGGTTTTTCACTCAACAGTTTCCTGTGTGTATCAAGAATGGTCCACCACCTAAAGGACATCCATCAAACTTGACACAACTGTGGGAAGCATTGGAGTCAACATTGAGGCTGTTCTGAGGGCAAAAGGGGGTGCAACTCAATATTAGGAAGGTGTTCCTAATGTTTTGTACACTCAGTGTAGAATGATGAGTTGACTCATGTCAAGGCTGACCAAAGTAAGACATTTAATCTATATTTATCTAGGATTATCTTGCAGGATTTTTTAAATCATTCATAGAAGACTTATGATACATTTTATGGCCCCTGTTATCTACTGGTTAGGAGGACACGGCAGCCAATGTGATTATAGGAAGGTGTCGTTGTCACTTCTTTCTGTCACCTATAGACAGGTGCAGAGGTTAAATAGATGTTGTAAGTGTTTGGTAACAGGCTTGTGTAAGAGCATTATTCTAGGACATACAGAGCCACCTGATTAAAAACCTAGTCCAAAGACTGCTTTAGGCACTGTAGAGCAGGGATCATCAACTAGATCATTTTTCTTGAGCGGATGGTCAGGGGGCCGGAATATAATTTGTAGACCGTAAGAAGCCCAAACAGATATAATATTTGACTAAAACATAATCATTTCAAACCTTGCTTACATTTGTATACGATCACATACAGTATATCTCTCTATTATACGTGGGAATACTTTGGAACAGTATTCAAATCATTTGGAGCTGATTTGCTGTTGTTTTTAGTCTTTTTATGTCCAACAATTAAACAATTTTGCTATGGAAACTTGGCGAGCCGCCAGTTGGGAAACCCTGCAGTAGAGGGACTCTATGTACTAGCTGACAACTCTCCTCTCTCACACAGTGTGATGCAAGCTCTATGTAACAAATGACCAATGTCTAGACTATAAGTCCTATGGCCAGGGGTAAAAGTAGATTGAATTTCTTCCCGGTACAGGACCTCCTATGTGTGCACAAGCTTCTTGTTGAACCACATCACATTTTGGAGCGTAGGCTATACCACCTGTTTTCAAACCTATTCGCTCCTTTCTCATGCCTCTGACATGCGGTAATGATAAATAATGGTGTAAAAGCCTACAGTTTTCTTGACATTTTTTTGAATGATTGTGATAGGCTCATGTTTTACCGGCGCAGTGTACCCCCACTATTCATTTTTCCGGGACGCCGTACGGGACCGTACCGCCTTACTTTCACACCTGCTTATGTCATAGGCTTTATTTAGGCCAAAAACAACAGTGGAGAATTTGCTCATATGATGATGAACTCACAGATGGCGTGAGCTTCAGTTCAGATCTCTCTCTGTCCCCCTGCTCAAAGAACTCACTGGTGACCAGCTCTGCCACCTAACAGGAGAACATCAGAACAACTATTAGCATGAGAGAATACAATGATTTTTACAGGCATACAGTGAAATGACAGGCCTGAGAATATTCAGAATATCCTAATATACACTTTTCCAGGCAGCATGAATGAAATAGCCTGTCCTTTTTTACCTTGCGTGATATTTCCCAGGGTTTGGTGACGGCCCCCAAGTCACACGCTGTCATCAACATGGACCTGAGAGAGTTCAGTGAGACATTCGTGATCTCAGCTAAAACACCCACGACGCCTAAAAACACCATGTTTTCTACATCACAATGATATACTTACCTACACATGTCTCTGTGGCCTTTCACGTTCCAGTTGTATTCACCTTTGTTGACCAGCTCAAAAAAGGTGTTCCTGTTCCTAAAAGAGAGGAAGGATGAATTCTAGTCCATTTTGTTCATTCTAGTGTGAGTGACATACAATCCACAAGGGGGCAGTACAGACTAGAATATTTGTTATCTAACCAAGAGCTGTGAACATGAGAATACAGACAGTGCATTCTTTACCTGTACATCAAGTTTGTATGTAAAAACAATAATCAGATGAAACCTGCTATAATATGGACAAAACAACTACAATGACTGCACTACGCTTTATGTTGTATGAGACGATATCCTCACATATGTTTATATCAAATCCCATCTGCCGGATACAATAAAGTACATACTCAAAATATAGAGTGAGGTCTGTGGCCAGGATGGACTGTTTCAACAGCTGCATGAGGTCACCGTATTCTCTGGACGACAGGTTGGAGAAGATGTTGTGTCCCTGCAAGGACACACACAGAAGAAGAGGCTCACAAAACATGTCATGGATCACTGTCTAATTCAGCCTGAGTGCCGGTCTGTTTGTGCTATCATGCCAACTCCCTGTCACTCTTGGCTCAACAATGACAGCATTTGAGTTGGCAAGAGCACAAACAGATCTGGCACCAGGCTTTGTCTACTTCATCAAAGCGAACACAATCTTTTTAGCGGATTTCCTTAACCCGGGACAGGTGAATAAATAACCTAAACAGTGTTTTGTGGCTAAATCTAGTCCAATCTCTACCTGAGCAAATTAAAGGTGTAATGATCTGACTAGCAGCTCCAGCATGACTTTGTGGCTGTCAGCACATTTAGCCTGTGACTTGAGAGGGATTCCTCGAGTGTCACATCAGTGTGTGTAGTGCTGATAAAGGGGATGGTGTAAGCGTGACACTCAGAGTGTGTGTGTGTGTGTGTGTGCGTGAGCTGGAGTCAAAGGCAAATCTGCCAGAGGCAGGAAGACGTACCATCAGGGATCAGAGGGAAAGCTCTTAAGAAGTAAGTGCCACTTCTCACTCTCTCTCCTTTTTATATCACTCCAACAGATCTCTCTCCATCATATATACAATATACCCCAGTCCCACTTAAAGTGCCCATCACCAGGGGAATGCCCTAGAAGAGAGAGATGGAGGGATATGGGGGTGGAGAGAGATGGGCTTCTTGAACTGGTTGACCCCCTGATTGTCTCTGTTCATGCTCCAGCTGAGACTGAGGTTTTCCCCAGCACAGCACCGCAAGACCAGCCCAGATCCTCAGTTCATTGGTTCCCATGAAATATTCAATACCACAATGGCAGAGACGTAGAGGGGTTTTCTCAATCTATCTTAATAAGAAGAAAATAGAAAGATTGAGAGAGAGAGACTGATAGCGGAGGGAGTGCCGTTCGTTCGTCAAGAAGTTACGTTTTAATGAATGGTTCCTGCTGGTTGATGGACTGAATACGTGAGCTCATTCTTTTCCCCTTGAATTAGACTCACTGTTCATTTATATGCTAATGACCATGGCAGTAATTCAGCCCCTGTATCAACAGAAACCATTATGCTATTCACAGCAAACATTTGTCAGCTTACTGTGTCGTCAGCATCGTGATAACGAGTCTAATGGAGCCCTGCTGGCTAACTCTTGTTTCAGCAGACACCATGAAAACACAGCTAATTACCACCTGTCTGTCTGACCACACAAAATCAGTCGCTTGCTTAAAACGTCTCTCTCAACCAATCATTGTTTTAGTAATGACATTGATTTTGGGGGGTAGAGTGATGTTTGTCTATTTTGATTGCCTCTCTGTGGAAAATACGGACGCGTTGAGAATGTGGCTTTTTGTAATCCTGCATAAAATGATGTTTGTAGTCTTTTAGTAGTGACACAGGTGGTCCAGTGATATGCCTCACCTCACTCTGCAGGATCATTACAGCATGGTTGAAGTGGTGGTGCTCCAGAGTAGCTGAGGTTCCATACAACAGAGATAAGGCTGAGCCTGTCCTGAGAAAGGCAAAGAGAGAAAGACAAAGAGAAAGAGGGGAATCAAAAGAGGGAGAGAGTTAAATCAACAAAGCACAACAAAAACACTGTAAGAGAGAGGATCCTCCATTGAGACCTCTCTAAGTCTCTTCACTAAATCACTCCACAGACCACTGTCAACATGCTCTCACAGCTCAATATTGCAGCAAGCGAAGCTAATATCAGAGTCTGTGGAGGGAAAATGTTCAGTATTCACCATCTGGAATCATTCTGGGCCAATGGGTCAAAATGACACATTGGCTCTTGATGGTGACTGTGGTGTGTGGGCAGATCCACTAGATTCAACAGTAGTTTTGCCTGCGGCTCTAATTGTGCTCTCCACCCCAGCCGTGTTTAAACACACTCTGTCTCTCTCTCTCTCTCTCTCTCTCTCTCTCTCTCTCTCTCTCTCTCGCTTCGTTAAACAGACTCTTATCTATGTCTTATGCAATTTGTTTCTCCACTCTAGTTGAGCTGGTCTGGTCTGTAACATATTGTTGCAGGTGGGCTAGCAGAGCACAGTGTGTGTGTGTGTGTTAGTGATGGGCGGGTTGACTCATAGCCCGCAGTCCCCGCGGTTATATCCGCGGGTCGGGGGGGGGGGGTTTAGGGTCATGAAATATAGTGTGGATGAATGGCGGGCGGGTTGAATAAAGAGAAAATGATGCATAAAAATCCATAAATGTATCATTCTTGTGCAATTCATATCTATAGGCTACATTGAGGTTTTTCTTTCATTATTTTTATCTGGCGTTAGTGCATAAGCCTAAGCTTTAAGGCCTAACTGTAAGCATGCCAAATACACAACAATTACCAAATGCTTTTGGAAACTTGGGCAGAAAAGTTAACGTCGATCCACTAAGGCAAAAAGGCCAATGTCGGAGTTGAATTCAATTAGAGAAAAGCTGCAAAATGGAGAGTCGAAAATAAAGACAAGGGAGGGCCAGAACAGTAGCCTAATGTTTGAGAAAGATGTTATGTGTGATGAGTGTGAGGCGCTGTACACATTTGACAGGGACTTCAAATAAGGCAAGTCAAGGGAACTGTACTGTTCAGATGGACTATATGGAATAGTAACTGAAATCTGGACATAACAGTGGAGGCTCCTCAGAGGAGGAAGGGGAGGACCATCCTTCTCAGTGAATTTCATAAAAATAGTGAAACATTACATATTCACGTCACCAAATAATAGATTAAAACACATTGCTTTGTAATGAAGGTCTACAGTAGCCTCAACAGCAGTCTGTACGGTAGCACCATGGTGTAGCCGGAGGACAGCTATCTTCCGTCCTCCTCTGGGTACATTGACTTGAATACAAAACCTAGGAGTTCTCAACCCCTTCCATAGACTTACACAGTAATTATGACAACTTCCGGAGGACATCCTCCAACCTATCAGAGCTCTTGCAGCATGAACTGACACGTTGTCCACCCAATCAAAGGATCAGAGAATGAATCTAGTACTACATAAGCTACAGCCAGCTAGCACTGCAGCGCATAAAATATGGAGAGAGAGAGATTTCGTAATTTTTTTCACTTTCACTTAATAAGCTAGCAAATGCAGCTAGCTAGTTTAGCCTACTCAAACACCCGGCTCAAACAGAGGGATGCTATGTTAGCTAGCTGGCTATGACTATCCAACACTGGAACTCTTCCAAGTCAAAGTAAGCGTTTTGGTTTTACAAATGTATTGCCACCGGGGCCCACCGGTGTAACTGCTAAACTGATTACTGGCTGTACACTGTACTGCATGATTGTAGCGGGTGTACTAACGTGTTAGTTCTATTAGCTATGTTGATTATGACGTTACTTTAGCTAATATGGTGACAACAATGTAGGCTATGTGTAAAGGTTATGATATGAAGGTTTGGCTTGGAAAGGTTTTTTCACCTGGTCACAGACAGCTGATGTGTTGTGCACTGAAGTCCAAAAGCGAAGGGAAAAGGTCAGAATACAACGAGCTGTTTATATGTGGCTGCTATGAAAGTGAACTGTTTGCGTGTGATCAGGGGTGTATTCATTCCGCCGATTCTGTTGAAAAAAGTTTCCTAAATGGAAGCAAATGGAACGAAATGGGGATAAACATACCTGAATCTCTCGTTTGCAACTGTTGGACTAATGATTACACCCTAGATCAGCTAGATGCAGGCAAGAGTGTGCAAGGCAGCGGAGGCTCCTCAGAGGAGGAAGTGTAGTACCATCCTCCTCAGTGAAATGTCATTAACAAAAACAATAGTGAAACACTAAAGAAGTTATCCTTTTTAGATAACACTATCCTAAATATATTCATATGTCAGCAAATAATTGATTAAAACACACTGTTTTGCAATGAAGGTCTCTAGTAACTTCAACAGCACTCTCTGGGGTAGCACCATGGTGTAGCTGGAGGACAGCTAGCTTCTGTCCTCCTCTGGGTACCTTGACTTCAATACAAAACCTAGGAGGCTCGTAGGCCTCACCCACTTCCATAGACCTACATGGTAATTATGACCAGTTCCGGAGGACGTCCTCCAACCAATCAAAGCTTTTTTAGTATGAACTGACATGTTGTCCATCCAATCATAGGATTAGGATCAGAGAACGAACCTAGTGTGTTGTATTGGGGTTGTGACGCAGAGCATTATGGGGGGCTTCTATGTGTTGAGAAGCTTGGTGAGTTGGTGACATTATTGGATGGAGATTGAAAAGGGATAGTTGAGCATTTTTTTGATATTATTCAATTCAAATGAGTTTCTTCAAATTACAGGAGACGGAGGAGGTAGATTATAAATAATGTTCTTGGTTTTATAACTTTATTTTTGTGTCCAGTTAGTGCAATTTATTGAAATTTGCCTTGCTAACTTCAGTAGCAAGTAGCAGTAGCTAGCTACCAGCTCGAGTGTGCACCTTTCGCCGCCAATGCTACCGCAAACGTTGTTGACTTTTTGTTGAAGAACCCCTTTCATTCTCTGGGGTACACGGAAAAGGTGCGAATTAAAACCGAGGGTCGACCTCTGCCTGAGATCAGTTTCATGAAGAAGAATGAAAAGGTGAGGGCGTTCAATACCAATTGGTATCAAAAGTATAGCTGGTTAACAGGGAGCCTTTCATCAAGCCGCCTGTATTGCTGGCCTTGCCTGCTTAAAAAAACAAACATGTGACCTGATTAGGAAAAACTGGTCCCATCATAGCCCTTATAAAACCTTTTTACAACTGATGAATCACTGTCATACCTTATAGGGTAAAGAGTTTTCCTGGTTAGGTTAACAGATAATAAAAAACTCCGGGTCCCAGGTTGTAAAAATGTCCCCTCCACTCTGGGACCTATGGTGCCACTAGTCTGCGTGCAGTTGTCAGTTATCGACAGGTATGTGGATGATCAGGAACGTTTCTTGGGCTACTTTGATGTGTCAAGTGGGCGAGATGCGCAGTCTGTGTTTAACTTCATGGACAAACGTCATGGTCTCCCATCCTCCTCAATTTTTCAAGTCACCAGCCTCTACTAGTGCAAGGCGATATTGTGTCTGTCCATGTGTCACTGTATGTCACCTCAAATATTTCTCTCGACCTGTGTGCACCTACATTGTAAACTTTCATTCATAGGCTAGGTTGTAGCAACCTCATGATGGGTATAGGGCAAATTCAAGTATCATGTAGTAGCCTAAACCTATTGATGTTACATTGAACTGGGTAAATAGAATATGAATGACAGTCATCCAATATGCTGTAATATAAATAAGGCTATGCTCATTAAAAAAAGAATTGTCCTCCCTCATCTTAAACGGCACCGACCGCCACTGGTCTATAACCTCTCACATAGCCTAATATAATATGAACTCCTGCAGAATTAAGCATTTCTTACATTAAAATGATACACCAAATATACATTTTTACTCAGGAATAAGAGTGGAGAAATATGATTTATTTCATTCAGCATCTTGAGATAATGAATGCGCGGTTAGGGACCGTCTGTAAAGGTGTCTTTATCAGCATAATAAAAGCTGATAGTATTTCAACCACATAAAATATGCATCCAAGCCGAACTGAAATCGTATCAGAAACTTGTTGGGTTGTTTTCACAGCTTGTAATTCAAGCTTAACTTCAAGTAATTGCTTGTAAGTCAAACTGATGTCATTTGGAAATGTAGTCTTCTTCTAGGGCAACAAGTAATGACAGAAGAGAAGCTGCATGTATCTAATTATAGACAAGTTGACTACCAAAATGTTGGAAATTATAAGCAGAAGCATAGGCCTATCTAAATTAGGCTTAAAACATTTTATCCTGCAGCCCCCGTAAAAAACAATTCTGGCATCTCTGACTGCACAGCGCATTTTCTATATTTGCGGGTTAGGGTCGGGTGCGGGCCTCAGATTTTAACTTTATCATATATGGTTGGGCGGTTGCGGATGGGTTATTAGCAATTGCGGGCGGGTTGCGGCTGAATAAACACCTGACCCATGCATCACTAGTGTGCGTGTGCATGTGTGCCTGCAAGCGTGTGTCTATGGACAGGGTCACCCACTTGGCCTGGAAGGCGTTGTTGGTTCCTCTGTGGTCCAGGTCGTGACAGACACAGCCCACTATAAGAGCTAGGATCTCAATCTCCGTCAGGGTCTCTTGGAAGCCTGCCGTCTACAGGGACACAGCAGGGACAGGATGTCACTCAGGGGCCACACACACAAGTAAACATAAACACACACCACACACAAACACAAACTAAACACACACACATATACATAAACACACACGCACATACACTGTAGGTAGGATGTGCATGGCGATGAAGTAAACAATATGTGTAAATTGGAGTTAGGTCGCTATGGGGATAACAGCTAGTAGTAGTGTACTGTACGCCTGGGTCACTTATTAAAACACATAGCACTGTTGGGCTCTGAACAGCTTACACACAACTATTTAATCTCCCTCTTCGCATAATTAATTCAGATGGGACATGCATAATGCTGTGCTTGATTACACAAAAAAGATTGAGAAGGAGAGGAAGATAATGAGGAGGAAGAGGAAGATGGAGAACAATGAACAGAAGATGAAGCAGTTGGTGCGTATTAGTCAGTGTTCACATGTGTTGGGGCACGTGTGGTGTATTTGAACAGTCGCTGTTTATGCTAATGGTAGGCTAATGCTAGACTCTGTCCCTGTGCGTTCTCCATATTCACCGTTAGTATGGCGAACATGCACTGGCAGACGTTGAAGGCGTGCCTCCAGTTGTGGTACAGCACCATGCGGTAGTTCTTCCTGACCGTCAGCAGCCATCTGCACAGAGTCTGTAGAGAGTCAGGAGCACAAGAGGGATGGACAGAACGGGGTCCGTCAGCAGACAGTAGGCTGGTGCGGCAGCTCTCACACTCAGGCCGGGATTCAATGCGATCGCCCTTTGTCCGCAATGTACGTTTTAAAGACAAAATGTTCCCGCGTTCGCAGAGACCACATTTACGCTGCATATGTCGGCTCAATCAGAAATGTCTTTAATGGCGCATTGTCCAAATCTGCAATCGTATTGAATCCCGACCTCAATCTAACCTGCCATACACATACTTCCTATTGTGAAGCTACAGGTAACTGCCAAAATAATGGAAATACTTGAGTAAATGAGGGATACAAAGTATATTGAAAGCAGGTGCTTCCACACAGGTGTGGTTCCTGAATTAATTAAGTCATTAACATCCCATCATGCTTAGGGTCATGAATAAAAATGCTGGGTACGCTATTATTTTGGCTTCCATGGTTATGCCCCCATAGGATGACAATGCCCACATCCACAGGGCACTAGTAGCCACTGAATGGTTTGATGAGCATGAAAACGATGTAAGCCATATGCAATGGCCGTCTCAGTCACCAGATCTCAACCCAATTGAACAGATTCTGGAGCGGCGCCTGAGACAGCATTTTCCACCACCATCAACAACATTTCTTGTGGAAGAATGGTGTCGCTCCAGAATCTGTTCAATTGTAGAATCTATGCCAAGGTGCATTGAAGCTGTTCTGGCTCGTGGTGGCCCAACGCCCTATTAAGACACTTTATGTTGGTGTTTCCTTTATTTTGGCAGTTACCGGTGTGTGGCAGTAGTAGTAGCAGTATGTCTTTACAGTGTTGAAAACCATTCAGTGATTGTATTTTACCATTTGGAAAAAGCTTCTGTGTAAATAGCACAATGCATATTTGATTGAATAGCGGGCTCTGTCAGAGCATTGGGTCAGAGCCGCTCTCACCTCGTAGTCGATCTTGAACTTCTGCACCATGCCCAGCTCCATAAACATCCTGAGGGCTGCGGTTATCATGGCGTCCACATCCAGAGAGAAATCATCAAAGGAGAGCTTATCGATGCCAAGCTCGCAAACAAGGGGGATGTTAGCAGCCTGGGTTATAGACAGAGAGAGAGGAGGTTGTGCCATTTTGAGACACTGAAAATTCAACATATAGAGAGTTGCTAATGAAGACTCTGAGAGCTCGCGTTTAGAAAGGGTTGAAAATTAATGAGAAAGTATCACCAGTGGAATTCAGTGTTAACTTCCTTTGAGCTCATTAACAAATTGTGGTAGTATTCTATATTTAACCTATAATACTAACACAGAAACACCACTAAACCAATTTAATCATCCCAAGACTTCAATCCACAGAGAGCTCTCTAATGAGAACCAAAGCATAATTGTTCAGAAAGACTGAGAATTTAAGTTGTTGTCTTATTGGATTCCATGTGCCATTGGTCTTTCTTTCTAAGGGGGATAAGGTACATCTCAGAATATGAAGGTTTTGCTGCTCTCCTTCCCCAGTCCCTGGGGTTGAGACTAGAGGACACAGCAGAAGTACCATCCAGCCTCACTTCCACCCAGAGAGCACAGTAGAGCAGGGCAGAGCAGCCAGGAAAGCCCACCTTTTCTAGGAACTGTTTGTCTTTCAGGTCAGCAGGTGCGTCGGGCTAATTCAACGCCTTGGGTTATGAATGGCAGCCAAGGTTTTTTGCCGGTGACATTTACAATTCTCTGGATTCCGGGGTAGAGTGTGTTTACTGAGGTTCTATATGTAGGCCAGTTATGAAACGGGTAAAGGCAGGGCGGGTGCTGCTGAGCGCTGTGCTGTGCCTGCATGTCGTGAGGGGGCTGGAGATCTGACAGACATCACATTGCACAGCTGATGCTTAGTGCTAATGGCCACCGGGACAAGCCCCATATCAAAGAGCAAGAAAGACATTTAACACATCACACAGTTCTGAGAATTTAATTTGCCATGCATGTTTTTTTCTTGGATTAGTTCCACAGGCATGCTCTATAACCGTCTAAATAATGCAATGAAAATGATTGGCTATTGATTTACTAATTCATTCCAAATACCACAATTAGTTGTTTTCATGTGGGACTTGAAGGAGTATTGCCCCGACCTGTATATACAGTACGCTGCCTTACACCACACTGCAGTCCAGGGAAGCAATTGGAAATTGAAGTCTGTGAGGCGAAGTCATCAATCTATTCCTATCATGTAGTACCATTAATGATTTCTCATTTTACATTTGAAGGTAATGAGTGCCAATGCTTCATTCCGAAAGGTATCTCTTAATTGAAATAACTGCAGCCACATATTGAACCACACATATTACTCTGGGCTATGAACTACAAATGGGGTTTTCACCACAATTCACGTTATTTTGTTCAGTATATATAATACAATTATTATTCTGCAAAATACAGTGCTATGAAAAAGTATTTGCCCCCTTTCTAATTTTCTCTACTTTTGCATATTTGTGATACTGAATGTTATCAGATCTTCAACCAAAACCTAATATTAGATAAAGGGAACATAAGTGAACAAATAACACAACAATTACATATTTATTTCATTTATTTCATAAACAAAGTAATGCAACACCCAATTACCCTGTGTGAAAAAGTAATTGCCCCCTTACACTCAATAACTAGTTGTGCCACCTTTAGCTGCAATGACTCCAACCAAATGCTTCCTGTAGTTGTTGATCAGTCTCTCACGTCGCTGTGGAGGAATTTTGGCCCACTCTTCCATGCAGAACTGCTTTAACTCAGTGACGTGTGGGTTTTCAAGCATGAACTGCTCGTTTCAAGTTCTGCCACAACATCTCAATTGGGATTAGGTCTGGACTTTGACTAGGCCATTCCAAAACTTCCAATGTGTTGCTTTTTAGCAATTTTCATGTAGACTTGATTGTGTGTTTTGGATCATTGTCTTGCTGCATGACCCAGCTGCGCTTCAGCTCACAGACGGATGGTCTGACATTCTCCTGTAGAATTATCTGATACAGAGCAGAATTCATGGTTCCTTCTATTAAGGTAAGTCGTCCAGGTCCTGAGGCAGCAAAGCATCCCCAAACCATCACACCACCACCATGCTTGACCTTTGGTATGATGTTCTTACTGTGGAATGCAGTGTTTGGTTTTCGCCAGGCATAATGGGACCCATCTCGTCCAAATAGTTGACTAAAGTTTGCCAAAAAGCACCTGGATGATCATCAAGACTCTTGGAAGAACGTTCTATGGACAGATGATTCAAAAGTATAACTTTTTGGACGACATGGTTCCAGTAATGCCTGCCGAAAACCAAACTCTGCATTCCACAGTAAGAACATCATACCAAAGGTCAAGCATGGTGGTGGTGGTGTGATGGTTTGGGGATGCTTTGCTGCCTCAGGACCTGGACGACTTGCCTTAATAGAAGGAACCATGAATTCTGCTCTGTATCAGAAAATTCTACAGGAGAATGTCAGACCATCCGTCTGTGAGCTGAAGCTGAAGCGCAGCTGGGTCATGCAGCAAGACAATGATCCAAAACACACAATCAAGTCTACATGAAAATGGCTAAAAAGCAACAAATTGGAAGTTTTGGAATGGCCTAATCAAAGTCCAGACCTAATCCCAATTGAGATGTTGTGGCAGGACTTGAAACGAGCAGTTCATGCTTGAAAACCCACACGTCACTGAGTTAAAGCAGATCTGCATGGAAGAGTGGGCCAAAATTCCTCCAGAGCGACGTGAGAGAGACTACAGGAAGCATTTGGTTGGAGTCATTGCAGCTAAAGGTGGCACAGCCAGTTAAGGGGGCAATTACTTTTTCACACAGGGGAATTGGGTGTTGCATAACTTTGTTTATGAAATAAATGAAATAAACATGTAATTGTTGTGTTATTTGTCCACTTATGTTCCCTTTATCTAATATTAGGTTTTGGTTGAAGATCTGATAACATTCAGTATCACAAATATGCAAAAGTAGAGAAAATTAGAAAGGGGGCAAATACTTTTTCATAGCACTGTATGTGTATCAGTATAGGAAATGAACAATGTTTGTTTGCATTACTTAAGCTTTAATAGATAATGCATCACAAACATCTCAACCAGCTGGTTGATTTGCCCAATTAGAGTAAACTAATTTTGTATTGGAATTTGCATAGACTTTTTAAATCATCCAAAAAATTATGCATGAATTTACAATGTCTGCTTCATTTACTTTCTGTATAATGGAAGATACGCCTAGTTAAATGAGGACTGATTTTAAATATTAATAAAATATGATACATATGTGTGTCAAATATGAATATTAAAATGCATGTAAATTAATGTGTTTAGTTAATATACTTAGAATACCAGTACAATTACATGTAATGACTGATATTGTGAAACATATTGAAGATAACAGGCTGACAGTAAATAATTATATGGATTTGAAAGGATTTTTGTATTTGTACAGACCCAAAAAATCCCATAACAATATTTCTCCATTGTCCATTATCACTAGCTTTGACTTAATAGCATTCCTTCAACCGCCTGATAGAGAATATTTTCCTAAAGTTCCTAAAGTTCCTAAAATTGTAAAACAACAACATATTAGTAATTTAATCATTATTAAATTGTGTTTTTGAGGTCAACAACATTTTACAAACTTGTAATTTCCCATTTTATACACAATTAGTACAAAATAGGTGTACAGTAAATGAGGTTCGTTTTTTCTCACGTTCACTTCCTGGTTTGCAAGCATCTTTGATTGCATGTTTAAAAAAATATGGGAGTCTGATAATGAAAACCACATGATAATTTTGCTAAATGGCATTGGTTGAGATGATAAAATATGCCAAACAAAATTCATGTTTAATTCTATTTCAAATAGGTTGTCAAAAGTTGCTCAACTGCGCAGTTGAGCTGCCTGTTTAAGGGTTAAAAGCACCTTTCCTGTTTAAACCATGACTTAAACACATTATATCTTATAAAGCACAATTGGAGGTCCATTACAATCGCAAACTAATTAGATTACATTATTACATTTCTAGGAATTTCCTGGAATGTTCTTGAAAATAGAAGTAGAAACCTTCTACCCCGCAGAAACAGTATATACAATATCTAAGAAATATGAGAAGGTAATTAGATAGACATTCCAGTAGTGTTCTTTGACCCTGTTAATGTATGTGTTTGTAGAAATGGCCTCTTAAGGGGCAAAGACTATGACACCCCTAGGATAGAGGTTAGAGGTCAGCGGAACATTACTCTGAACCTACCATAAGACCACACGGGAAAGTGACATTTTCAAAACACGGAAGCGGAGTACAGATGCAATCTTTCCCCATTGAAAGCAATTCAGCCAAGCCTGAATTCAAGCAATAATGACACAAATAGTTTAATTTTTTTGTATTATAACTGGATTATAGCTCCCATTCAAATGTTGTGAATGATACACAGTATATTCATGTCAAAGTCACCAGTCAACTTCATTACACTCAAAAGTTACTTCAACTTCAACCAGTAAATGCTAGTGATGACTAGCTATGCTAGCTATTCTACTAGTCTGTCTTAATGAGTGTTAGTATGCTAATAGCACACCCTGCACACAAAAATGTATATTTTTAAGGGGTATCCAGTAGGTTGATAACAATATCACCAAAGTATGTTGTATCAGACATTTCAAACAACATTCCCAGTTAATGAGAAAACAGTCATGGTATTTAATTTAAGAGAATTAACAAGATTTATCAAGGCAACCCAGTACGACCCACGTGATCGCAGTGAAACGTCACTCCGTGAGGGGCTATAATGTTCTAGGAACCAAACAATGCTCTCTCTCTCTCTCGCTCTCGCTATCTCTCTCTCTCGCTCTCTCTCACACACACACACACACACAGTCTTTCTCTCTCTCTCATATAAGAATAAGACCTATTACCTTGAATTTGTCGACCTCAGTCTTGGAACAGGTTGCATGGTACGACAGAACCTGCAAAAGAATGCAGCACACAGTGGTGGAAAAAGTACCCAAATGTCATACTTGAGTAAAAGTAAAGATACCGCAATAGAAAATGACTCAAGTAAAAGTGAAAGTCACCTAGGAAAATACTTCCTGAGTAAAAGTCTAAAAGTATTTGGTTTTAAATATACTTAAGTATCAAAAG